GGGGGGAGATGGGGGGAAGGGAGAAAAAAAAAATCCCCCCCAAAGGGCTTGCTTACTCCGCACAGAGTACGGAGTACGGAGTACCGAGACCAGACCAGAGCGAGCGAGTCAACTGCAGAAAAGGAAGGGTTCTGCCAAACGAAGCCATGTGAGTGGCTGGCTTGCGCCATCAGTGGCCAATTGGGCAGGGGCTGCCCCTCGCTCTCCAATTTTTCTTCCATATGCAGATCTTGGAGGGCCGGGACTGTGCGCACGCCCCCTTCTTCCTGGACGACGGCATGCCGCATGCTGTTTTGAGATGCGGCTGGAGTGGCAGGGCTCACTCGCATGTCACATGGTGTACCGACTCATGCACCAGAGAAAACGTTCATTGGCCATCTTTCCATCACGGGCATCCAACGTCTTGGGTGATTCCGTGGATGGTCAGCAGCGGTAATCCTCAAGAGCCCCTCCTGGAGTCGCCGATGCTAGGGCTGGGTGCTCGAAATGTCACTGGTTCATACAGAGTACAGTCCACACTCCCAAGGCGCCGATTCTGGCTAATGCCACCGCCCGACTCACCGCCGCGGCAAAGCTTGTGCATTGGCGAAAAGCAATACTGTCCCAATCCGTGTCAATGGCTCTAGCCGTGGCGTGGCTCTGCCCCCCCTTGGGCCTGCAATGTTGCCTTATTGGCTCACGGCTGGGTGAAGGATGGGATGGTCCTCAAGCCTCGAGGCAGTTATTCCTGGCCAACGGGCGCTCGAGGCCAAACGGAAAAAAAACAAGCTTCAGACTGGTACGACTGGCGCCGTTGCTGGTGGAAGGAGGCTTGAGGCGACGGAGCGAGCGACGACGATCCGCCACGCCACGGCACACAGACTACCTGGGCAGCTACGGCGATACGAGTTTCCTCGAGCCAAGTTTAGAACAGTCTCCCGAGTTTCCTGTACCGGGCACGTACGGAGCAAGGAGTACGTACTCCGTACTCGGTGCAGCCAACAGGCAAAATACCGGTGCTCCGTGGGTTCCCAGGAACTTGGGCAGCCAAAGGGAAGACAAGCTTCCTACGGGAGACTTTGCTCTAACGATGGGTCGAGACAATATTATGGAGTCTCCCACCGAGGCGAAACTTTGAAACCCGGGCGCGGAGGAGTACGGAGTAGTCACCAACAACAAGTCTGCCTGGCAACTGGAAACAAATTGTCAAGGATCCCAAGCTGAATCCCGCACCCGAACAATCAATTCGAGGAACATGTTCGCATGGCCTGTTGCCACGCCAGGACACCTTGGAGGCTCAGACCTGCTAGCTCTGGCCGCCTGGGCCACATGGGTTGCGGGGTGGACCGGTGACGAGATTCATGAATAATTTCACCGTCGCTTTGCTCAGTCTCGAGGCCAAAGGCACACACACAGGGCAGAAATTACGCCGTCGTCGGTCGCGGGCCAACGCCATCTGCTGATGCCACATTGTCATTGCCACTGGCCGGGATGATGCCTCCTGGAACATTGGAATTTCAGACAGGCGCCCACGCTTCATAATCCCTTTGACTGGGCGGATCTGCCTACTACGTAGTTACCACTTTAGAGTACGGAGTACATGCGGAGCACTCCGTCCCCTTGTAATGTGTTCCTTGCTCGATTTTGCCTTGATCAGGACCTGATGATTCAGACTAGTAGCACTCCGTGTATTTGGAGTGATCTAGCATCACAAAGGTGAGTCAGTGGTCAGGTCAGCAAGCGGCATGCTCCGTAGACGGCAGTCATCGGCCGGTTTGGTTTTTCCCAACCTCCGTTATACGGCGGCGCACTCGCATCTGCAGAGACTGTCCGTGGCTCAGCGTGACGGGAGCAGCTTAGCATCGCATCGCGGCGCTAATACTACCCGTCGATCGTTGACGGCGACCTCCCGCCGTCTACAGAGTACCAGTGCTAGCACTTCCAGACTAGCCGACGAACCGGGCCGTGGAACTCAAGAGAGAGAAGGCCCTCGCAAGTTCAACCATGCGGGTGAGCCGGCCTGATTCGTGAGCGCCTGGAGGTTGACCAGGGATGCTGGCCGAGTTGTGACTTGCACAGAGCAAAGGTGCAAGATGACGGATGCCTTGTTGTTATTTATCATCATCATCGGGCAACGCCAACTGTCGAGCTGAGGCCTCCAAGAGCCAAAGACCAGCGAGACAGAAATAGCGCACGGGAGCTGTACAACCTGCCACGCGGCGAGCGTGTGGTGTGGTGTGTGGTGTGTGGTGAACCGGCCAGTCTGTCACACAATGCAATGCCGTTGTGACTCTTTGCAGCACGAGCATGGCGCGGGAGCACCGAGTACCGAGTACTACTACGGAGTACTCCGTGCCTGGCTACTCCGTACTTACGGAGTAGCCGCTCAGGTCGGCTCGAGTACTCGCCATGTCAGTGTCAGCAGCAAGGATGTTTGGGCCAAGCCTCGGTCGCACAGCCGGCCCACTTTGCTCCGTACGTGTGACAGTAGCGTGTCCACCCACCTGCGACTGCGCGAGCTGTCAGACTCACACTGGTCACTTGTGTCGCTCCGGCCCATCCTCAACCCCCGGCAAAAAAACAAGCCTTTTCTCCCGCCCCAAGCTGCAGCACCCGTCCAGAGTCTAAAAGGTGTCTGGACTCCCCCCATGGTTTTTTTTTTTTTTTTTTTTTGGGTGGGGGGGGGTTTGTGACACCGTCGATGTCCGCGAACGGGCGCCAGCTCGAGGGAGGGCCCGACGGCTGCAAATGACCATGCATCCATCCCCCCTTTGCCGTCTCTGGTCGGGCCATGAACGGCCACGAGTCCATGACCAAGCACGTACGGAGCACAGGCGCAGGGCAATAAATTATAACGTTAATCATGGGCTATAGCCTACTCCGTACTCCGTGCAATAGCTGTACGGAGTAGCTGCCGCTTGGGGGCGGAATCACGCGACGACTGTCTGTACTCCGTAATTACCCTCCCTTTCCCTGCGCCGATGCGCCCCGCAACGCAATGCCTACGTCAAAAGCCCAAAACACCTCTCTGGCTGGACACCTGCACACGCGGTCCGAATCTGTCGATCCTGCATCCCGCACAAGGCTCTGGTCATCCTCTGTACGGAGTAGTCATGTGGCCATGCCAGCGAGAGAGAAGGAGAGGGAGGAGAGATGGGACATGGGCCAAGGCACGGACGGACGAAAATGACAAATGACGGCGTCCGCCTCGACGGGCATGCGTGCAGCTTCACAGCTTTCGCCGTGTATCCGTCCCCGTCAGCGCATGTCGCCGTACACCTTCAAAACACAGGTACACATCTTCACGCGCGTCCTCAGTCATCAGCCAAGAATGTATTCTCGTGCAGTTTCGCTCGGCCGCCCTGAATAAAAAATCCCAGGCGACTCCAGATTCCGGCCCAGCACTCCCGCTTATGCCGTGACGCTCCGTCCATCTCGAGGCAAGAAAAGAAGCCAAATTACCCAGCGCCAGCAGGCAAACTCGTTGCCCGCTTTGCTTGTTGCCTTGCCTTGCCTTGCCTTGCCTTGCCTTGCCTTGCCTTGCCTTGCCTTGCCTTGCCTTGCCTTTTTTTTTTTTTTAAATTCCTCACCCATCATCCCACCTGGTCCTACTCATAATAATCGGCCGAGCAGGATCCCAGGGGCCCCTGATCTCGTTCTTGTACTTTTGCAGGCCAATCAGCCACCAGCTACATCCGCCGGTGGCCAGGGCGGCGATGACGACGGAGAAGACCATGCCCACGATGCCGCTCTTCCAAGGCCACCGCGAGCCCTGAACGGCTCCCACGACCATGCCCACGCCCAGTCCGGCGCCGAGGACGAGCACCACGGTCTGCACCACGTGATATCTCCAGCTGCGATGGCGGACGTGGCGTCTGAACACGGGAAACAGCCCAAACACCTCGATGCTGAAGAGCGTCAGGCTAAACACCTGTCCCGTGGACGGCAGGCGGCTGGCGAGCACCGTCGACGCCATGAGGGCGGCGTTGGTGGACAGCGACGCGGGGAACTTGGCGCCCACGCCGCCCGAGTAGTCGAAGAAGAAGATGTTGATGGCGAGCAGCCAGAAGGATATGGCCCAGATGCTGTCGCTGCTGGTCGACTCGGTGAGCGACCTAAGGATGGGGCTGAGGCCCAGGAGCGTGGACCAGATGAGCAGCGCCGACTTGATGGTGCCGAGGCGCTGGTGCGTGCGGTTCTCGTCGAGCGGCACGAGGGGTTCGCCCGCGGCCGGGACGCTGCCGCCGCGGAGGGCCTCGCTGCTCGTCTTAGGCGTCAGGCGGGACGGGGACGTTGCCGTCGTCGTGGTGGAAGTGGCGGCGGCGGTAGTAGACGGGGCCAGGCGGCCGTGTAGACTCGCGGTAGAGCCCGCCGGCGAAGGCGCGCCGCTCGAGGGCGTCGGCACCGGCGACGACATGGCCTCGACGCGTAGAGGGTGCGGCGGCCTGCGCGCACGACGGGCGCCGGGGCCGCGCTCCCCTGGGCCACCGCCGACGCCGCCGCCGCCGCGTTGGCCTCGTCCTCCTCGTCCTCCTCCTCGGACACCCAGCGCTCCCACAGGATCCAGCCCACAAAGGTGCCCAGGCTGCTCCAGCTGACCACCGACACGGGCGACACGCGCTCGTGGTATATGCCCACGAAACAGACGATGAATATGGTCACGGAGCAGACGTGCTGCAGGATGACGGTGGAGTCGGCGACGAGCGGCCAAAAGTCGTACGGCTTGAGGCGCGGGTTGCGTTGGAGGTTCTCGAGAAACGTTGCCTGGTCGGTGTAGTTGTCTGGGACTGGGCTCTCGCGTCAGCCTCCGCCGCTTGGCCGCGACCTGACCCAGGGGCGTGCGAGACGCCATGTTGCGCCGTAGTGTGCGTCCAACGTACAGGATTGCTTCACCCACATGAGCTTCTTCCAGGCGCGCTTCCGTCGACGGCTCCTGCTCCTGTCGCTGCCGCCGCCGCCGCCGAGCCGCCTCATGTCGGGCGCGCCGTCGCCGTCGAAATCGCGTGCCCGCCGCGGGGGCGAGAGGTGCGCATCTTGCGGGGAGAGGTGCGAGCGCCCAAAGTTGCCAAAGGTCGCGGCGTGGCCTAGGGAAGGGAACGGCGTCTCGTCATCCGTGGGCGAGGGCATCGCTGGGCTGGCTAGCCGCAGGGCCGGAGGGACGCTAGCGCTTCAGAGACGGCGGTTCCGACGAGGTCAGATGCGTGCGTGCATTGGAGAGGATGTGCCGTGGGGTGTCTGTGTCTGTGTTTGTGTTTGTTCGCCCGGTCTGACGTGACTCGTGACTCGTGAGGTTGACGTTGACGTTGGGTCGGTGACTTTTTGGTCCTGGCTGCCTAACTGACGGCCGAACAGCACGTGGGGCGGACAGCTACCCTATACCTCGCCCGCTGGACCTGCACCTCGACGATGCTCGCTCCCCTCAACGCCGCTCCCCAACTGTCTGCACTACTTGACGAGAGGTTCTCAAGAAGAATGGCCTGCCTGAAAGCTCCCCACTTGGGTCATGATAAAGCTGTAAGAAATTTGTGCTTTTCTCGGCACAAATGACGACCTTGTTCCGGAAGACATCCGTCCCACTTTAGACGAGCCAACGTCGTTTCTCGGGCGACTGTCAATTGGCCCCCGCGGCGGCTTCCTCGTCTCGAAACAGCAAGGAACTTGATAATGTGAAATAACTCGCCCGGAAGTAAAGGTGGGGGTGCTTGGCTCTAGTTGGTTATGACATTCGTTCCGCACTGTTGACTGTAAAGTCAGGAGTTAACGAGAGGTCCGGGGTTCGACTCCCTGAGCATCCAGACATCTTTTTTTGCTAGCCCCAGTGCAGAAGCTATAACAATCAGCTTTAACTGTTGTAAAAGCTTACTTGAGTGCCTGAAATTAATAATTCAAAGTCAGTACAGTACATCTTTGATGTCAACCGAAATCTGTGCAGCAAGACTGGCTGGCTATCAACCACTTACCTACCGTAGGGGCCTATAACTCGTTGCCCGTGTGTTTCGGCATGGGGGTCATCGGTCATCGTCAACGGTCATGACATTGGGGGCGCTCAGACGAATCGCGTCTTGATGGCATTACAAGTTCTTCGGAAGCCGAAAAATCAAAGTGCCCATCTCACGCCAGCCGCCCGCCAGCGAACCCCAAGCTGAGAATGGGCTCGCGTGGGTGCCGCGCCGGCCTCTCTCGTTCGCCCGCTGAGCATGTCACTGTTCCAGGAGGCTGCTTTGATCTGGGGACGGAATCACCTACGACATAGTGTATTGATTGGCGGCATGTCAAATGTCGGTCCCCAGCTGGGTCCGGGGTCCGGGTAGCGTTCGAGCATCCTCCAAACAAGGCGGGAAATGCAACGGGAGTGTCCCGAGCACTCCCGCCGGGGGAGGGGATCGTGAAAAAGAGCCAAGTTTTGTCTGGGCCAGTCACGGCGGCGTGTGTGGTCTTGGTATTTCGATGCGCAGGTTTAGCTTCCCAGGGGTTCCGTCCCGGTCCGTCGGATGTGCAGTGGGAATCAACGATGACATTGAACCGAGGTTCGTAACTGGAGTTGCGGGTTTGGTTTGTCGTTGGCGACTACGAGGAGTGCGTTTCTTTCTTTCTCCCTTCTTTCTTTTTGGAGATACTCACTGCTAGCTAGGCATTGGGACTGCGACATTGCAAAGGTCTTTGGGCCACTGCGTGCTCTATATGCCGTTCCGGGTCCGCACCCCTTCAGGTCCGAGTTGAATAGCTGGAGGCGAGCTTGCGAGCTTATGAGGACGGCTGCCAAATACAGGACATGATTCGACTACATTCATGTCGTAGTGCATACAGTAGAACCGACGGACGAGTCTGACGTCTTACGGTGGGTTGGAGAAGGAGTGTTCAATATCCAACATTATACACGAAACAAAAAAAGTTACACGGCACTGTATTACAACTAACGTGTGTGCCCAAGTCCTGAAGGTAGCCGAACGAGGCTGGGCGCCTTGGCTTGGTTGATGGCTGCTCCGCGCTTCAAGGCATTTTATTTCGCCGTGCGACCACATACACATATGATGAACATGCAAGGCGAGTTTCCATCAGTAGCCCCCCTGCCTCCAAGTTTTGGCGTGCGTTTGGTTCCTATCATTAGATGTGTTTGGCACGATTCTAACACATGCAGGAGGCTTGCCGAATGAGGTGATTTATTGCCAGCCCATCAAGCGCCCTGGTGTTGGTAGCAGAGCGTGTCTGCCGGCCCAATGATTGGCTGCTTGCCCATGGCTTTTTCAAGTGCAAAGCTACAAGACAGACATGGGGTACGCGAGCGACTCATACGTAATGCTCGCCATGTCTTGGAGACTTGCTGTGACCATGCCGCAGATGGGCATCATTGGCTCAAGGAGCGAAATAAGCTTAGTCTCCTCTTCCCAGAACATGCAGACTGGCGCAAGCGCGACGTTATCGCCCTCCACAAGAGTCCAGACCTCTTGGGAACCTGCGTCGGCGTGTGGTGTTCGTACACAGGGGCATGGACGGGTAATAATAGTATTACTACTCGGCACCGAGTAGCGCCCGGTGGCAACAGATGCGGCATTCCTGGCGACGAGGGAAGAGACACTGTTTCATGCTGCTGTACGGAGTAGCCTGTCAGTCAACCGCCCGTCGATTGGCAAGTTTGTGCTGGGGAAAATGAGCAGTGATGGATGCTTGCGGATGTGTTTTTGCCAGTCAGCCCGAGTCCGACGGCGACGACGAGGGCGACGACGAGGCCAGACAGGCTGCGCCCGCGATGGACACGGTCTTGGTCTGGCAGACTGGCAGCGTCTGCTCGGTATCAGGACCTCCCCATAATCGTGGCGTGGTCGACGTCTTTGTTCGTTCACGTCGGCACCGTTGTGCCGTCCAGCCCACCCGACCCTTTCTTTTCCACATGCCTGCACCCGCACCCGTACCCGCACCCGCACCCGCACCCTTGAATCCCTGAAGCCGTGGCTTGGTGGCCCCATGGCGCTAAATCGTCAATCGATGTGAATGATGCCGTTTTCCCGACAGCTTAGTCCTGTTCTGGCGACGTGCTGCGCGCCCTTGGAAAGCTTTGAGCTTGATCGTGGGAAAGGAGCGGTCGATACGGAGTAGGGGATGGGATGGACCCGGTGACGGGTGTGAGTGGGCGACTTTTCACTCCAAGGAAGGAACGAAGCACCCGAGGTTTTCCTGCCCTCGGGGCTCGTACCGATCCTCGTTCCTTCCTCATCTTGTTTTGCCTCACCAGAGTCACCAACAACCCACGTCTTGCACGTGCCCTTCGCCGAAACCAACGATGCGTCTGCCTACGACCGTCAGCGTTTGGTCAATAGACTCGCCCATGTACTCCGTGCCTAGGTGACTGAGTACTCAAGCAGGTAGGTACCAGGTACCTAGCTTAAGTAGGTACTTAAGTACCTAGGCACGGAGTACGACCGTGTGCAGTGCGAAGTACGTAGCACTTTCAAGCAGGAGTACTCCGTACTCCGTACTCCGTACATGACTTGGCAGCCCTGGTCTGGGCTCGTCTGGGCTCGTCTGGCCTGCCTGCCTGCTGCCTGTGTCCTCGTAGCTCCGCCCCATCGCCCGCCTCAAGACCGACGCCGAAACCGACCCTTGCCCATGCATGTTTGGGCTCGCGCTCGCGCTCTTGCTCGTGCTGACGCCTCATTCAACTCTCTGGCCGTAATCCTCCGTAGCCTCAAGTACACCACACTCCAAGCATGTACACATACATACACACACAATACTTGAGAGTACATATGAACACACATACCAGCTTGTGCACGCCCCCCTTCCTCAGCTTCTTCCCATTCAATTCACTCACTCACTTCCCCCCCATCCAGCTTTATACTTATGTATCTCGGGTGCCTCGCCGAGCAGTCATCGTCCTTCTCTTTCTGAAATCTCGTCGCCCGGACTGGCGCCCGAATTCATCCTATACCCCAGCTCCATACCCCTTCTCCGATTCATTAAAAAAATAATAGAATAATCGCAGTCGCCAAAATCCCGACGACAGACGACATACTCGTCGCCAGCCCGGAAAGCAAAGCTCCAAACACCCAGCATCAATCCGCTCACATCCCCAGATAAACCACCCACATCAAAATCCCGTCAAATCCAACAAGACGCCTAACAAACCGGGACATTCATCACTCATCACCCAACCTTTGTCCCCGACTTGCTGAGCATCCAAAAAGAATTAAAAAAAAAAAGAAAACGAAAAAGAGGGCGCAGCAACCACTCGACCCCGTCCGTCCAACCACCCATCCCAACTCGCTTCTCGCTCTCGGCAAAAATACCAAGATGCGCCTCTCGCCCATCCTCCTCCTCCTCACAGCCGCCGCGGCCGCCTCCGCTGCGCCGACACGGCCCCAGCGCCCCGTCATAGCCGACGACGACACCCTCCTGGACCGCAGGGCCGTGGTGCACGTGGAAATCGTCCAAGCCCACACCAGCCGTTTCACAAACGCGGTCATGACCAAAATCACCCGCTACGCCTCGGACGCGGCCTCGGACGTCCAGGGCTTCCTGAGCGGGTCGTTTGGCGGCGCCGTCGCCGACCCCAGCGGCGACGTCATGACCGTCGCGTACGGCCAGCGCGCGTCCCCCTTGACCACGGCCGCCCGGCGGCCGCACGCACACCAGGACGGCCGCCGCCGCCGCCACAGAATCTCCCTGCTGGGCTTCAGGAACCGGCTGGCCGTGTTCATCCTGGCCTTTTCGCTGGCCCTGGCCGTCGTGTGTTCGTACCTGAGACGGTGAGCTCCCCCTCCATCCGTCCTGCTGTCGTGCCTGTGATGTTTCTCGAGACGGGGCCGGGGCCGGGGCTAACAGTTTCCTCCAGGGCGTACATTGTCTCGCTGAAAGAGCCGGTAGAGGCCCAGGCTGAGGTCGACACGGGCTCGGTGGAGAAGGCCTCGTCACGGAGCAACAGGGCTGATGAGACGACGCACTCATCATGAGTCATGACCCCGTGAGCTGACATGCCGAGGGGAGGGACTGCGCTCTGGCACAGGAGTGACAGCACGCTTGCTTTGCTTTGCTGTAGCGACTTTTATATATATTTGCATGCATGGGGGCACTTGTACATTCTTACTAGCATGGCGTTATTGTATTCGGTCGGGGCGCAGCGGACCCCCGGGGAGACGGAAGTCGGACCAGATTCCCACACGACAAGGCAGGATTGGAATTTCATCAATATACTCCGGGTATGCTTGTGCCCACTCGTATGTATGGTCAGGCGTCCCGCCGCCGCAGTTGGCATCGCCATTCCACCATCCATTTTTCCATGACCGTAAGCCGTCTCGTCTCGCCTCCTTCACGGGCCGCAGCCGCGTCGCAACCAATCGTGACCCTCGGCAGCCCGCAAACAAAGGACTGGCAACCTGGAAAATGGCGATTGCGCCATCCAACAACACTGGCCCGGACCAACAACAGCAACAACCCGGCCGCAGTAGACCATTCGGAACAGACCCTGAGAAGTTGAGAAACAAGAATATATGGTATTTGAATCTGCAGGAAAAAGCAAAAGGGGGCCAGGTCTCTGAAACCAGTCGTCACCCTGCACCAACGCAGGGCCATGTATGTGCATGTAGTTATCTATGCCGTACACTTCCACTGCCACTCGTTATATGCCTCAACCAACAACAACCACGACAACAACAACTTCAACCTCGACGCCGCAAAAATAGAAACAGGCCAGACAAGCGGAACCACGTTGAAGTTGTCCCGGGATTGGATCGTTTCCGAAACGCCAGGCCGAATTTGGCCCAGATTCCTGAATCCTGATGCTCCGCTCGCGGCCCACGGGTCAGCCGTCGACAACCTCAAACTACACACAGCCTTTGGGAGGGGCCAGAGCGAGCCAGAGACAAGAACAAGACGGCCATGGGTTTGCCATCCGTCATGGCCACTTGCGAGACTGCGCAGAATCAGTATGTGAATGTTGGGTCGTGCGGCGTGCCGTTGGTTCTGCTCATGCATTTCAGGTTTGTCAGATATTCGCCTCCCTTATCCGCCCCCTTCCTCTTTACGGTGTATTGCTTTTGAAATCTCAGGGAGGCCACAGTCTAGCTGACGCGGGACCGTGTCTTTCTCTCCCCCTCCAGGGGCGCAATGGATCACTGGGACCCGGCTTTGATCAATCCGCTGGCCGCCCGTCGACCGGTTGTGCTCATTGATGACGCTGGTGTTGGACGGTCACGGGGCGACCTTTTCCGACTGGGCCGGGAACTACGTCGACGTGATGGAGGCGATGGGGATCCGGCGAGCCCATGTGATGGGCTTCTCCACGGGAGGACGTGCCGCACAGGTGCTTGCTCTCAACGCTCCCTCGCTCGTGCGAGGCCTGGCTCTCTGTGGCACCGTGCCGAGCACTGGCGATGGTGTTGTAAAGGCACCGCTCGGGCCCTTCAGCCAGCTTAAAGCCGCCGCAACCGCCGACGAGCACCGCAGGGCCTTTCTAGATGCCTTCTTTCATGCCTCGGAGCGCCAGCCAGGCCGCAGGCGTGGCGTCCTGGGACCGCGTCACCAAGGCTCGATCTGACAGATCAGATTATGTCGAGGCGCGAGACGCCCATGGGCAGGCTGTCTCGTTCGCCGAGTTTATGGACCCCAAGCAGGCTAGAGGCGCATCGTACGGCCGCCTCCATGAACGTCGACTTCCGGTGTTGATTGCCAGTGGTACGTTTTGTTTTGCCCTCACCCGTGCGGGTTGATTAGCCTCGTCTGACGTGAAAATTTCTAGGATGCAGTGACCTTCTGTTGCCGACAGAGAACAGCATCCTCTTGTGGGACAAACTCAGCCACGCAGATGCGCAACTTCACCTGTATCCCGATTCAGGCCGCGGCTTTCTTTTTCAGTACGCCACCGCGTTCTCGGGTCTGATAAATGATTTCCTCGACATGACTGCGGACCAGACCGGTCGGCTACAAGGCCCTCCCTAGGTGTACGCTTATCAACATATTGGTCAGTTTGGCCACGATACAAGATGATTCAAAGACCAGATCGTGTTAGCGGTTCCTCTCCGTGTGTCTCCGCGCTTCCGTCAGATTGAAGACGAGGTGAGGAGGAGCTTGATCAAAGTTGTCCAACAGTACGAATCTGATTGGTTTCCAGGATAACTGAGTGCAACCTTACCTTGGAACCTTGTGTGCGGATGGAAAGCCACGCACGCCTACAGTGCGGAAACCCTGTCACCTTGCCTGCTTGTCCATCACTTTGACCAAGAAACCAAATGATACGACGATGCATGGCGACTGTAGAAGCCCGACCAACGGAAGCGTGCAAAACGGCCAACTAGACGGGTAGATACGTGATCACGAAGCCGCACCCGTGGGCAACGTGGCAAACGCCCGATGTCGCTCACATCGCCATCGCGGGTTGGGGCGTCGTCGTCGTCGTCGTCAATGCAGTGTCCACGCGCCGTTCCCGTCGCGGTGACGAGACCAGTCAGCTTGTGCAATCCAAAAGTCACACGCGGATTGGTCCTTGACGTCGCGGCAAGCGGGCACAAAACAGGAAAAAGAGGCGGATCGTGGCCTCGCCCCCGGGATTCGCACAAGGACCGTCCCGATGGTTTGCAGGGCGCACCTAAGTCGCTACCTGTCATGCGGCTCCCCGTGCTTTTCTCCATGCAAGTTCCTGAGACACAGCCTTGTTCTTACTACATCCCTTTGATTGTGTCAAGGTGCCACCTAGGTAGGTATCAGAATCGGACTGTGGCCGATTACAAGTTGTGTATTGGAAGGTACTTGGGCCCACTGAGAAATATCATAACAATAGAAGTACTAGCAATTTTACAAGTTATAAAGAGCTATATTGCACTTATTACAGCTAAACCTTATATATAGAGCCCTTTTAATGCTGTTCCTGCTAACCTCTTTGAATAGCTTTCTTTTTCAACTTCTTGAGCGAATTTAGCTGCACTGAAAGCCTTAATAGGCAATATATTGAGCTTATTTTCCTTGGCAAATATATTTACACTATAATATAAGCGCAAGCATATTGCCTGCCTAAAATCTCTGCTAGCTTATGCTATCTTTTGTAAAGGCCCTAAAAAGCTCCTTAAGAAGCTAGTATTCTAACTATACTGCTTTTTATAGAGCCTCTAAGCTAGGCTGCTGTAGCTCTATAGAATATAGCTGTTTATAAGAGCTACCTTAAGCAGGAAGGTCTATGTAATTGCCTGCCAACTGTGATAGACTAGCCCTATTGAGCCGTAGCCGGTGCCAGCCGCAGTCATCCCAGTGGTGTGCTGGACCCCTAGCCATTGAGCCAAAGAGTACGTAATGAACACTATATAGGTGAGTGCACGAAGAGGTAGGCTATGTCCATTCCGTTGCGGCTGGCTATAGGTTGGGCTGTAGCCCAGACCATAACAGGTATAGAAAAAGGTACAAAAGTAAAGCTGTAATTACATATAGAGTTAAAAAGAGGCTTTATTGTACCTCTATTATCCAGCTGCTTAATTTAGCAGTACTCAAGGCAGATAAATAATATACTAGTAGCTGTCAAGATACTTATAATATCACTATTTAGGTTAGTCTAAATTCCTAGTGTGAGTATTTTGGTGTGGAAGGTTTGGTGGCTGACTTTATTGCCACAAAGGTACCTGCTACGATTCGAAGAAAGGTAGGGCGAATACCTGACCGGCACCTTAACACCATCAAAGGGATGGGATGTAAGGAGTCAATGGAGCTGAGTTTCATTCCAACCATAACGCCTATTGGGTTGTTGGCTGAGTGACGAACCCAACATGACGCAGTTAGCCGCTGGACACATTGGGAACGAACCGTCGGTGAAGCTCGTCTCCAACACAGGTGGCTGTGACACAGTGTGCGTGCTTTTCGTCTGCCAGCTACGCCGACGATGTCTTCACGAGAGTGCCTCCGAAACGACCGAGCCAGACCGCATACGGTTCGGATCCATCACATAATCACGATGGCGTTGGGCGAAAAGCCCAACGATAAGTAGGGCCACGTCCTCGTCTCCGTTGTGTGTCTGGTTGTTAGTCCGCCACATTGATTCAGCCGTATATAAGTCTGGGCCCAGCCATGTCCCGACAGCTTGGGACGGGGCTGAAACTAAATTGCCTCTGACTTCTTCAAACAGTATAAACAGAGAGTATAAACAGAGCTGTCACAGACAACCCACCCCCCACCTCCTTCTCCCAACGACCCTGATGAGACTCGAGATATCATGAAATGGCGGCTCCACAGTGTTGTGGTGACTCAAAGAGCGACGAGTGTGCACAAAGACAAGGTCGCTACCAAATGGCAACATTTGCCGAGTTACCTGCTGAGCTTCGACTCAAGATTTGGTCCTGCGCTGTGGAACCTCGGGTTGTCATCTTGGACGACCTGGTTCACCAGAAGCAGGCATATCAACTGCCTTCGGTCACGCAATTGAATGCGGAAGCCCGCGCGGAGACTCGCCGAGGCTATGAACCAGTTGGGCGCGGGTCATGTTTTCACTTTTCACGAGACATATTGGTTTGTGACGCCAATATTTCGGACCAGAGTCCAAATACGCCACTGGAGGAGCTGGCGTTGCGCGTGCAACGGCTCGCCTTCTGGGACTGCTTTCCCGACGATGGTCGCATAGACGGCCTGTGCCATTACTCGCAGTACCTTGCACGATGCTACCCCGGCGGGCACGACGGCAAAATCGAGTTTGACAAGTTTTGGTTTCCAAATCTGCGAGATCTCTGGATCGTCAAGGTCGGCGAGGTAGATCGGTCTTGGATGGTGGGTGTCGATCAGGACGTGCCGTGCGAGGTTCGTCTTCGGAAAACGGCACGACAGTTTCGATACTGGGTCGATGACAACATCGTTGAAATTGCGCCACTGGACTTGAACGAAGCAGAGACCAAGCTGATCCTGCGGGAGGGGAGATGCGGCAAAGTAGATTGCCAAGAGCTGAACCACGGCCGGCAGAGAATGGTGTCGAAAATCGTCTTTGTCGATGGCAAGTACAACACCGACAGGCAAGACGACAAGGCAAACAAGTGGAAGCGCATTTGCCCTTGGTCCACCACTCTCGAGCAAGGGAGTACGGAGAGCGATGCATCTGCCAACCGAACGAGGTGGATCATGGTTGAGCGCATTCTGACATTTTCACTACGATGGCATGGTTCTGAAGAGTTGGACAAGCCGTCATCTGATCATCGACGTGTACGCCACGTGCAGGGGGCGATCAAGCCCGTGTGAAGCTTGACAAAGGGAAAGAAAAAGAAAGAGAAGAAGCAATCTACCCGAAAATGTGGTCATACACAATTTTCGTGCACGACACATGAACGGCATTCAACCAAGACGATGTGGTTGCGAGACGAGGGGAATCATGAAGTGGAATCAAGTGGACGGAAAGTGCGTTGCGCGAAGCACGTCACGTGCGTCTCCATGTCAACGAGCCTTGTTCCTCATCAACCGGATTTCAATGGGAGCCGTTCGTGTCCTAGATTTGTTTGATAATTGATTGATACATAAGTATTTTGTATGACGCTGTTTGTACGACCCCTGCCCCAGCCAGGAGCTGTGCAGCGGATTATATGTGTGACAACTCCCACAGAAGGCGGTTGGGATCAACGCCGACAGCCAGAGGTCCGTAAACGGTGAGAAAGCAAGCCATGCCATCCTCATGCTTGATCTGCCGGGCGACCTCTGCGTTGAGTCGCAGCCATGGCTGGCCAACCGGTGGTGTAATTCGTCCGATTAGTGTCAGCCTTGCCAAAAGATGATGCCGCATAACACACGCCACGTCCTGTGCTTCATATTCCTGATCCATGACTTGTACATCGGCAATCAGACAGATCCGGTGCCGATCTTGACTCAGGCGTTTCAGAAGCCAATACTAGTTCGGACGAAGGTCGTCACTGCACATTCTTTGTTGTCCTTGCCACATTCGCGAGATGAAGTGATTGGTTGGCTTCTGCCATGTTTAACACGTGTCTCAACTGCCAAAGACTATCGAGCAAATGAACCAGCTACGTCCATGTTGCTAATTCCAGACAACCCTCACTCGTGGACCAGTGCTTCTGGCTCCGGTCCGACTTCTATGTCGGCCAGGTTAGCTCGATGATACTCCGTACTGCGGAGCGAAGAAGAGAAGTGTACCTGCTAGCCAAGGCAGAGTTCGTGTCGCGAGCCGTGCTCTGAATTGCGGTAATGCCTTGGCGCATACTTTTGGCTTTTGGGGTGTATATCTTCTCGCCACCTCGTCCGCCAGCTTCCAGCTCGAGTCCATGACAGTTGAAATGCTTCTGTGACGAGGGCCTGGTGATAGGGGCTGCTTGGAGCAAATGTGACTCCATGCAGAGATGGTCTCGTATGATATCAAAGGCCCTTGGAAAGGTTCAGTCTCAGGAACCGGCCTACAAGCTTCATATGTATGTGATGCTTCCTGTGGCTTGTGAGGCCATCACGAGGCCTGCAACCTTTGCATAAGCAGCTATTAGCCATGATTGGCTGTTAACGGAAAAGGGGTTCCTTTTACGTGTACCAGCTTTTTCCTACATAAAGCCAAGTGCTTTTTCAAATCAAGGACATATTCCATCTTCTCTTTTATTAGTCTCCCTCGTTTCTTCTGTCTCCTCCTTCTTCTTCTTCAAGCGTTGGTATTGTCAATCTAAGATGTACGTGTCATCTTGCTAGTGCACTTGTTTCCATTTTGTGATGCGAGCCGGTCAAGGTCATTTTTGCGTGACCGATCCGCCCAAGAAAGGCAGTGGAAGAGAAAGGCAAGCGGTTCGCGCCATCTCGTCACTGCTGCCGCCCTCGTAGAGGACCTTTAATGCCAAAGTGTGTTATATGATGTATTGAGCTGTGTGCTGCTGCAAGCCCTTATCCGACACTTGCTGTGAGACGAGCCCTTGTCAAACCATCGCCCGTCCCGCCTCCCCAGCACGGGCTGATTGATAGATGACAGGAAGCCGGACAGGAGGGCCATCATCATAGCGCCGCTATTATACCTCAACAACTACTACAGCGGCTACATCTGTGCGTGGCGTGATCCGTCAGCTGCTCCTGCTCGCCAGGGCAAGTGGGAAAAATGGTGCCGTGAGATGCTTTCTATTATAAACAAATCCAGGAATTGCCTCCCGGGGGCCTAGCCCCTTCTTCCCGGTCCACGTAAACTCGCGGCACGCGACCAAGTCCCCGCCTTTTTCAATCTTCCGAAACTCAATGCTGCAGGTGACTGTGGCGCCGCAAGTCCGCCTTGTTCTCGGCTTGGAATATTCGAGTCGACTTGTTCCCAGTCGTTTTTCCCTCGCCCAAGCTTGCCCTCTCCGCTACCGTCCATGGCCGCGGGCGGGAGCAGGGGAAGCTTGGCTGGTCCATCACGACCTTTCATCATCGCACCGCGAAGGGCGACCCAGGACTCGACTTGCCCGTTGCTTGCCTCCTCGACGCAGTTGCATTCATCCCCAGCTGGGCACAAGGTCTCGCCGGATGTGTGCCATTCCGCAAGACATGCTTCGTGGCTGGCACATCCGCACGCAAGGCACGGTGGGAATAGTGCGTCGACGGGCTCTAGGCAGTATACACACTGGAGCTGTGTCTGTGTCCGGTGACACCGATCGCACGTTCCGACGGCACCCCCAATATTGTTCTGGGAGGATGTATAGCGTGCTGGTTCAAGCTGCGTCTCGTGAGTGCGACAGATGCCCGTGACGTCCAAACCACGACCAGAAGCCACGAGATTGTGGAGCTGGTCTTTCTTGCCCATGACGATGGGGGATGAGCCTGTCTTGTGGTGGCCGATGGTGCCGCTTGCTCCATCTCTCAATGTTGTCGCGTCGTGAAAGCTTCCGTCATTTGTTGCCATCGCCGCTGCTGAATCGTCGCAAAGGATATTGAATTTCATGATCTCGAGTCGTGCCAGGGGCTGGTTCCACACCTGCAACATCTCTGCATAGGCGTAACGGTATCTGGCGTAAATACTGCATCGGCCAGAGTCTAGAAGCGGCGTATTCAACCATCCATCGTCATCGAATATTGACTGATCCGCCTGGACGACGTTGACTGATATGGGAACAAGCGACAGCAGGTCATCTCGGCGATAATCTTCGTCCGACAATGAGGTTCTAGCCAGGCCGGAGTCACCCGAGGCATTTCCAGGTCCTTGCGTAGATGTTCCAGAGTTGGCGGTAGTGGGTACAATGCTGTTCATGATATATTCCGCAGGGCTAGTCCTCTTTTTTCCTTGACTCGGCGGTGACGACGAGCCGCCGCCACCGAAAGGCTTCGGCAGCGTTGCGGTAAAAGCTGCCGCGAGACCGGTGTTCCCTCTCAAAATTCCCCGACTCGTAGGTGATCGCGAAATTGGCTGCTGTGGAGGGTCACTGTCACCAAGGAGCGTCTTACTCTTCATAGGGGGCGTCTCTCCGCAGGAATAGGAGCCGGTCCCTGCATCACAGCCCCAGAGGAACTCATCAGAGGCATGAGATCCCGGATAGTGAACAGGGGTATGGAGAGTCCCAGGTGTCGTAGCTGCTGAGGTTGTATGGCTCCGGCTGTAAAGATTCCATTTCCACATCGAAGCATCTGCGGGGAAATAATCCAACGAGAAGGACGGCGCCTTCAAAGGCAGAGGAGTGTCTTGCTTCGGAAGATGAGACTCGACATACGCAACCCCATCATCCGTGTACGGCTCACTGAAAACACACGACAGCATGGCTAACATCTGGATATCGGCGAGTCTCTCGAAATGATCGAAGAGGTCCATGATGAACTCTTTAGCGAGCGGGTGCTGCCCCCATTTAACTTTGCCAACAAGACCGCTGTCGTTACTTGACGACGGGTCGGCCTGTGATTTTTCGATTGTGGCATGCTTCGATGCGGCATCTCGCGCAATGACTAAAATCGAAGCTTCATTGTGACCACGGCCCAAGACTTCCAAAGGGATTCCCTTTGTAAGCAATAGTGCCAAGTAACGCCATACTTGTACTAATTCAGCGTTGCCATATTTCTCCGCGACCTGTGCATTGTGTTCACATACGTCAGCACCGTCGCCAAAGATGGCGTATTCCTCCGCAAATTCTCTCTTCGACGGAAGCTCGGCTCTCAAGTCATGTATGACAATCAAATTTCGAGGCCGCCCGAACCGCCGACGGCTTGTCCCTGTACCGGTGCCGGTGCCCGCGCCAGTTCCGCCGCCACTCGACCTGACAGATCGATCTTCGCTCCAAGTTTTGCGTAGCTGTCTGCTCGAGCTGTACCACAGGTTCATCTTATGCATCGAGGTTGACTCAGAACCGCTCGATGACGATGAAGACATTTCACTGTCAGACTCGTCCGACTGATCGTCCGTGACAGAGGCCTCATCCATTACATACTTGTGCTTGGGAGGCACATCATAAGTAAGGCGGCCGAACCCCGCAAAGAACGGCTCTCCTTTGGGACGTTCCTTGTTATAGAATTCTGCCGAGGTACAGAAAAGCGCGCGGGCTTTCTCCTCCTTTGACGGGAAGAAGCAAACAAGTCGACCATCCGGGGAAAATCGAGCGCCACAAGTACGGGGCGGAGGTGGAATAATGTTACGATTAGGTAGTGGCGCAAGAGTCGTGTCAGCATCTGCATGGGGCAGCTCTTGGGACATTGAAGCAGATCCTCCAGCAGGGATATCCTCGTCTTCCTCGCTGGAGCTCTCATCCGCCAGGCCATCAATATCATCATCCAGGTCTCGAACATTCTTAAAGAAGGTAGTACTAGACTCTAAATCGACTTCACCAAGTAAGTAGGTGAAGGTGACTTCGAGACAGTTTTGCTTTCTTTGCAGAAACTGTTCCGCGAGTTGGTGTATTTCCCGCATTATCTTCTTGTGTGTGTCTTCTGGCATGAAGGACGTCTTTTCGATGTAGAATGTTGGCGGCTTGAGCTTGGGATATTCCGCCGGGATGTCGATTTTCACCTTCACAAAGATGGGCTCCCCATCGAGGCCCCAGGGTCCTGTTAGAGACGCATTTAATGTTAAGTTGTCCATGTCTATATTTTCCCATTTGACTTTGGGAATCTGCGTGCTGATACGAAGAAGTTCTTCTTGAATGGTGTCTGGTTGGCCCCATTCATCATCCGGATAGTGGTGGTGGCCGAGAATTCCGTGGTCTTTGGAAGCATGAGGCCTGTAGCCGTTACTCCAGGGCTTCCTCTTTGTCATGGTGATGCCCTTCATCCATCCAAGTTGAGCTTGGCTCCTGTCCACATGCATACTCGAGTCAATCTTGGCTTTCATTGATGGTCCCCTCCATGCTGGCCGAAGATTCCGATTCAAGCCAGATCGTCCAACAGATGGGGTTCCTCCCTGCTTATATTGCGCAAGGACAGTGCCAGCTCTATGGTCGCTCATTGTGCCCGCCTTGCGGTCACGGCTCGAACTGTCGTCGATGGTGCGGAAGGTCTTGTATGCTGCACCCTGTCTTGTAAGGTTGAGACCTTTTCTTGCCGGGCCGTCTTTGACATGACCAACAGCAGCAAGAATGTTGGCGTCAACACAGTGTAACCTTAGCTCATTATCCGTGCCCCATGACACCAACTGAAACTCGCGATGGTCGATGTTATCATCGGACACGCCTCCTCGGGATCTCCAAAGAAATTCCTTGGCTTTATGATCACCATGGCCCGGAAATACCGCTACAGGATTCGGAGCAACCTCTACTGGAGAGTCTTCCCCCCATAATCTGTCATACAGATACAAATCGCCCGGCTCATTTTGAGGCATGGCCAATAAGCCCCATCCGAATGGTGTGTGACGAGCTCTCCAGACGGGGAAGTCGGTACGGATGACGTGTTCCAGCTCGTCGTCGTCCTTGCCGTAGTCCCAGAATCTAATTGTCTTGTCTAGAGAGCAAGTAACGATACCAGTGCTTCGGATGCGGTTCCAGTCAATTCCATAAATCTTGGATGTATGTGCGCTGATGGACTTGACAGGCTCGGAAGGTTTTCGGTCGTCCCATATGTGCAAGAACCGGTCATGAGCTGAGGCAAGAATGTGAGGATCTTGGCGGTTGAATTTCACTTGAGTTGCACCTGCAAACCAGTCACAGAAGGTCAGAACCGGTTGCCTGGGTCGTCGAAGATCCCACCAATGGACATATCCGTCAACAGAGCACGTGGCAAGCATATCGGGATGATGGGCGGAGAAGTTGACGTCAGTTATCGCGCGGCTGTGTCCATGGAGCGAGTGCTCTATGGCTCCTGTATTGGAATCCTCTCTCAGGTTGAGATTCCATACTAGCGCGCGATGGTTCGCTGTGGACGCAACCCAATAGTCTCGAGCTGCAAAAGGTGACCACTGAACATCACAAACTAGCCACGGGAGTCCGTGACTTCTCAGTCGCCGTGGTGGATTGTATGGAGAGTCCAAGTCCAGAATAGCCAAGCCCTCTGGTCTGCGTAGTCACTGTTAGTCTCACTGAAAAGAAGAGAGGATTGTCGAGGTTCGGGAAAACGAACGATGCAAGCGCAATATCGCGGCCGGAGGGAGAGATCGTTGCGGATCCGACGAGACCTTCCACATGAATAGAACCGTCTGATTCGAAGCTCTCGCTATCATACGCCGATTTGATGATTCTGCCCTTCTTTGGCGACTCGGGCCGTTGGGAAAACGATGGCATTATGACTTCATGTCTTTGGTGACAGACCCTACAACAGAGGTCATGTCGTGGCTCAGTGAGGTGACGGGGAAGTGTAATTGTCGTGATGCCCTTCAAGCCTGGGGGCTGTACGAAATCCTCGCTTGGCCTTGGACACCCAAATGCCGGCAGCTTCGGAAGCTCGTCGTGGCGAGCACGAAGCAATGTCGTTGAAGCTGGAGCTCGCAGATTGGGAATACCGGCAGCTTTATCGCATCTGTCTGGTGCTAGACTACAATGGGCAGGGGAGGTTTTTGGGTCATGGGATCAGGTATCCCTCGGCGGCTGTGTCGCGTGGAGGTACATCCATCCACTCGAGCCGCTAGGCTTTGCCAGCCCATCAACTTCCCCATGTGGCTCAGCGACGATGGCGACCGGGTGCTGGGCCAATGCTGCAAGGTCTCGATTTGCCGATGATGCAGTAAAAAGGCCTGTGGCATCTTCTGAAGAGCTAGACATTTGTTTCACTCACCAGACGGATAACTAGACTTCACCAAGCTCTATGCAGCCCTGCAAACCATGTCTTTGACATGGTGACTTTGATTAGCGGCCGACCCGGAAACCGCCAGGGAACAACGCTGGAAGCCCCTCCTCAATACTACTAAATAACTACACCGTGGAGTCGACCGCTCTGACTAAGTACTGAGTTGGTACTTGAAGTACTTACTTAAGTACCTAGGATAAGCAGGTACCTGAGTAAGTACCTAGGTAGGTAATATGCAGGTGACTGTGGCAGGTGCCAGGTGCCAGCACCACCCCTCAGACCACCACGCACCAGTATTGGGTGCGTGTCGCATGCCCCGCCTCGAATCTGTCGTGAACCGGACTCTTCGACTTCCATAACACCTATGCCGGCCGGCCTCCTGACCGAATAGATTTTGGCCAGGGACAAGATACCTTTCCAATTCTCTAGTTTATTTTTTTGGCCACAGTCTGTCTCGAATTCGCTTCAACCTTGGCAGCAGTCAACATGGCTCTTCCCAAGCGTATCGTCAAAGAGACGGAACGTCTCATGGCAGAGCCGTATGTAATTATTCTCCTCGCCAACCCTAGCGGACGCTTGTCATGACATGAGGCTAGGTATTCGCTGACGATGCATCTTATCTTGTAGTGTCCCCGGAATTAGCGCCGTCCCCCACGAGGATAACCTGCGTTATTTCGATGTCGAAATCCACGGCCCAACACAGTCACCATACGAGGGTGCGCAAATTCCGCACACTCCTCATTCGCATGCATAACCTGTGCTAATGCAAACCTCCCAGGCGGCATCTTCAAGCTCGAGCTGTTCCTTCCCGATGACTACCCCATGACCCCTCCAAAGATTCGCTTCCTCACCAAGATCTTCCACCCCAACGTCGACAAGCTTGGCCGTATATGCTTGGACGTCCTGAAGAGTGCGTCCTTCAATTCCCCTCCCTCTTCGCCAGTGAATACTAAGAATTTCAGATAATTGGTCTCCCGCTCTACAAATCCGCACAATTCTCCTCTCCATCCAGGCCTTGCTCGGCGCCCCGAACCCCGATGACCCTCTCGCTGCAGACGTAGCTAAGAGCTGGAAAGAAGACGAACAAGCGGCAATTGCGACGGCCAAGGAATGGACTAAGAAGTACGCACAGCCATAGTATGGTGCTTCCGAACAAGAATAGCAAAGCGAATGAGTAAGGATTTGAAAGAATTTCAGACTTTTCAGATTCAGCGGTATCGAGGCAAAAATGGGAGACGGGCATCTTTGGAGGAGTTTGACGGGTTTACCTTTTTTTATGTTTCCAGCTTATGATATATTCTTTGGAAGACCATGACATGATTTTTCTTAGACTTCCATGAGATTTTGGTTGGGTTGGTGTATGATGGTTGGCCCCCTATGGTAAGAAATCAGACAATCCGGCAATATGTACGGATAAATACAACGCGTTTTTCTCTTAGAGTGTTTCGACCGCTATCCTTTTAGTAATACATTGCATCAACGCGAAGATTTTTGTTCATGTACAATGAAGCATCTTCCTGATAGTTGGTAACGGCCTCTCAGGTGGCCTTGACGATGTACTACTGTGTGTTGCCTTGAATACTCCGTCAGAGATTGGAAAATTTCCATGACCTTGAAAGTAAGGTTTCTTCTTCGACGCTCCAATAGTCACCGAATACGCACGACGTTCAAGATCAAGTAGTAAGCCTGCTGTAGCACTCTGCCAGACACCGCACGATCGGGACCTTCCAGGCGTGCCAAGCTAAACATCGAGATTCCGCATGGATAGATAGGCTTCAGATGATCACCAGCAGAGACAGGGCTCTGCTTTCTTGAGTATATTGTATCTACAATGCTAGAGTACACAAAGGGAATGATTCGGGTAGTAGTGCGAAACGCAGATTTATTACACCAGCGCCAGGTCGCCAAATCTCTCCTATGCTGGGAATTAGCAATTTGAAGCCGCGTGTGCACATCCGCCACTTGTCGAAACATACCTTGTATCCAGGCACCATCCATCTGCCCTTGGAAATGAGCTGGGTAGTCTTTTCGTCGATAGACTTCTCGGCGGCGGCAACTTCGTCCTGCGGAGTTCAGCGACTTTCCCCAACGGCTTTGCATCGAGTTACATACGACAGTGAGGTCCTCAAAGGGCCGGGCCTCCTCAATGTTCTTCAAAGTGGCAGCGAGATCCTTGAGCTCAAGATCAACAGCCTGCTTGGTGGCCTCGGCGTTCTTGACGGCCTCGACCTCGAAGGCGTCAATGGCCTTGAGCTGGCGGCTGACGTCGTAGGTGACGGGCTTGAAGGCTTTGAAGCGCTTCTCAATCTCGTCGACGATGGCCTGGTTCTTGAGGGTAGATCGGTAGGCAGCAAAGTCGACCGTCGTGGGCTGCTCGGACAGCTGCTGCACCTTGCGGCGGGCATCTTCGTTTCTCTTCTTGAAGGCCTGGAGGGAGGCGACTGTCTGACCGCGAAGGCCCAGAGAGCTGGTGACTTTGACCCAGTCGATCTTGAGAGCTGCGCTGCGCTGTTCCGGCGTAAGGAGTGAAAATTAGCTCATGATCGGGGAATGGTACCGGGTGCGCCGTTTCGGGTTGACGGTCGCGAATGGAGTCGACGACGCGTTCCATCGGAAGCCGTTGGTTCCAATTGAGCATTTCGACTTACCGTGGCCGCCATTTTTGTTTCTGTTTTCGGGGTCTCTTGGAGCGGAGAGCGAGTGTGGTGATGCTGATGATTTGCTGGGCCGAACTTGTCCGACACAAGATCGCGGGCGGGTTCCCTGTCACGTGATTGTCTCCGTGGCTAACGGCCCGTGTTCCGGCTGGTTCTCAAGTTGATGGATTGGACAAGGTATCGGGATGAATCAACGGCGCATTTCGGGTTTGGTTATTGGAGACGGTAGCAATGTAGTCATGGCTTAGTGCTAAGTCGGCTTCGTTGGTTAGGATTGCCTTGCCTGTTAACGGCCTGTTTTCGCCCGTTAATCCATGCGTCGTTCACGCGAGATCAAATTTGAGCCGTTTTCACAAGACCAGGCTAGTTTAATTTTACCAGTGATGCCATGTTTAAACCTATCGGATGAATCTGACAATTTCTTGTCGAAAAGATAGCAGCGTCTGTCAAAAACTAATACAAAGCCACTCATACACGTGCTGTGCAGGAGATGGTTGACGAGAAGTTCATTTGTAGCCCGCTCGCTCCCAAAATCGGTTTTCCCGTTAGATACTCAAGGCCATGATCGAGTTGACAATATCATTATCATTCTCTTTCAGTGCCTTTATCGCCTTCTTGCGACTGACATTGGCCTGGGTCATGACAAGCTCAATGTCCTTATCCTCAAGACCTTCGGCATCGACCTCTTCACCGTCGTCATCGTCGTCATCCTTTTTAGCATCACCAGACTCGACAGCCTTGCTGGGCTCGCCGTGGTTGTGGCCAGCGTGCTCGGCCTCGGCATTAGCAGCGGCCATCTGAGCGGCAGCGGCCTGCTGAGCGGTGGCATTCACATCCTCAATCTTAGCCTCGCCGAAAACACTGCACAATACATATAGTCAGATGTCGTTATTATTTCACCAGATTCGTCGCGATCGAGATACTGACATGTAGGTGTTGCTGTTGGGGGACTTGTAAACCTCGGGGTTGTTGATGACGAAGAGGATCTAGATGGCTAGAGTAAGTTTTCGCGGTCCGCCTATTCATTGAAACAAGCTCCTTTAGAGCCTTCTTCTCTGACATACGTTCTTGGGGCGTCGAAGAGTGACACGGGTGATGCCGGGAACACGGGTAAGGTGCAACTTCTCAATGGCCTTGCGAGCCTTCTTTTCGTTGCGGTTGTGGATCACAGCGGTAGAGCCAGCGGGCAGGCTGGCCTCGCCATCCTCAGCATCGGAATCGTCGCTACTGTCCTCCAGCTCCTCGACGGTAGGTCGCTGAGTCTCCTCATCAGGAAGCTCCTCGATTCTGGGGTTGGCCATTTTGGATGCTGCTGGGACCTACAGCCGTTAGCCTTGGTCGCTTGAAAATCGACAAACGTTCGCTTTGGCAGCCGAATTCAGCAGCGAAAGCTTCTGCAAATTTGCGACAGCAATTGGGCACTTACTAATGTGCTGAGCCCGAATTATCTTTTCCGGCCTGGCTTGAACGGTGATTCTCCTCGAGCTGTTGTGCTGGAGAACGGCAATACAGCGAAATTCTAGGGCTTGGTGGGCAGAGAGCGCTAGGCCAAATTAGGTAATCACGCATTTTTCGAAAGACTTCTTTCCGATGTCATGACAGGCAAGGTAATTCGGCCTGCACCCGCTATCCGCCTATCCAATCACATGTTGCAAAGATAGAGACATCAGAGCTTCGGAAAGAGCTGTCCACGTTTCATTATCAGTGGCTAACTGCTGTCCACACAGTACATAAGCACAGTCAGGCGACGGGCTTCGGCCATCTGCACTCCTCGGTACCTAGGTAGGTACGGAGTGGTGGTACGTACTGCGTGGGCACTCTGAGTACCTACTTCGTACCGATAAGTCGCTCCCCCTTCCGCGCTAGAATCTGAACCCCTTTGTGGCTAACCACACCAGCGCGCCTTGGCCCCACGACCCTGCAACCCCAACAAAACCTTCTCCGTGCCTGGAGATAAATATTTCTCTGCCGCGGTCGCTGTCGCCGGGTGTTGCCACCTCTCATTCCCGCTGGTGCCTGTCCCGACTCCTGACGACCTTTTATCCCCTGGTTAAAGGTCTACGTCCTGGGCCTTGCATTTCATCTTGTTTCCCGGTCAATTGATTCAGTTGATCATCGACAATACCGACCCTCATCATGGCCTCCTCTGCTCTGCCCAAGAACCCCATGCTGCGCCGCACCGCGACTTCGGCCACGGCCACGGCCTCGGCCACCGACTCCGAATCCTCTGCCGCCGTCTCCCCAGCTGATTCGCCTCGACCTTCGCCTTCGTCCACGTCTCTCTCGTCCCTCTGCTCGCTCGATGCGGATGCCAGCAAAGACGAATACGTCGGCCTTCTCGACACCTACGGCAACCCTTTCACGCCTCCCAACTTCACCATCAAGGACATTCGCGACGCTATTCCGAAGCACTGCTTTGAGCGCTCAGCCCTCCGGGGCTACGGCTACATCCTCCGCGACGTCGTCTGTCTCGCCTCCACCTTCTACGTCTTCCACAACTTTGTGACGCCCGAACATGTACCTTCGACGCCCCTGCGATTCATCCTTTGGGGCATTTACACTGCTCTCCAGGGGCTTTTTGGAACGGGCCTCTGGGTCATTGCACACGAGTGTGGTCACGGTGCATTTTCCACCTCCAGCTTCATCAATGACCTGACTGGCTGGGTTGTGCACTCTGCCCTTCTTGTCCCCTATTTCAGCTGGAAGTTCTCCCACAGTGCCCACCACAAGGCCACTGGCCACATGGAGCGCGACATGGTCTTTCTGCCCCGGACTCGTGAGCAGCAGGCCACCCGCGCAGGACGCATGGTCCACGAGCTCGGCGAGCTTTGCGAGGAGACCCCCGTCTACACCCTGCTGCACCTCGTTGCTCAGCAGCTCATCGGATGGCCCAACTACCTCCTCACCAACGTCACGGGCCACAACTTCCATGAACGTCAGCGAGAGGGACGTGGCAAGGGCAAGAAAAACGGTATCGGTGGTGGTGTGAACCACTTTGACCCCAGCTCACCCATCTTCGACAGGAAGCACGCCAAGTACATTGTTCTCTCCGACATAGGTCTGGCCGTTGCCTTCAGTGCTCTCGCCTTGCTTGGTCACCGATTTGGTTGGGCCAATATGGCTGTCTGGTATTTCATCCCGTATCTGTGGGTGAATCACTGGCTTGGTAAGTCTTGTTGCCGTTGGCACTCGGTATCTGGCCACGCGTATTAACGAAATGCCCTCTAGTTGCCATCACCTTCCTCCAGCACACCGACCCAACTCTGCCTCACTACACGGCCGAGGAGTGGAATTTCGTCCGCGGCGCTGCTGCCACGATTGACCGTGAGATGGGCTTCGTCGGCCGACACCTGCTCCACGGCATCATCGAGACTCACGTCCTGCACCACTATGTCAGCTCCATCCCCTTCTACAACGCCGACGAAGCTTCCGAGGCCATCAAGCCCGTCATGGGCAGACACTACCGCGCTGATACCAAGGACGGGCCCTGGGGCTTTATCCGTGCTCTGTGGCTCAGCGCACGCTGGTGTCAGTGGGTTGAGCCCAGCGCTGATGCTCAGGGTGCCGGCAAAGGCGTCTTGTTCTTCCGTAATAGCAACGGCCTTGGCACCAAGCCCATTTCCATGAAGGCCGAGTAAAGAAACGAGGAAAACGACTAGAACAGGTCTTGAATTCCATGTCGGCGTTGATTGATACTCTCTTGAAGGTTGACAATGCTTCCCTTTCGGTTTTTTCATTTTGTTTTTTTTTAAAAAGGGGAGGAGAGCGTGTTGAAGCGACGTCATGATATATATATATATATATATATATATATAACTGCATTTTGGCCACGTTTCTTGTTCTTCCCAGACTGGTGGACTTTGGTACGCGAGCTGGTCTGATTACACGTTGGAGACTGCGGAGGGAGAGGTATTGCAGATGGGGACACCTGATAGACACTTATAGACCACGGCTTACATATAATGAGACGATTAATAGTCGCATGGTCTGACAGGTCGCTTGTATGATTGCTCATGCGCCCCTGACCCACCCATTCTACCTGGGCACATGTGCAGATGGTGCTTGACCATGGCCAATAGCAGGATCAAGTCGACCGCTGGTAATAGTAGTATGTACACTGTACATGGTGCAGCTCTCGGATCATGGACAAAATCAGGGCGCGCGGATGCGGTTCACTTGATCTGTTCTGTGCCCTCTCAGTCGCCCGTAGATGGCTTTTTGAAAGGAGCAATTGGGCAACAAGAGTCTCCAGGGAACAGGAGGGGCGATTTGTGCGTGCCTTCTGGTTTCCTGGAGGCAAGTGAGTGAAGTTGGAGCGTCGTGACTGTGGCCGTGACTCGTGGCGGCCGCGATAGACGGAGAGGATGGTCACGTGTGCGGTTCACGTGATGAAGGTTCTCCGCCTCGCCGATGGACCTGCGCATCGGACATCGAACGGCAGATGATTCAACCCATCAGCCACTCTGTGAGTCCGGACGGTTTGTCACAAGACGTCACACGGAGCCGAGTCTGCAAAGAGGCGATAAGTCACCTTGCCTACGTCGACGAGCTGGCCTTTTATCCGCACGAGCAAAGCACGACGAGAACGACGGTGGCGACGCAAAACAAAACCCGTTCGTCCCGGCGGCGGCGGGAGAGTCCGCGAACCTCGGGCCTCGTGGGAAGGGCGAGGGAGAGCAGCCCCACCTGAGGAGCTACGCCGAACCCTAACCCCAACGTACGTCCGCCTCAGAGTGGAGCCACCATCGGGGGGAAGAAGGTGGGGCGACTCTCGGATTTGCGCCTCCCCTGCCGTCGAGCTGTCTACGGCCGACCTCCGAAGCTGCGTGGTAACTAGTCATGTCGCTGAGGGGCCGACTTTTATGCTCAAGGATGCCGAGCTTTCGTGGGACGACGACGAGCTTCTTCTGCGACTGCTCCCTCTTGCAACTCGCTCGACCCGGACAGTCCTTCCACACGACCCACCGGCCGGGAGAAGGCCCAAGGCGCAAGGGGCAGTGCTTGGAACCGGGTCCATTCTGTCCAGACTAATAAACAGCTTTGGAGCATGCAAGGTCCTTGGGTGCGGTCGAACATGCTGCCGCCGTACTTGTCGATACGGCGACCTGGCAACCTGCTCGTGAAGAAAGGCTGCGAGGGCCTTTTGCCCTGGTTTCGCGCCGTCGAGCGGTTCGGCTTCGAATGGGCCAACAAGGCCCCGACATCCATCCAAGTAAGTAGGCGGGAAGAAATATCCTCTGCGGCACTTGACAATGGGGCAATCCGGGCTGTTTAAGATGAGTGACTTGGCGGAACAAGTGGAGTGTGGGCGCCAAGAGAAGGATGCCAAAGAATGCGATTCAATACTATGAGCTACTATTCATGTCCCTTTCTTTTTTTTCCCTATCAGATCCTCCGACTGACTGGTTTTTTTTTTAGTTTTCTTCTTCTTTTTTTCCGTTTGCTTGTTTTCTCCCTGACCAGTGCCATGACTTGCCCTGCACTTCCAGGGCGGGCAGCGTGATATCGCCGGAACCGTTGATCTACACATTCTGGAACCCTCCTCCCCGTTGCCGCCATGGCTGACGACCGAGGCCCTCAGTTGATGGGAGTCCTCGTAGCTCTCTTCGTCACGTCCGCAATAAGCGGCGCCCTCCGCTTCTACACGCACGGCGTCATCATCAAGCGATTCTTCGCCGAGGACCACGTCACCATCGTCGCGCTGGTAAGACGGCACAAAGGCTTCGATTCGGGGAGAAGAAGGAGAACCCAGCGCGTTAATCAGACCTCATAGCTACTCTACGTCGCGTACACGATAGTCGGCGTCCTGGGGGTCACTCACGGACTGGGCAAGCACACCGTCCATGTGCCGGCGGCCGATCGGCCCGCGGCCATCATGTACAGGTGGCTCGCGTCGCTCTTCTACATCGTCATATCGCTCCTGACCAAGTGGATCGTGGGCCTGTTTCTGCTGCGCATCTGCCCGCACCGGCGCTGGCGGCAGGTCACCATCTGGACCATCCTGGCGTCCGTCACCGTCTTCAGCATCCTGTACTTCTTCTTCGACCTCTTCGCCTGCCAGCCCATCCAGTACCAGTGGCTGCGCTACGATGCCGATGCCGATCCAGCGGACGGGACCTGCAACGCCACAACCTTTGCCACCGTCACGTCGTACATCGCCGCGGTGCTCAACATCGTCGCCGACTGGGCGCTGCCGGCTCTCCCCGCCACGCTGGTGTGGAAGTCGCAAATCGAGCGCCGGATGAAGGTCTCCATCATTGCCCTGCTGTGCCTGGGCTCGACGTACGTCCGACCAGAGGCGTCAAACTGGTGACCGTGCTATGCTAACGCTCCCTCCCGCAGGGCTTCCATCGCAACCATTGTGCGGATACCGTACGCGGACGGTATCCTGGACAACCCAGACTACCTGTACACGTTTACCGACCTCGGCATCTGGAGCACGGTGGAGATTGGAGTCGCCCTGACGGCCTCGAACCTCGCCACGCTGAAGCCGCTGCTGCGCAAGCTGCGCGTTTTCGACAGCATATCCGGCATCACGCAGTATGGCTCCAAGAGCCGACACGCGACGGGCGGTGCAAACGCCGCCTCGGGGCGAAGCGCTGCCAGCCGGTCCAAGTCCTTCGTCAGCGGCAACAACCACATCGTCATCACTGGAGCAGCCTCCAGTCACGACCCACGCGGGCACAGATGGAGTCTCAGAGAGTCCATGGAGCTGGAGCTGGTGGACAGGCGGGAGGGGACCGGTGGCGAGAGCAAGAGCGACCTCGACAAGAGCCCGTGACGATGGTCGCAGCCGGGGCAGGGGGGAGGGCCATGGCCACGGCGGCTTCACTTTATTCATGTACATCCTAGCGCCGAGCCAAGGCGTTCTCATATCACTCGAGCGCAGTGCCGAGAAGCGAGGAGCGAAAACCCGTGACGTACGGCCGTGTACGCCAAGTTGAATGGACTGACGTGCAACGGCGGACCGAGAGAGAGACCGTGATGCTGTCTTGTCCCGCAGTCAATGCCCCCGTCTGGCCCAATTGTTTCTTTACTTGCGCTGTTTCCAATGGCCTCTCATCCTCGGCCGTCTCGAATTCGCCCCCAAATGTGTGTCCGCAAGACCGACCCATCGCGCTGTAGTCTTCCCACGAGGCAGCACAGGAAGCCGTTGTCCGCCACACGTCTGCTTGCACGCGCCCACGGCGAAAGGGACCGCAGCGTTGGCGTTATATGCACGGCCACGCTGCTGAGACGGGCTGATGGATGTTGCCGTGCGTCCATGCCGAGAGGCCCGACGCCCGACGCACCCCCTGCATATGACAGGCAACTCGGGGAACTGAACTGGACGTAGAGCACGACAACGGCGCACACCGTCGCATCACACGGCGTTTGCCACGCCGACACCAGCCTCGGGTGACAGCGTCGGTCCACAACGTGCATGCCGGCGGAGGTGACGCCGGGCGAACGATCCTTCATTTCAGCGTTTGGGAGCTTTCGGGAGGCTCTCTGCTCGGTCCGCGTGGTCTAGCCGGCTGTCGGTCGATGGAGGAGCGAGGTGAAGGCGTGGCTGTCCGCCGGCCGCATCCCACGATAGCTGCCGGCCGGGTAAGGGGAGCTCGAGCAGCGTCGAGGTGGCATCGCCTGTGGTGCCAACGAAGCAAGCATGCCAAGCGTGTCCATTGAAGGACTCGGAGGAATACAATCGTGCGGGGGCAAAGGTGCCCTCGGACAGCCATCTACGGGCCGAATGTGGCGATGAGGAGTAAACAAACGTGCGGTGCTGTCTGGTAGCAGGTTTGCAAAGACCAGTGTCGAGATGCGCCGTGTCAAGAACATCGTCATCCATCTCACATTACCTTGATCAAGTTTCGCCGCGAGAAAGCGCCAGCCTCAACTGCTCTTTTGCGGAAACCCGCCGGACCGCTGGTTCAGTGAGGAGCTTTGTTACTACTCGTGATACTGGTGGGCGCATGCCCGCATCTCTTCACTGTTCCCCTTTTAAATCTACAAGACACCAAGTGTCCTGCGTTGATGGCTACATTTAGTCGCCCAATGCCTCTTGTCCAGCTTCCGTCCCTGCAGCTTCTGCCTCCCTTGGCTTCTTGATGCTCCGCCACTCGACGAACAGCGCAGAAAACAGTTGGGCCAGAGCCAGAGCCAAGGCGCAGTAAAATATACGCGTAATGGCAAGATTGTAGGCGTCCATCACTCTGTCCAAGAAGTGCGAGGGCACGACGTGTCGCAGCTCGGTGGCGCCCGTCTTGACAATGGGCACGGCATCGAATCCAGGCAAGCCGCTCAACTGGTTCACCAGCACACTCGACAGAATGGTCTGGCCGACAGCCACGAAGATGGCGCCGCCGAGCTGCTGAGCAAAGAAGGTGATGGCAACGCCAGTGGAAACGTCTTCCTTGGGGAGCGTGGCTTGCACGGCCAGACCAACAGACTGCATGCCCAGACCGACGCCGAAGCCCGTGAGGAATTGGAACGCGATCCAGCGGCTTGACCCGGTCGCGGGGGTCAATGTGGTGAGGAGGCCCTCGCCAATGGCAGCGATGCAAGGGCACATTATCATGAAGGGCGTGTAGTAGCCGATTTTTTGGGTTCCCGCACCGGAAACGATGGACGCGATGACGAGGCTTAGAACCAGGAGGAGGGTGCAGATGCCTGATTTTACTGCATCTACACCCTTTGTTGCTTGGACTGTTGCGTGAAGATTGTTAGGGGAAAATGGTGTCCATGTATTTCTTTGAGAGGAGACTCCCATGTCGGATGCAACTCACACCACAGTGGTAGGTAATAAACCACCAGCATCATGCCGCCAGCTAGGAAGAGCGTGTTGACCGTTCCGGCCAGCATGGTCCTCTGTTTGATAAGCCTCAAGGGCAACGTTGCTGACGTGGGCATCTTGGTCTGAACCATTGCAAACGCAATACCAGCCAAGCCAAACATGACCAAGAGCAAAATAATGCGCCAGCTATCCCAGGCATACGTCGATCCACCCCATTGCAGCGCCAGGAGCAGACAGACGACACAGGGCACAAAGAAAAAGGTTCCCAGAGGATCAAGACGCATTATCTGCTGCTTCATCGTCGCCGGCTCAACCTTGGCGTCGGCAGGGTGCATGAACAGGCACAACAATGAAAACGCCACGGCTCCGACGGGCAGGTTCAAGTAGAAACACCACCGCCAAGACGCTCGTTCCGTAAAGGCACCGCCCATCAGAGGTCCGACGACGGAGGAGACGCCAAACACCATGCCGAAAAGACCCTGGAACATGGGCCTTTTGTGAAGAGGCACCATGGGGATGATGGCCATCATGGAACCGGTCCAGATGCCCGCCGCACCTACGCCGGCGATGGCGCGGCCGGCGACGAAGGCGGGGGAGCTGGGCGCGGCACCGCACAAGGCCGAGCCAACTTCGAAGATGACAATGGCGATGAGGAACGTCCACCGCGTGCTGTAGAACTTGTATATTCGGCCAAACAGCAGCTGGCACGCCGCTGTTGTCAACAAGTACGCTGAGCCATACCACCCAATATCCCCCAGACTACCGAACTCGTCTGTGATGCGAGGGATGGCAGTCGCCAGAATGGTTCGATCTAGAGCCACGAGAAACATGGGCACGAAGATGGACAGGACGACGAGCCAGAATTTCAAAGTTTTGGGCCGATAGTTGGCTTCGGCCTCGGGGTCGTAGCCAGGGCGCCGCGTCTGAGAAGCCTCGACATCTGGTTCGGTCGCCGAGCTCTGAAGCTTGGCGTCCTTGGTTGGCCCTTCGTCATGGTCGAGGCCGGCGGCCTTTTCGTCAAGAAGCGACATGGAGTTCTGTTTGGTAGTTGCGACTTGTGAGGCTAGGTAAAAGTATCGTCGATATACAGGGGCTCGAGTTATTCACGGGTTATAATGGGCGACATGTTGAGGCCAGGACGTGACGAGGTCAAGGGAGTAGCCGTGATGATTGACCTCGAGGTGAGCAATGCTGGATATTTAACGGTTGGGAAATCGAGAGCTCGGGTGTCAGAGCCGCAATGGATGTCCCGACCTGGCCATGCGCAGGACACGCAGCCATGGCCGCACACACACACAACGTATCGGTATCCGCCATGGCTGTCATGACCAGATATTGTCGCAACGGTTGAGAATGCCGATGTTTGGAGTTTCGGGTGGGAGTGCTTGTCGACATGGCCTGCAGTGGGGCCAGCCGCTAGACCGCTTTCGGCAACTCCCGTCCTTTTCGGGACCGAGACGAACCTCTCTTACCCGAGCGTCCTCGAGTCCTCACCGTCCAAACCTCGTTCACGGTTCGCAGCTCGACCTCGACCAAGGACCAGGCGTGACAACAAGGTCTTTCCAGCGCTTGCTGCTCTGCTTTGTGCGAGCAAGTATCACGCAGCCCGGGATACCCGACGGAGATTTCATCGTCTTTTCCCCGTGTTGGTAAGGCGGCGTCGAGACTCGGGAACCTGGGCAATGCAGCCGACTTACAGCCCGTCAAGCATTTCTCGTCATTGACAGCACGCTTCGAATCTGTGTCGCTGCAGCTCGATACCATCTGTGCGGCAGTTCTTCCTCGCATAAGACGCCGTTACTGGTGCCTGCCGCGTCGGAGACACCAGGACCGCCGCCAAGGCCGAGCCTCGTGGGACAAGCCCGATCTCAGCCCTGCCGACATTGTTGCATTCTTCCGCCAGCCATCCGTCTGACCCAATGACTGGTGTCTCGAAACCAAGCTTGCAGAGTCGGCCATGCTACCATCTGGATCCACTGCTGTCACCAACCTAGTTTCGACTTGCCACCACGAGCCCTCTCATCACACAGCTTCCGTGGCCACCGTCCGGGCTTCCGGACAAGACGCCGTACACACATATATCAAGTCCACACCAATGTCTTCCGATCAGGCCCGTTCCGAGTCCGGATCTGCTCACCCTGGCCCGGTACCCGAGATCCGGCGGGAGCCACAGCATCTCCGGCTGCACCAGGATCCGTCCATGGTCAAACTCACCAGAGGGACGAGCTGCGTGCTCTGTCAGCAGCGCAAGGTACGCTGTGATAAGAACAAGCCGTGTGCCAACTGCCTTAAGGCCGGCGCGGAGTGCAAGGTGATTCCTCCGCAGCCGCCAAGACGGCGCAAGAAGCGGCTGCAGGACAAGGATCTTGTCCAACGACTGAAGAAATACGAGGCCTTGCTAGCCGAGCACGGAGTCAAGTTCGATGCTATTGGCCATGGCATCAGGAGTCAAGGTTCGCATAATGACGAACTGGACGACTTGGAGAATGACTTTGAGGAGTTGAAGACGAGTCCGGCTGCGAGTACGTCGCCCTCTGCAACTTCGCACATTGACAAGTTGGTCGCACGTCCCAGCCGCTTGCTTGTGAAGAGATACTAACCAGATTCCGGACAGGCCAGGACGCACGTCAATATTCTCCCTTGATAGACAGGTAAGCGACTCATGTGTGCAAGTATGCCCGAGAAGTGAAGGGGCTAACAAACAAAAGTTTCGGGCGAGTGATCAACTCCTCCATGACTCCTCAGACGACGACGCCGACGAATCCACCATCAACCGGGCTTTCGACAAGATGTTCTCCAACGACGACGGCTTCCCCTTTGTCTTTTCTGGCCGCCAGGAATCCACCACCCACTACCACCCGCCTGCTATTCACATCTTTCAGCTGTGGCAAATCTACATTGACAACATCAACCCACTGCTCAAGGTCACCCACGTCCCCAGCGTCCAGGGCCAGATCATCCAGGCATCTTCCAACCTGGAAAAGGCCCCCAGGAACATCGAGGCCCTCATGTTTGGCATCTACTGCATGGCCGTCACTTCGATGGAGGACGCCGACGTGGAGAAGATGCTCGGTCGGCCCAAGAGGGAAGTGCTGGCCCAGTTCTTCGAAGGGCTGCAGCAGGCACTGCTCAACGCAGGGCTCATGCGGTTCAACGACTTGATTTCCCTGCAAGCCTATGTTTTATACTTGGTGCGTTCCCACCCCCTCCCCTCGTCGCATCTTGCCCTCTCGTCTTTTCAGACTAAACACCTCTCCCCGTGCAAGTATGCTCGTGTGCTGACGGGCCCAAGTTCGCCATCCGATGGTTCGTCGATCCCCGCCAAGTCTTTTGCCTCATCGGCATAGCCGTGCGCATAGCTCAGAGAATGGGCCTTCACCGCGACCCGGCCGGCTACGGCCTCCCGCCCTTGGAGACGGAGCAGCGTCGCCGGCTCTGGTGGACCATTGTCAGCTACGACCGTCGCATAGGCGAGATGACGGGCTCGACAATCACCGGCCTCTCCTGCGGCGGCGACTGCAAACTGCCCCTCAACGTCAACGACTCGGACCTCCACGTCGACGGCAAAGAGCTCCCCTCGCCGCACAACGGCCCAACCGAGATGCTCTTCGCCCTGACGCGGCTGGAAATCGCAATGGCCGTCGTCAGCAACTCCAGCCGCGACAGCGCCAACACCAACAACCCCGACAAACCGAGCCCGTCGTCCCCTTCGCCAAGCTCCAAACAGTCCCCGGCGCCCCCGACGATTCGCATCGCCGGCCAAGACTCTCCCTCGTACACCCTCGAAGGCTTCTGCGCCCACATGGAAGGCACATACCTCCAGCACTGCGACCCCAGGGTCCCCCTGCACTTCTTCACGCTCACCATGACCAGGCAGACGCTTTCGAAAATGCGCGTCGTCACCTACCTCGTGCGCATGTACGGCACCGACGAGCCCCTCGACGACGTGGAACGCGACAACCTGCTCCTCCTGTGCGTGCAAATGGTCGAGTACGACAACGTCGTCCATGCATCACACTCGCTCAAGCCCTTCAAATGGTTTACCGCGCACCACTTCCCCTTCCCGGCCTACATGTTTCTCAGCCAGGAGCTCCGTCGGCGGTGTGTCGGCCCCGTCGTCGAACGCGCCTGGGAGGCCATCGCCGCCAACCACACATTGCGCGGGTTGATGAACAACCTCCATAGTCCGATGCACGCCGCCTTTGGGCGACACTTTATCAAGGCGTGGGACGCACACGCCGAGGCCTACACCGCCAACGGCAAAGGGTCCCCCCCGGTCCCGTCCTTCATCGCCGTCCTCCGCGACAGGGCCGAGCTTCGACGCAGGGAAAAGACGAAGAATCAACCCGAGCCGGAGATGCAACAGGAGCCGTACGACCTGCCTCGTCCGCGGCAGGGCGCGTCGCCCGATGCGAACGTCACCGTTATGGGGCCGCCCTTGGCAATCAACGCCCCCAGCAGCTTCGGCTTGGGGGACCCGCCGGTGCAGGGTGCCTCGGATATGGATTGGAGTTATTTGATGAACAGTCTTCAGCCGAGCATGACTTTTGGGGACGGGTATCAGGGCTTCGACAACTTTGGGCCGTTTGAGTCTGGGCCCGGGATGACTAGGATGGGCGGCGGCTTGGGGGACCCCGGCCCTGGTGGCGTGTATTACTGAGACTGGGGGACGTAGGATTGTTTGGTTGCATGTTGCTTGTGATACACTACAATGACCAGGGTCTAGCGGCGGCGTCGATATAGGGAAGGATATTATTAGTAGCAGCCTTGGTGTCGATAAAAATCTCTCCTCAGGTATCCCTTGCATATATCCGTAGAGCCACTTGCGATTTTTCTGGTTCAGACTCACAAAATGTAGCATGATATTCTTCTGCCCCCCGGTATGATTTGTTTGGCCTTGCAGTCCGTCCCAAACTGACTTATCAGCCTGTCAAAGTAAAGGCCCCCATGCTTGGGCTTTCTTCTTTTTTTTTAAAAAAAAAAAGAAAGGAAAAAAAAAATAGTTCTGTATGTACCGTTCCTATAATGCTGACTCGTCTGTGTCATGGTCGCTCACTGTCGTCTACCCTGTCAAAGGTTTCTGCGCCCAACAGTCCACCCAGATGTTGTGCGACCGGATATCGGGATTATTGAACGCATCCAGGATCTCTTGTCCAATACTCTCGGCCTCATCCGCCGTTATCCCCATTGCTTCATGCTTCACAAACATAGTGGGCAACCACTCCGAGTGTATTATCTGGTTAAAGATGCCCATCTCTCGCATCTTGGCGTCGCGGTGCCATCGTCCAAACGGGATCTTGTTTTTCCTCTGTGTTATGTTGACATAGCCAATCTCGCCGAGCACGTCGGGGATCTGCGTTGCGATTTGGAGATTCCATCCATACACCTCGGAGAATGACCCGTTGATCAGGTCGTATATTTTGTTTAGTGGGTGTTCGTGATTCACCGCGCCGTCTTCTGAAAAGACGCTGCTAATGATTTCGTGGCACTCAACCCATCCACCTGGCTTCAAATTTCTGTGACTGCGTCAACAGGCTTGATATCAAATCGCGATCAAGAGGCCACCTGACGTACTCAAAGGCTCTTCGTAAAACAAGTTTTGGGTTTCTGAGCGTTGGTAGCAAAGCCCTGATATGAATGACATCTGCGCCGGCATAAATACTGGACCATGGGCGGCGCTCGTCGTCCAAATCTTCGACTCGGAACTCGGCGTTTGGGGGAGCCCACTGCGGTTGAATTGGCGAAAGATCGGTGCCAATGACTCGGGCACTAGGGAATTTCTCTGCGGCTACGGTTAGCTGTTAGTAAGCACGGTCATAATATTCGTAATGCGGTGGGAGGAAGTATAGCAGCATTTACCGTCCAACGCCCAGTATCCGGCACCGGTCCCCAAATCAACAATTTTTTGCGGGCAATCGGGGACAGGTGCCTGAAACTGCTTTCCATCTAGGATGTAGTCTGTGTAGAGCTTGTGTTTGATACCCTCTCTCATCTGCTCCGCCTCATCATTCGGCATACCGTAACGGTTCTGCACAAAGCCTTGGTATCGTCTTTGGTCATGTTAATTAGTACCGGCTGAGTTCGGGGCCAACAACATATGGTCCTTACCTTCCGTGCTCGTATGAATATATGAGATGCCCGGTGTGTATTGACGTAAACTCAGAAATGTCAAAGGACTCATCATAGTCAGAAGTAGCCGCCTCAAAAGAATGCGACGTATTCATGTCCGGAACTGTATGGGTGAGACAAAACAATAAGTCGAAGAATTATCGCCTACGAGGCCCGTGGTATTACCTCCAGTCAGTGATCAAGGAAACACTGTCACTAATGAACAGTCATGGTCAGTTCAGGGAATGGCAAAGATGTCTGACAGCGAGGTCCCAGGGGGTTATTATTATGACATTTGCGAGCTTTACGGCATGAGGTTGAAAAGTCCGGGTTCCGGGTCCGTCCCACCAGAATGATTCAACCCCAGCCGTGCCAAGTGGGCTCTTTTCAACTATTAGAAGGGGAGGGGCCCGAGAGATTGCATGGGATGATGTTGGTCCCAGCACTCTCGGATAATGTGGGGAATGGAAATTGTGTCAGTAGTAGTAACTACTCCGTAGGGCAGTGAAGATCGATTTCTGGACAAGGGTTCCGGGCCACGCCCAATTCCGGGATAGAGATGGTTTGCACGACGAGCATGTGCCGTGAAAAGCACTTGCTGAAAAGCATGTCCGGCTGTCAAGACACAGTAGCTTGTGCAGCGTCCATAAAGGCATGACGATGGTGGTGATGCTAAAAAAAGACCATGGGCACCAGAGATATCGTCAGGGGATAGCCCTCAAGCCATGTTACACACTAAGACATGGCTGAACAAATTGAAGTTGTCTCCATTTGGCTGGGAGTAACGCTGAACCAGGGAGACAAGGCGCATCCGAGAGCCGAGCCTAACTTTAACATGCAGTCCACCACAAGAGTGAAGCCATGCAGTGCAACTGCGGCTGAGGCGCCACGACAAGTACGTATGTATCAACTGACGCTTTCCGTTCTGGAGAACCACTGTCACGGCCTCTGCCATTGCTGGATTGCTGATTGCTAGGAGTATCTCGTATAGGCCGAGCCAATAGATCAAGCAGACGACACCAGCCGACGGCGCGCCCGTTTGACACTCTCCCAGTCACTTTTCAACTGCATACGTCATGCAGCTTGTGTAATATGGTTCATGAGTTGATTGCACGCTCGCCTCGCAGGAAGCATTCGCCCATTGAATCTGACAGGTGGACCTAATATGACTTCTCCCGGTTGACACTGCCTGCCGTTGTGCCGTTTTTGGTAGCTGAAGTCGACAGGTCTCTTTTGACTAGCTTACCAAGCGAGTATAATCGGCCGAACATGATGTCAAGTCTTGGTGTTGTGCAACACGCGATAGCTCCCGCGCTCTTGTCTTCCAAAAATATCACAGTATTTGGGTACGCTTCGTATCTCTGGTTCGCGGGCTATTCGCGAGTTATCCATCTACACTGAATCGATGGGTTGGGCCGTCCTCTTGCTGGGATATTGCATTCCATGTTCTAAATAGGGGACTGAATCCATGTCTTGACGCAGACGGACATGGTTGCATGACAAACGGCTTTGCAGGGAACTATTGTACGATGTTGTGTAAAAATGGGCAGTCCATATGTCCCATTGCCTACTATGCTTGAGCTGCTGAAGAGGCACTTCGAGTCGGGAATCTCTTTGGGGTTCGTTGGCCTCGGTTTGCCGCCCCAGGGATATGCCGCGTTGGTCGTCTGGTCCTATTCATCACCGTTCGTCCGAGGAAAAGAAGGTAATCAAAAGTTAGCTGCTGAATTACAGGTATTTGGCCCTGGATTGATTCGATTTGTGCAGGCTCATTTCAGGAATGTTTCAGTTCCACGTCAATGTACGGAGTACGGAGTAGGGAGGAGCAGCTGTCTGCCTTGGTTGTGATGCCCCGACTCGGTAGCTGAAATTGCAGTGCAATAACGTGTCCGCTCGGCCTATACATGTCAAGCTTCAGGTTGAGTCAGTTGTGTGGGCAACTCGAAGCAAGTGCAAAGTAAGGCTCATGTTGCTGTTGTTTGTTGCCAATCTTTCCGGCCGAGAGCAAGAGCAGTACGCCAAACCGCAACGACAGATACGCGACTATTGGTCAAATAGGATGTGATATGCGGGCAGCAGTGCAGCGCGAGAGTTTGCGGAAGCAAATGTGCTATACGCAAGACGAAAAGTCGTTGGATTCACGCTGATGACGAGACTGCGGTTTTGGCCGCGCGCCGGCTGCGGGCGCAGACTCACAGAGGCTTGAACAGGAACACTGGGCCGTGTAGGAATAGTAGTTGCAGCGTACGGAGTACAGAGTAAGGTTTCAAGGCTGCACAATCGATACAATAGACCACGATGGCTGAGACATGGTTGCTGAAATGAGTTGGGTTGCGATGGGCCGCAGCGGCAGAGGAAGTCAGCAGGTCAGGGTCGTGACTGCCAAACGGCCTCCTGCCGCCACGCATCCCCTGCCCCACCCTTTCCCGTTCGGGTCGGTCCAACCTTCGCGACTGGACGCTTAACGCTTGCTCGCGCCCCGTAAGTGGCAGGCGCGTCCGTGGCGTTCACGTCCACCATCCATCGCGTCCCATAAACAACCTGACTTCTCTGCTGATGCCAGCGCAGCGTGCTCAGCAACCTCTCAACCACACGCCAAACGCGCGATCGAGTGACTAGCATGACCTCTCCTCTGGCATCCGCCCGCCAGTGCAGCATTTGATACCCTAACATTGACAGCGATTAAGTCATTGCAGCACCTGTTAACAGCAGCGCACTTAACACGCATCCATTCATGCAGGCCGCGTCAACCGACTCGAATTGACATCAACATTCCTACAGCAGCCCCAATATCTCTCCCCATGCTTCATGCATTCTCAGGCGCACCGATTTCGACCTTTGCAAAGACTCTGCAGCCATGTATCTGCCACGGTCGTTAATATCGAAGCTCTACACACACCTGCAAACCACCTGCCATCCGTTATCGCCGCCCGTTCTGATTCTTGTAGCCCTCGAACCTGATGCTCTCTGCGGCTGTCGTATACTGACTCGTTTGCTCAAACATGACTACATACCGCACAAGATTCAACCCGTCGCCGGCTACAGCGATCTCGAAAAGGCCGGGAAAGAGCTTGTCATGCCAATGATGGAAAGCCACGGTGGCAGCGGAGGTGTAGTGGTATGCTTGGGCGTGGGAGGCATGGTAGATCTGGGTCCGCTACTGGGTCTGGAGCAGGATGGCGAGGAAGCGCCCTATAGTGGCGTGGAAGTTTGGGTCATTGATGCTCATCGCCCATGGAATCTGGGCAATGTCTTCGGCGGCTTTCCTCTCGAGGCTGCTTCCGAAATGGAGGCTTCGTATCGGTCCCGCACACCGGTTGGTATATCCGGCGGTCAAGTCGGACGTGCGTATAAATCCGGAAAGGGCGGCATCGTGGTATTTGATGATGGCGATATTGAAGATGAGCTGGAAAAGGAACGCGACGCGTATCTGGCCTTGGTCGACATGCCAGACATTGATCACGACCAAGAGGCGCTGGACCTCACGGATGATGAGGACAATTATTATGACGATGACGGCTTGGACTCGGAACCTGCGCGCGCCGGGCAAAAAAGGAAGAGTTGGTCGGACAGGCATGAAGATGAGTCGAGTGACGAAGAGGATCGTCCTCATCGACGACGAAGAAGCAACTCTGTAGGATACAATTGAGCTTGTCACCAATTTCATACGCTGACACAAGACAGTCGAGCCCAATAGCTGATTCACCGCCTCGTCCTACCCGTAGAGGTCTTGTTTCCCTACGACATCCCGAAGCCGGACTATCGAGCGACCCCCTGGAGCCGCCTGTGCCTTCCGCGCGAGCTTTACGAAGACGCCTTTTGCGACTGCGCCGGGAAAAGGAATCTATCCTTCATGACTATTATCGAATGGGCTCATCCTTTGCGGAACCTATCTCCTCCATGATGTACTCCTTAGCGTCGGAGTTGGGTAGAGAGGACAATGATCTCCTCTGGCTAACGATTGTTGGCGTCACATCTATGGAGCTCTATGGCCGATCATCTGCGGGCATCGCGGCACCTATACGTGCCAATGATGCCACCCACAGACCGTCGGGCTGGATGGGCGTTCGAGGCACAAGATTACGCCAACTGCTCCGAGACGAAGTCAGACGCCTTAATCCTCCTGAGATCGCCAACGGTCGAGTCGCCCCAGAAAATGCTGGCGTCATTCCCACAACAGCTAGAAATCCCGAAGACACTAGCATCCGGCTTTCGCCTGAGCCTAGATTCCTTCTTATCCGGCATTGGAGTTTGTACGACAGTATGCTGCATTCGCCATACCTATTTTCTCGTCTGAAAACCTGGAGCGAGACAGGAATCAAACGGCTCCATAAGCTACTGGCCAAGATGGGTGTGAGCTTGGCGCAATGCAAACAGAGCTATACGCACATGGACATGATGCTCAAGCGCGAACTGCGAGCAAAACTACTGAAATACGGCTCCCTGTATAACCTGGACGAAATGGTTCCGCCAGTTGATACAGATGACAAGGACCGAGCTGGCGCCAAAGACGGATGGGGGTTTGTAAGAAGCTGGGGCTGGAGGGCAACGCTCAGTGCTCAAGACGTCGGTGTTGTCATTGGTGCCTTGCTGGAAGTTGGTAAACACGCACACAAAACTGATGTTGCTATGCCAACTAGCCAAATTACTCGCGATGTGGAAGATGATATTGAATTTGCTGCCCAAGCAGAGGAATGGGTTGGCCGGTTCTGGGAAGCCTACGACGCATTAGAGGAGTATGCTCCTATTCCGTTCCCCCCTCTCTCCCCCTTTTATTCATTGCATTAGCTGACATACGTTCGATAGTATTGACTCACTTAAAGCCGGTCTTCCTACAGCACAATTCCTACACCGTGCCATATATCGCACGGGAACTTCACTTATCAACAAGAAGCAGATCAAACATTTGCGAGCATTTCGGATGTGCGTTGTGAAGGACGGCCCAGATGTTGCTTTGTTCACACATCCGGCTGCTCTCACAAAGCTTTCCTTGTGGATAGGTCAGGCGCTGGCAGAGCAGGAGCGAGAGGCTCATGGAAGACTGTCGCGTGGTGGACGAGGAACGCCGCTTGTAGTGGCTAGTCTTAACGAGAAGCGCAGTGTTTACGTTGTAGTTGGCACCGGGGGTGGTGGTGGGCCAGACACGACATTCCTCAACCGTGAGGCAGCAAAACGACGACGGGCGGAAAAGGAAGCCAAGGCCAAAAGGAAGGAATCCGCACGGCTGGCAAAAGAAAAAATCAGAGAAGAGAAACGCGCGGCAAAGCGTGTGGCTGGCCAAGAGGAGGACGAGGATGAGCTGGAGACGGAATCTGAGGCTTCCGACTCTGATTTGGACAACGACTCGGATGATGACGACAAGGAGCCTGAAAGGGGCTACGGCCTGAACAAATTTGGCAGTGCTTTCCAGGAGGTGGTATCGGAGACAAACGCCCGGGTACGGATCGACAGCTTTGAGCATTGCGCTGTAGAGGTCAAGAAAGAGGACCTTGGCGGCTTCTTGGAGAGTTTGAGCATGAAAGCTGTTGTGGGATAACTGAGACAAGACACAGACTTATCGATGTCTTTATGCTTCCTCTCTGTTTGGGTCATGATAAATGATCCGCCAACAGAACCATGGCGTCGGCGCTGAGGGTACAATATACGGCAATATTAGTTTTGGCAACCCAAAACCCCCCTTCCCTTATTTTTTTTTGGCGTGGAATCATGGGGTTGCTCGGCTGGATATGACGATGATTGACGGGGCATTTATGTGGCGGGCATTACTGTTGCATTAGTACGCTGAATGGAATATTTGCATTGGAGCCGGCCGAGCATTCTTGATGACTGTTCCCGGCGTCGTCGGCGTTATTCCATCGTAACCAGGTACTTAATGTCGGTGGACGGTGCTGATCAAGGCTGGCGCTTCAGTGGGCAGCGCCCGTGGACCGGTATTTCTGGAAGTATGAGCCGTCCAGTGATCAATATCAATGATTCCTTGGTCAGACCACCCCGACAAGGGAGTTCCCCTTGGCGGAGAGCCCGACAAAGATTCCTCGCTCCATTGCGCGCGTCATGGTGTCGTCATAGTGTCGACTAAATGAGACTTGGGTGGCCACGTGAGAGAATATGGCCTCGGCTAGCTGTGGAGGCTTGGAGTATGTGAATAAGCTCGTAATGACTGATATCTTCATCTACGACAAGATTCAGCATCCGAATTTTGTTTGAACAAGTCTTTCCGAGAAGTTTTCCACAAGTGCTAGCTGGGCTTTTCCTTGTTCGAGTAGTAATGTGAACACTGAAGACTGGCTTGGGTGGATGGACTATTAACGCTCGTCGCAGCCTCGAAGCGACTGCAAGATGAAGAGAGAGTGAGGCACCAATGAAAGGTAACGGATGGGAAAGACAACTCGTCGATTTGAGTTATTCAATTCCCTGGCAGCATCCACATCCACCGTGGCGCCGATGCCGTCTACACTGGTTGCAACCAGGCTGTCGATGTCTCCGCTGTGGGCACGGCTCGGGACAGGGCCGACTTGTCCAACTCTACATGACAATGAGGGCGAGTAGGATGATTTCTTTCCCGAGATGAGTCAGGAAGCAAGTGTACTAAGTGGACAGCAACGTAGCTAACCTCCCGGATTCCAGGATGGACGTAGCCAGAGGGCATGCCTGCAGAGAGGGAGAAGATTTTGGATAAATTGTTGATTGTCCATGATGTACTCCGGACGAGCAGAACATGGCTGCAAGGAAGAAAAGAATCTTCTCTGAGCCTACCAGATCGAGCCAAGGCCATCTGTGCCTTGTTTGTGTGGGTGGTCAGGCGCTAAGAAGGGGGCTGTGCAAGACTCGCGATACACAGGTCCCGTTCCCGTGGTCGATGGGGGGCCTTTCTGCGACCCGATATTTGTAGAAGGGATCAGGTTGAGTCCGCTATCCCGGATGGGGGATTGAGATGTAGCGGACAGGGGCGCGCTGGTTGTGAGAGAGATGTGCAGGCGTTGTGTGGTGAAGACGGATAGAAGGGAGATGCTGGTCTGGAAGAAGAAGGTTGCGGAGAATACCCAGGTCATGCAGGTTGCAGGTGCAGATGCAAAAGCCGATGACTTGTTCCTGCCTTGTTCCAGTCTGAAAGGATTGTGGATGTGTGGCGGTGTAGCTGTCGCCACTCCGGGGACCACAATGTGGTCTTTGCATGTACTCCGTAGCCCTGAGTGTTCAAAACACGCACGTACTTGGAGATCATGACCATGCTGTAGGTTCGACGACGAGCAACCTGGGACGTACAAATACCGGCCAGCCCCCTGCGCAAGCAACGATGCTCGTCACGAGCGTCAACGGTGGCTCGACGACGAGGTGCCTAGGTACGGAGTACGCACCTACAAACGCCTGGTAGTGTCAAGCTAGGACTCCGTGATCTCATAGGGTGAAACACAAATGTGCTAGGATGTGAAACGCAACGCAGCGAGACGCACAGCACTTGTGCAGCAACAGAGCCATTATGGCCGGTGCAGATGCAGATTCAATCAATCGATCAAATGCCGACCTAACAATTGAACCGAGTCCCCACCAGCCACACGCACGTGCACTCCGTAGTCGCTATCAGCACCAGCCCACATGTCAACTGCCTGGTCGCTCCAGGCGGCCGTGCCAGAGGCCAGCCAGACAGCCGGACGGCAGCCGGACGGCAGCCGGACAGCCCCAGAACTGGTCTGGTTCTGGCTCCCTCTGGAGTCTGCGTTTTCGTCTCCGACATTCATCGCCCTCGCCAGACCTGCCTAATATTTATTCGCTACTCCTACAGACGACAGTCGTCGACCGCCCATCTCTCAGCCCGTTGAATTCTCCGTTTTGCTTCCAGGTACACGACCTCGTCCGCAACACTCTCAGACTCAGTCGTCTCCTCAGCCGTCCCTCCCCCACGTTGCCGCCCTGCGTTGTTCCAGCACTCCGACTCGGCCAACAGTTTTCTTTCTCCCTCCCTCTCTTTCTCGCGCCAAACGCAACCCCTCCCGGGCCATATCCACGCACCGATACATCTCAACGTATCGTCTGCAAGGTCGCGTGTTCTGGCCAAACAACGGCATAGACGCTCTGCTGTTGCGCCAGCTTTCTTCCGGTGTCAGTCGCTCCTCGTCCCCGCCATCGTACCGCCAAGACGAACAACCTAGACAACGCGACGCGAAAATCAGAGACCATGGGGAAATCGTAAGCCACCACCGATGCCTTCTCAGCTGCTGTTTGTTCCCATTTGCCCTGGAGGGGCTCTCTCCGCCTCATGCCAGACTGTCCTGGTGCCCATCTGCTGCTGAATCATCCGCCTTCTCAGTACGCCTTCGACGCATCACGCGAGCTGACAAAACTCTCCGTCCTGCAGGCAGTCGAAGCTCTCTCAGGAGCAGCTCACCGAGCTCCAAAAATCGACGCATTTTGACAAGAAGGAGCTTCAGCAGTGGTACAAGGGTGCGTACAGATGACGTGCCAGCCGCCTCTGCCCCTCCCCCTCCCCCCCCCGAAAAGGAGACATGGTCGAATAAAAAGATGAGACAGGTCACTAATGCCAGGCCCAGGCTTTCTCAAGGACTGCCCCTCGGGTATGTTGGGCAAGGAAGAGTTCCAGAAGATTTACCGACAGTTCTTCCCGTTCGGCGATCCAAGTTCGTTTGCCGACCATGTCTTCAACGTTTTCGATAGCGATAAATCTGGGAGCATCGACTTCAAAGAGTTCATCTGCGCCTTGAGTGTTACCAGCCGAGGAAAGATGGAAGACAAGCTGGATTGGGCATTCCAGCTATATGACATTGACGGCGACGGCAAGATTAGTTACGATGAGATGCTGCAGATTGTCGAGGCAATCTACAAGATGGTTTGTCCACCATGACACTGCTAGCGTAACATCAAAGTCCCTGTTCTGACGCCATCTAGGTTGGCTCCATGGTCAAACTGCCCGAGGACGAAGATACCCCAGAGAAGCGTGTACGCAAGATTTTCAGCATGATGGACAAAGACGAGAACGGGTCTTTGGATATACAGGAATTCAAGGAGGGCAGCAAGCGCGATGAGACAATTGTGTCAGCCTTGTCCTTGTACGACGGCTTAGTGTAGCTGACGAGGTTGGGAGCGAGACGGTGTATGAAAAGCACGGTTGAACGATTGTATGCACGCATTGGAGGCACAGAAGATGTCGGATGCCACGCATCATGTCCTTTATATTGTTATGAACAGCAATGCCATGTCTTGACAGGAACCACGCCAGAAGCCCATGTGTGCTCGGGTCCCCGCCGGTGTGGATTGCCACGTCTCCTCGTGCATCCACAATCCAGTGAATGTTTAATCTCAAGGTCCGTACGGAGTCGCAGCATCTGTCGCCCAGACTTGGCAGCTTCATTTTTCAGCTACAGTAAACTATGTCTATAACGATCCTGTGTTATAGCGAAATTTAGGTTTTTACGATAATTCACAGTTATCTAAGGTTTTTCCCTAGTAAATCGTTAATAGTCGCGTTACTAACGATATCGTTGACTTTTTGCTTAGTCACTATATATTTTATTGTTATAAGGCCCCACTTTTATTGGCTGAATTCCTTATAGTGGGGCGGGATTTCCTTATAGTAGGGCAGAATTTCGCAATAATCTCTTAATATATACTTTATACTAGTAATTTCTAAGGGAAGGTACAAGCCCCATAATAGTCGCATCTTAACGATAGTCGCTATATGACGATCAAAAAAGCCTCACGAAGGATATCGTTATAGACCTGGTTTACTGTACGTGGCTGTCCGCGACCGCAGCCCCGTCTAATCAATCGGCGCACGGTGATGCGAGGTGGGGCCCTCGACGTGGCTGAAAGGAATCGGCCTCGTCAAGGATTTCTCAAGAGCCATGTTCGGCCGGACGGTGATGCCACGATGCCCTTTGAGGACCTCCTGTCCGTCCTTGGCGAAGAAGTCAACGACGCGGACGAAGGTTCGCTCCATGTCCCTCTCCCAGGCTCCAGCCAACTAACCAGCCCGCCTGCCCCAGAAACATTCCTCCTGTACTCGACTCCCATACCCTCGCAAAACCTGGGCTTCATCGACCCCAAAGCCACAAGCCTCGACATTACCCTCGCCGACAGAGACTTTACTATTTATCAGAGTCCGACGGTGCTAGGATCCACGAGGGTCGGGGGCACCACCGGCGCCGGTACGTCACGAGGAACCTCGTCGTGCTCGTTGACACATATATCTCTCACGCGCGCGCGATGAAACGAAAACCCCTCTAACAAGCGCAGTGCTATGGCAGGTCGCGCCCCTTTTCGCAGAGTGGCTCTCATCGCCGACAAACCCCCTCTTCACCAGCGGCATCCTCACGCCGTCATCCACCGTGCTCGAGCTGGGGTGCGGCGTCTCCCCGCTCAACGCCCTTGCCGTGGCCCCCAGGATATCGCAATACGTCCTGTCCGATCAGAACTACGTGCAGAAACTCGTTGCGCGAAACCTGTCCGCGAACGCACTGCCCGCCCGCAGGCCCAGGTCCGAGGCGGGATCGGAATCGACGCGCACCGAGAGTATACAGTTCCGGCCGCTGGACTGGGAGCGGCATCAGGTCACGCCGTCACTCGCAGCCCCCGCCTCGTCGTTTGACGCTGTGCTCGCGACGGACTGTGTGTACAACTATGCGCTGGTGGAACCGTTTGTGCAGACGTGCGCGGATGTTTGTGCTCTGCGGAGGGCGGCGGCGGATGGCAACGGGGCCGGAGAGGGCCCGTGTTTGTGCGTTGTCGCGCAGCAGTTGAGGAGTGACGACGTTTTCAGGTCGTGGTTGGATGCGTTTATGACGAGGTTTCGGGTCTGGAGGGTGAGAGGAGACTCGTTGGGCGGGCTGGGGAGGGACGGGTTTGCTGTGCACGTCGGAGCTTTGAGGGACGACCAGTGATTGCTTGCATGGTGAGTCGAACTTTTCGAGAAGTGCCGGCGGCGTCTCCTCCTTGTGACCACTCGAGCCTCGAGTTGATCGTCCCGAGTATGCTAACTGGCGGCTTTTGGGGAGTAGGGAATTGCGAACCCTTGCATCACTGACGTCGGCGGGATCGGTGCCCGGCTCTGTGTACGGCTAGTTCTTCACTGAAGCCAAGGCTTTTCAGGACCGTGGTCGCCGAGGGTGCGGGGAGATTTGACGTTGATGGCGAGCACACGGCCTCTTTGTTTCCACTGGGCTTGGGAGTAAACACGCCCAGGTCCAGGTTCAAACGAAATGCCACGAGGCCAAGGATGATGCGACGGTTGGGAATCCCAACCCGGTTCCGTGGAGAGACTACACATGCTGAAAGGTTGGTGCTCGGCGGCCGTGGAAACCAAGCGGCCGGGGAATCTTGGCAGCTTCCCATTGAGAAGCCCGGCGCCTGTAACAGCACGAGAGTCCATTCCCAAGTATACCTTTGAACAAATACATGTGGTTCAGGAGGCATGGCAACGGGCTGCTCAATGTCCGCGAACCTCGTTATGCTATCATGCCTCCTGGCAAAACGAGGAAACCGAGGAAACCGAGGAAACCGAGGAAACAGACGGTCGTGGTACACCATCCCCGCTGCCAGAGCTGTCGCTCCCTGTGTCTTTCCCCTTTCAACAACAGTAAGCGATGGTCTTGAACCATTGCCCACCCAACGAGCACCTTTGAATATGAATCGAGGTCACTCAAAAATCGGCCGTGGTTGGCCACCCTATAGAGTACGTGCGCTCGGGGGCTGCTGCTGCTGCAGTTCGAGGACTGCCGGGGATTTTGAAAACATTGTGCATCTAATGTTGTATTTTATCGAGTTCTCTTCAGAAATTCCCATACCATTCTGGATAATTGGTGGTACAAACACGGGCAGCGGGCAGGACCGAAAAGCCAATGCCCTAAATATAAACACTTACACAGCCTGTCGCCGTTGAGAATCGGCCGTGCCCCTATATACCGCCGGCATTCAAAACAGCTGGTCCAAGCGTGACTGAATATTCATGCGTCATTACGTGCCGTCCATCACCCTTGCGACTGACAGGTCGTGGATGCCGAGGACACATGCTGAATCTGCAAGCTCGAGCTGTCCCGGAACGGATCCGCGCTGTGCCTCTCGTTGGTCATTTCCAGCAACTGATTTAATATCCTGAACTCCAATTTCAACTTGACGCTGTACACGAACGCCTTGTATGCCGTTTGCATGTCGTAGAAGTCCAAGTACTCCAAGCACAATATGGGGATATCGAGAAGGATAACAAGAACATTAACCCATAGCAAGTGGCGTCGCATCCTACGCACGCCGTCCCCATGTAGACTGTCGTGGAGATTAAAAAAGGAGAAACAACACTTGATATATATGGCCGATATGATGAGTTCTTGTAGGAAGAAGACGGTAACTTGGATTTTTTCGTAGACGACGTAGGGATGCACCCATGCGTTATGAAGGGAGCTGTTGGACCCGTACATGAGGATGATGATGGGTGTATGAAGGGTGATTATGTTGGAGATGATCATGGAAAGGACTAGTCGAAGATAGAGTCGGTTCCAGAAAATCAAATGAAGACGAGAGTAAAGGACCAATGATTGGCCGGTAACCATTGGTACCCAGCCGACAGCGACGAGAGTAATGTAGATGGGATAATTGTGCGAGCCGACGACATTTTTTAGGAGGAACCCGATGGAGTGTGGTATGATGCCGTTGGTGGCGGCGAAAAAGCTCCAGAAATAAAGACCCTTGAATCGTCGAAACGTGGAAAAGATGACAATGTTCAGCTCAATGGCATTATAAAGGGCCAGTGCCATAAACGAGACTATGGCCAACGTCGCACCACTACGGTCAACGTGACTGGTGCTTGGGTTGGCCGAATAACCCATGGCACAAGGAGACGCGTTGCATACTTGGACTTGGGGCGGAACGTTGGCTTCTGTCAAGATGTATGCAATAGCTCAGCGGAAATGCGGTTGATGAGCTGTATGGCGGACGATGATCATGCACTCGAGGTTCTGGCGGTTTGCGGTGGCTGTCGGTTCGTGTGCCGAGCTGCCACCACAATCGCAGAACAAGCGTGCTAGCAATGCTGGACAATGAGAGGTTGAGAGGCTGTGGCAAGCGATGGTAGATATCGTTCATCAAAGGGACAACCAAAATCGAGCCTCAGAGCTCGTCAGCCTCGAGAAGGTGGCGAACAGTCTGCCCCTAGGAGCCGATGACGCACAAAGTCAGAGACAAATGACGGGAGATGAAAAGCAGATGAAAATTAGTCGTTCACGGTTGCTAATCAATAATAAAACACAGACACTTGGGGTGCACAGCTCGAGCTGCCGTGTCACGGTGTCACACCAATCTTTTCCCATTCGACTTGCTTGCTCTTTGAGCCATGACGGACACAGACACAGACTCGTGCACCCGTTCTCGGTTGGTACGGAGAAGCCAGCCGTTTGCCCTTCAGCCGTTCAGCCGTCAACTGCCAGCTTCAGCTTGGAAGTAGTTGGCGTCTTTTCACGCCACCCTCTGGAGTCTGGAGACTTGAACAGACTTGAACCAGTCTCGGAGAGCCGGGGTGCGCCACCGTTTCGCCGCTGCTTTTCTCCCCCCCTCTTTCCCCGGCCGACGAACAAATATAGCTTCAAATCCCGACATGAAGGGTTTTACGGCCAAGACTCAGGACAAAATTTTGTTTTGTTTCTGTTCGGGACTCGCTCATTGGCGGCATGTCTTTGGATCGAGGCCAAGTGTGCTGTGTTGTGTGCCCTCTACTCTGCTCTCTACTCTGCTCTCTACTCTGTGCGAGAAGTGGACTTCAAAAGTCTCCAACTTGAAATCCGGCAGGGGCTAAGTTGCAACTTCAGATGAAGATGCCGCTGCCCACTTCTTTCCTTGCCCGTGCGCCTGAAGTCGATCGCATGCCAGCGCTCAGAACTCGGTAACCCACGCGACAGGGGCTTGAGACGGCCGCCGATTGTCAAGGGTCCGTTCAAGAACGAGTCAGTCGGTCGGTAGCGACGGCAGTGGCTTCAGCGCAATTGGCAAAAATCTGACAGCTCATTTTAGCAGGTGTCTTTCTCGACGTGCTGGGGGAGCAAGACATGGCGTCGGGTTTGTGGAGATTTGCCCTTGTCCCTTTATCTTTTTGGAGACGCCAGCAGCCACCTCAGCCACCGGCTAACTTTAACATGTGCAGACCTGGCGGGCCACTTATGGGGGGAAAAGCCGGTTCGGAGCGACGGAAGAGAGATGAAAATGGGGAATGAGGGATCAGGGATGAGAGATGAGAGATTAAGAATGAGCGACGATGGAGGAGGCAGACCACCTATTCATGAATCATGGGTGGCCCTGGCTAGCCTTGGCTCCAGGGAATTCTGGTGACTTGGTTCGCACCTTCCCTCGATTCCCAACAACCTAAGTCTTCAGGCATGCACGCCTCGCTTCTGCGCTGTGGATCTCCGTATCTTGATTCTTGATTCTCGGAGCGCGCATCATCAGTTCATTCTTACCTCAGTTCTGGCTCGGAGTGATTTCCGAAGCGAGGACAGCCCACAGCCCACAGCCCACAGCCAACCTCCAACCTCCAACCTTGGTCGGTGTACCTCTGCCGACAACGGAGTACTCCGTGCGGATAGGCCAACGAGACCCAGCTAGCAGGTAGTCAAGCAGGTACGTAGTCATTCCTGCAGAGAGGGGGATCGACTAACTGGTGTTGAGATGGTTGACTTGGCGCCTACTCCAGTGAGATTTTATTGAGCCTTTCCAGGAAGAAGCTTGCTCTTTACCAGCGATTCTGAGGACGATGTGGGTGGCAGTACGTGGCTTCTTTGGTGGCGACCCCGTGTGGGATTGCAGAGCTCAGCAAATGCCGGGACAGCAGAGGTACTACTTTGCCGTCGGCTAAACTTGAAATATAATAATGGCAATACGGAGTAGGACCCGACTGCCAACTGCTTGTTCTCATCATGAAGTGCTCCTCGTGGGCCCTTGGTTGTGGAATCTTCGAAAGCACCAGCACCAGCCGGGGTCCTCGGCAGTCGGGTTACGGTTCTTGTTTGATTTCCTTGTTTAGCTTTCTATTTGAACAGCGTATCCGGATTACGGATCGTACGGAAGCTCGAGCGGTCTGTCCTGGTAGAGAAAGGCGCCGTCGGTCCATTAGCTTCAGCCACGAACGAGGCCAACCAGGAACGCCGTCGGACCCAACTGCCAAACGTCGCCTAGCTGCCGAACTACATGGCCAAACAGCCTCAAAATCCGGGGAAGATTCGACGATGCAGAAAAGCGGGTTAACGTTACTATCAGAGCCGACCCGCGGCGAAGGGGTCAGACTAGCTGCTGCTGCTATCGCCGGCCTTTTCAGACTCCTGCCATCTTCCCCATCTCGGCTTCAGCCGTCTGTGGTTGAAAGGTCGCGGCAATTGTGCACATTAGCAGCCGCCACCCGCAAGAACCTGGCCCCTGGGATACGCGACGTCATGAGAATGGCTTGCGAAACGCACAATACGAACGAGGGAGCAACATGGATCGTATGAAGGGCGATTCGGATCGCTTACTTCGAGAGCTCAGCCCTGAGATCGTCTATGCCATGGGGTTCCGATTATTTACATTCGCCAAAATTGACATACAAGCGCCCGTGCCAAGCTCCAATCAACGACCGTCCATCTGGCTCGCTCCCTTCGACATCTGTTTCAGTACTGATCAAACAATGCCAGTCGTCATTGCCGCCGCTCAGAGACTCCTGTAGATTCGGACATTCGTGTTCTTGGTCACTCATGTTCAGCACCACGACTGCCTTGGCAAATCGGCCACGCCGATTCGTCCGAGTGCTAGATGTCTTGACATATGCGAAGAGATTTTCGTCTTCTGCGTCAATCAGCTTGAACGATCCGTGGATGAAGATGTCTCGGTACGCCTTTCTCGTCCTGAGGAGCATTTTGTAAAAGCTCAGGATTGACGTTGGGTCTTGGATTTGCTGCGCGGCATTGATGGAGGGGTAATTGTCATGCACCCGCATCCATGGTTTGCCGCCGTCGGTGAATCCGGCGTGGGGAGAGTTGTCCCATTGAAAAGGGATTCTGGAGTGGTCTCTTGCCAGGATTTGCAGGCCCTTGATCGTATCTCGCGTCCTCTTGTCACTCCCTGACGCGGCCGCCTCGGCGTAAAAGTTGCGACTTTCGACATCCTTGTATTCCTCGACGCCCCAAATGCCTGGCATGTTCACCATACCAATCTCTTGTCCTTGGTAGATGAAAAGCGACCCGGTGAGGGTAGCTTGCCACAGAGCAATACACTTACCAGACGACAACCAGGTTTCGCGCGTAGAGGCATTCCCGAATCGCGATATTGCTCGGCCATTGTCATGGTTCTCGATGAAGGCGGTTGTCCAGGCGTCTGTGCCCTCAATAAACGACTGCCACGTTTGTGTGAGGGCTTTGAGTTTGGTGAGCGGGTATGGGCTGTAGATGTACTTGGCGCCGAAACCATCTCCGGTTCCAAGACGAATGACGGACAACTCGAGGACCATGTCGAGCTCCTTGGCGGCGGCAGAGACGTAGGGGACAGCCTGCGACGGGTGCGGCGTTGAGGACAGCTCTCCGACAGAAACGGCATTGTAGGGAGCCAAGGCCTCGCGGTTCATCTCGTTGATGAACTCGTGTATTCTGGGGCCATTGCACCACATCTCCGGGGCAGGTTGGTGCTCGGAAGTGGGATCGGCGATGGGCGCATCGACATAGTCTTGTCTCTTGGAATACTTGTTGACGGTGTCGATGCGGAATCCATCGACGCCGCGGTCCAGCCAAAAGCGCATTTCTCGATAGATGGCTTCTCGACATTCTTTGTTCTCCCAGTTGAGGTCCGGCTGATGAGCCGTATACAAATGGAGGTAGTATTCCTGAGTGGCCTCGTCCCACGTCCAGGTCGAGGTTGCAAAGTAGCCTCGCCAGTTGGTCGGAGGACGTCTATTGCCCTTTTCGTCGTACCGCGGCGGTTTCCAGATGTACCAGTCTCGCTTGCGGTTATTTCTCGAGGAACGCGATTCTTTGAACCACGGATGCTCCGACGAGGTGTGGTTCACGACCAGGTCTAGGATGACCTTCATGGCCCTCCGATGGCACTCTTTGACGAGCGTGTCGACATCCTGCACGGTGCCGTAAGGTTTGTAGATGGCCTGGTAGTCGGAAACGTCATAGCCCATGTCCTTTTGGGGCGACTCGAAAATGGGCGAGAGCCAAAGCACGTCAATGCCGAGGTCGCAGATGTAGTCGAGTTTGGAAATGAGACCCGCAAGGTCTCCCCAGCCGTCATTGTTGGAGTCCTTGAAGGAGGCCGGGTAGACTTGGTAAAAGGTTGCGTCTTTCCAGTAGGGCGCCTCACTTCCGACAAAGGCACCCATGCTCATTCATGGGCTCCAGGCCTCCAAGTTCCAAGTTCCAAGTGACGGACGGGTGGAGTTGCGAGACGGCTCAAGGCTGGCTTTGCTACCAAGGGGAGAAGACGACGAGGCATCCGTCCGGTGTGCCTTGGTTTACTCGGACTACATTTATAAAAAAACCTGAACCCTGGTACCCGCGCGTCGCTCTCCCGCCAGAAGCCATGATGCCATGATGCTCGGCAGCCTGGACAGGGAGACTCCGCACGCATGTCTACACACGAGTCCACATGGTCCTGACTCCCGAGCAAATCATGGCGACGACGACTCCGTGCATCTCCGCCCGTCCGGGTCTGAGGCTCTTCCCCTCGGGCCGTGAGATTGAGCGTCACGAACCTTGCTCGCCCAGACCAAAGCTTGATAAAAGGGTTCATTTTTGCTGCCCATGTTACTGACAGCCACATGGCTGTCGACTCGCTCCTTGGTCGACAGGTTACCCTCATCATACTTTTGATCCTCTTCGCCGTGCCGGGAAAGAATAGCCTTTGATCATGGCGGCCGACGATGCATCCGCACCCGTGGACACGACAGCCCACAAGACGCCACGGCGAGATGACGGGCATGGCCGGGACCCCGACCCCGACCACGACCACGACCACGAACCCGGTCTCCCGGCGTCCCTCGTGGCAGAGGCCAAGTGTGGCGCCGTCGCGGAGCAATCCATGTCCCTGGGCACGTCCCTGGCGCTCTACCCCAAGGCCGTGCTCTGGTCGGTCCTCCTGTCGTCGACCCTCGTCATGGAGGGCTACGACCTCGCGCTGCTGGGGAACCTGTACGCCTCGCAGCCATTCAACCGCAAGTACGGCACGTACAACGCGTCGACGGGGAAATACGCCGTCAGCGCGGCGTGGCAGTCGGGGCTGTCCAACGGCGCCCGGGCGGGCGAAATTGTCGGCCTGATGCTGGCAGGGTGGACGGTCGACCGATGGGGCTACAAGCGGAGCATGCTCCTGTTCCTCGTGTTGATGATTGCATTCGTCTTTGTCCTGGTGTTTGCGCCCAACGTCGCGGTCCTGGTGGCGGGCGAGGTGCTGTGCGGTGAGTTTTTGAATCCCCGGGTCCCTCACATTTTTGTTGTTTTGCCACGGATGGCTGGCCGGCCGGCGCGTGCACGCATGTGTCCTCGGCTAACCACACAAGAAACAAAAACAGGCATTCCTTGGGGCGCATTCCAAAGCATCACACCGGCGTACGCGGCCGAGGTGGCGCCCGTCGTGCTGCGGCCGTACCTGACGACGTTTATCAACATGTGCTGGGTCATCGGGCAGTTCTTCGCCGAGGCCGTCAACAAGGGATCCCACGGGCGCGGGGACTCGTGGGCGTACCGGATTCCCTTTGCCGTGCAGTGGGTGTGGCCGGTTCCCATTCTCGCCGGCGTCTTGTTTGCTCCCGAGTAGGTGGTTGCCCAGGCCGTGCCCCGTACAGGCCGGCAGAGATGCTCGCCCGCAGAGGCGGGAAGACGGGACACGTCGTGGCACGGACTGACTGATGTTGCGACAGATCGCCGTGGTGGCACATGCGCAAAAACGACCGGCCGGCGGCGGCGGCGGCCCTCGCGCGGCTCGCGTCCCGGTCGCACGCGGGCTTCAACCCGTCGGCGACGCTCGCGCTCATCGAGCACACCAACGAGCGGGAGCGGCGGCTCAAGGAGGGCGTCACGTACGCCGACTGCTTCCGGGGCGTGGACCTGCGGCGGACCGAGGTGGTGGTCGGGATCTGGCTGGTGCAGACGCTCGGCGGCCAAAACCTCATGGGCTACTTCGCCTACTTCCTCACGCAGGCGGGCATGGACGCCAGCAGCAGCTTCTCGCTCTCGCTGGGCCAGTACGCGCTGGGCATGGTGGGCACGGCCGGGTCGTGGGTGCTCATGAGCCGCGTCGGCCGGCGCAGCATCTACGTCGGCGGCCTGAGCTGCCAGTGCCTGCTGCTGCTCGTCGTCGGCGCGCTGTCGGTGTCGGCGGCGGGCAGCAACGCGTCGGTGTGGGCGATCGGCGCGACCCTCATCGCCTTCACGTTTGTCTACGACTTCGGCGTCGGGCCCGTGACGTACGCGCTCGTGTCGGAGCTGTCGAGCACGCGGCTCAAGACCAAGACGATTGTGCTGGCGCGGGCCGCCTACAACGCCAGCAACATCTTTGTCAACGTCATGACCAACTACCAGCTGGGCACGGCAGCGTGGAACTGGGGCGCCAGGGCGGCCTTTTTCTGGGCAGGCACTTGTCTTGCCTCGCTGGTCTGGGCCTGGTTCAGGCTGCCCGAGCCCCGGGGCCGGACGTACGCCGAGCTGGACGACCTGTTTGAACGGGGCGTGCCGGCGAGGCGTTTTGCCAGCACGCAGGCCGATCCGTATACGGGCGGCGGCGGCGGCGGCGGCGGCGGCGGGAAGCACCATGATCATGGCCATGCGTAGAAGCGAGGCAGAGAGGCATACCAGCATGTTATTAGAAGCACCTACTATCCGTCCGTCTCCGTCTCACCGTCTCGTGTGTAGCAGTAGCAGTAGCAACAGCAGTTGTGTGACCACCCACGTCAAGCTCGCGCGCGCACGCCTCCTCTTGTTCCCACCTCCTCCGACATCATCCATCTGCGTGACCCCGTCTTGCGCGCAGCCGACTTCGCAGAGCCTGCTCGACATGGCTCTCCAGCAGGCCGTCGTAGACGTCCCTGCCGCCGGGGAGCTGCACCACCAGGCGGCGAATGTAGCGCAGGTCGTCGTCGCCGGGCGGCGGCGCGCGGGGGTCCGGCTGGCGCGGGACGCCGGCGGTGACGTGGACGACGGCGGACGCAATGTCAAACAGCTTCTCGGTCAAGCCCACGCCGTGGACCTCCATGGCCTGCGTGGGCAGGTCGCGCGTGGCGGCGACGAGCTCGCGGGCCACGTCGAGCGGGTAGCGGTAGGTGAGGCTGCGCTGGTGCGAGGCGTCGGTGAGGTGGCCCAGGCGCAGGCGCAGCTGCCAGATGACGATGCACAGCCAGAGGCGGGTGATGCGCAGGTTGGCCTTTTGCACGTCGCGGAAGGGGAGGTGCGCGGGGACGGCGGCGTCGATGCAGCGCTCGGCGGCGGCGAGGACGTCGGGCGCGGGCGCGGGCGCGGGCGCGGCGGCCTCGCGGTTCAGGACGGCCATGAAGGCCGAGTCGACGGGGCGGAAGAGGGCGGCCAGGCTCCACAGCGCGGGCGCCGAGGTCCGGAGCTCGTCGAGGTCGGGCGTGTCGGGCGTCAGGTGCAGCGTGATGGAGCGCCCGTAGCGGATGGCGTGGGAGCGCTCCGAGGCCACGAGCACCCAGAACAGGCGCTCGAACAGCAGCGCGCGCTCGGCGTCGGGGTCGGCGTCGGGCGGGCGGCGGTCCTTGACCAGGACCCAGAGAGCCGTGGCCTGGCGGAGGAACAGGAAGGCCTGGCTGTGGCGGGAGAGGCGCGTGTGGCCGGCGTAGAGGAAGAAGCTGACGAGGCAGGCGTCGAGCGACGGCGTGAGGCCCCAGCAGACGGCCCTGCAGGCGGCCGACGCCCTGGCCAGCAGCTGCGCGCCGTACTGGCGGTTGCTGCGCGCGCCCGGCGGCTCGTGGACGTGCAGCAGCACAAAGGCGCAGAAGGCGACGAGCAGGACGCACGCCTCTGCCTCTGCCTCGGCCTCGGCCCGGGCCGGCGCGGGCGACGCCGACGCCGACGCCGCAGCGCTCGTCTGCAGGCGCCGGATGTACTCGGGCGTCAGCACGGGTATCGTCGGGTAGCAGTTGTCGAAGAACAGGTCGGCGCACTCGGCCACGGGCGCGCTCGCCGCCACGTCGGCCACCAGCGTCCATTCCGGGGAGGCGCCGACGCCTGCCGTCGACGATGCCGATGCCGGTGCCGATGCCGGACCCGGCGGCGCCACGCAGTCGTCGGCCCTGCCAGCGCGCACGCAGCGGCCGCAAGGACGCCGCTCCTCGCATCCGCGCCGGAGCAACTTGCAGCGCCCGCACGCCCGCGACACCTGGAAGCGCTTGCCGCCGCGCTCGCTGCCGGGCCTTTTTTTGCGCTTGTCGCCGCTCGCGCTCAGCGACCGGGGGGGCGTCTTTCTCGTACGTTTCTTCATCTTGTGCCCGACAGCCATGACGGGCTGACAGGGTGCGTAGCCGGGGCGGGGGGGCAAGTCCAAGTACGAGTCAGAGTCAGGTCAGAGTCAGGCTGGTCTGCTCAGTCTGTGTGTCGGCCAGCGTGACGAGTAAATAGTAGTATATATAATATGGCACACGTTCCGACCGACCGGGTACCAGGATCCCCCTGAGGGCAGGGGCCGGTCAAGAAGGAAGCCTCGAGTCCAGAATCCAGATTTCCGTGTGGAGACGACGAGTTGCGTGTCCAAGGTTGCCTGATCTGGGCAATTTGGTCACCGAAAGGAGGCGACGCATGTCATGGCACCTAGTGCCGGCCAAGACGGCACGGATGTTGTGTGCATCTGCTATTACAACTTGTACGTACGTACGGTCACATCACGCGCACACAGTCACACACACACAAACCCCGACCGCCAGCTTCAAGAACACAGCAAACGTCCAGCTGCCGCTCGACTCAACTCGACGGGCGCCGTGGCGCAGACCTACAGCTCCCCTTCCTCCTGCACCGCCGCGGCCCCCTCGGGCTTGTGCCTGACGGCGGCGGCAATCTCGAGCCAAAAGTCGCACGTCGTCTTGGTATTCTGCTCGTCCTCGCCGAGCCGGAACTTTTGCTCGGCCAATATGTCCCTCACCTGCAGCACGTCGTGCAGCACGCCCTGCTCCGTGTCTCTGGCCGTCGGCCACAGCGGCGTCACCCCGGCGCCGTTGGGATCGCCGCTCACGGCAAACGACGCCAGGTACTTTGTGAACTTGGGCACGATGAGCGAGTGCAGGACCACGGCGTACGGCTGCGCCAGCTCGGGCGGCGTCCCCAGCTTCTCGATGAACGCCCTCGCCTCGGACACGCTGTTGGTGAAGAGCGGGATCAGGTCGACGCCGTGGTAGCCCGTCTCGCGGCTGGCAAAGGCGTACTCCATCATGTGCGACCGCTCCGGGTACGCCTCGAACAGGTACCTCGTGTTGCAGGTGAAGACGGCGTCCCGAATGACCGTCTCGAGACAGGCCGAGAAGTTGCCGCCGTGCGTCTCGGGACACGCGTAGAAGGCCTTGATGGCGCGCCGCTGCGGCGCCAGCGCGTCCCCCGGGAGGAACGTCGCCAGGAAGCCGTCAAAGTCGCGCTCGCTCTCTATCCCCGGCGGGTTGAAAAAGGCCGACTCGTTGGAGCAGTGCGCGACGATGCCCGACTCGACCTTGTCCCAGCGTCTGCCTGGTTTGCGGGTCAGCTCGAGATGCCGCAACACGCCGTCGTCGCCGCGGGCCTACCTTGCGACAGCAGTATCGACGGAAGCGTCGTCACCCACCTGCCGTCGACGGCCGGGCCGACGGGGAACAGGCCCGTCTGCCTGACCGCGTCAAAGAGCTGCTGGTTGGCCCTGACGAGGTCCTCCCTCCTGGCCGCCCGGAGACAGTCCACGTCGTAGCCGTCGCCGCAGCCGGCCAGGTCCGAGTACATCCGGTAGTAGGCGTCGAGCCTGCCGCCGGGGGCGTTGTCCCAGGCCATCTCAAACGCCGGGCTCATGGCGTAGTACGTCCGGAAGCCGGGGTCCCTGGCGCCGTCCTCGCGGATGAGGTGGTGCAGGATGGAGCCGGCGCCGGCGGACTGGCCCCAGGCGCTGACCTGCTCCTTGTCGCCGCCGACCTGGTCGACGAACCTGCCCACCCACTCGAAGAGCAGGGCCTGGTCGTAGAGCCCGGCGTTGGGCAGCGCCGCCCTCTGCATGTAGTCGCCGGCCAGGAAGCCGAAGGCGCCGGCGCGGTAGTTGCCCGCCACGAGGATGGTGTTGTAGTTGGACGCCTTGACGATGGGCCGCCCCGTGTACAGGATCTCGCCGTCGTTCTTGCTCCCAAAGGCGTAGGCGCCGCCGTAGATCCAGACAATCACCGGCAGCTTGCGCGCGCCGGGCTCGAACGCGCGCGCGGGCACGTAGACGTCGAGGAACAGGCAGTCCTCGTCCTGCCGCACCCGGAGCCGCTCCGGATCCTCGAGCGGCACGTGGCCGCCGGGGGGGTTCGACAGCCTGCCAACGTCGACGGCGATGCAGCTGACGCTCTCGGGAGACTGGATCGAGTCGTTGGTCCACGTCGGGAACGCCGGCGCGCCGAAGCGCCGCGGCTCCGAGGCGAACCGGACGTTGCGGAATACATAGAGCTCAAGCAGGGTGAGAAGACGGACCGCCGCGGCCGGGGGATTCCGGATCCCGACTCACCTGCGGGTCTTGCTCGTCGATCTCGGCCTGCCACTTCCCCCACGGCAACGTCAACACCGGGAGGTCGGCCGACGACGGCGATGCAAGCGCCGGTGCGTGCCAACAGGACCAGAGACACAGGCCCAAGGTCAGGACTGGCAGCCTGCTCAACATGATGCTCAGTAAACTGTTTGCTTGGCACGAATACTTTTTCTTTGTGGGGTAGTGTTGGAATTACAAACTGAAAAAAAGCTGTCGGCCGGTGCGAACATTGACTCATATGCGACTCCGTGCAATCTGTGGCTGGCTGAGAAGTGAATCAGTTTCACCGTTCCCATCCAGCTTGGTTCAGCCACGTTGCTTTTCCGGCCCGGCTCGTAATTGCTTGCGCCTCGATACGTGTACGGGAGCAGGCATACCTCCGTGGCGGGGAGAATTCGCCGTCCCGAGACATGTCGCAGTACGGAGTAACAAAACGGCAATACTACCGGCATGGCTTGCCTGGGAGGGAGTAACGTACTAATCCAGCGCGTCACAGTCTCACAGCACCCTTGTAAGCCGCAGAACACGGAGTAGAAGCAGGCACAAGCCGCCGTCATCCAGGACGTGCTCGCACCCAGTGGTTACTTGCCATGCTGAAGCCACGACGTCGTAGGACAGACAGACTCTCATGACTACCGCACACTCGGCCCAGCCCCGTCCTCGTGAGCGCTGCCAATAGTACTCGTCAAGCAGCCAGCCAGCCATGGGTGTGAGGCGGGCCCGTGATGAGATGACATCGAATCTGAGTAACATGACAAAGCCGCTCTGGAATGGTCCGTAAGACGCCGAGGCTGCGCTGCGCTGCGCCTTCGCCAGGCCCAGCGGATCGAAACCGTCCTGAGCGCTCATCAACGCCCAAATTCAAATCACTCATCCCCGCGCCCCCTGACGTGCTTCCCTCTGCTGCTGGACGTCTCGTCGTCTGCCAGCAGTTTATTCATCCTTTCTCCGGCGACGCCCGCATGCCTGCGAGTCCTACGACCAGGACTGGCTGGGGACGCAATGTTTTACTGGCGGCGGAAAAGGGTTCATGACAGTCAACACTGTAGTCATGGGAATACGCGACAGCAGGCGGCGGAGCACAGCGGTGGTCTTTGGTACTTGATGCACAACGCTTTGCCGCGTCCAGCTTCTGGTTTCACAATCTTTCCTGCCCGAGGCTCGTCCTCATAGTCTCCCATTGTCTCGCACATGTCGACAACAGACAACACCCGGCACCTGCTTCGGGTCGGGGCTCTGTTGCCCGTTGATTACGACATTTGCATTACACCTTGCCACACTATCGTTCCGGCCGGAAGTGCATGCGTCTCGGGAGCTGTGCCCTCCTTCAAGCCCGTGACCAGGTCAGGTTTTGCAATGAGCGAGCGAAACAAGTCGCGACGTGGTTTTGGTCGAGGCGCACGCTCTCTGCACGTGACATCGCGTTCTGGGATGCCCGCTGGGCGAGGCACGCAAGACACCCTTCTCGCGTCACCCCCGTCCCGTCCGTCTCCCTCATGGACGTCGAAACGCTAAATGGACACACACACACTCTCCCGCCTCGTGCACGCCAGGCACGTCAGAGTCGATTACTCGCCTGGATGAGCCCGGGCCCCGCGAGCGCCGCCTGAACCACCGCGTCCGGGCTGTCGAAGTTGTTGGACGTGGTCAGGGCAACGTGCGTGAAGCCCTGCATGACAAACTCGGAGAAGGGGAAGTGCGCCTTGAAGCTGACGCTGTCGGCGGACCATTCCACGTCCGTGACGGCCACCGAGATGGGCAGCTGCTGGCCGGTGGTGTACGTGGCAAAGAGGCCTTCGCGGCCGGCGCAGGCCTTGGCAGCCTCCGAGCCGGACACGTCGGCGACGAAGGACAGCGTCTGGTCCTGAGGCTCGACGGAGGCGATGGGCCCCCCGTTGACCGCGAGCGGCGGGAGGATGGGGAGCTTGATCTTGCTGAGCGGGAACGGGCACGAGCCGGGCACGACGAACGCCTGCAGCGCAGACCAGGCAAAGGGGGCCGGGACGGTCGTCAGGAAGGGCGACTCGGAGGGCACCTGGTCCAGGAACACGCGGTAGAAGCCGTTTTGCTCGCCCTCCTGGCCGATGACGGAGGAGATGATCCGGACGGGGCCCGGCTGCTGGTCCTGGCCGAGGATGACGTTTGCGCCCTGCAGCGCGCCGAGCACGACCGCCGTGAAAGTCTCGGCGAGGTTGACCGCGGCCCTCAGGTCGGACACGGGGAACTGGTACTGGCAGGCCTGCGGCGCAAAGGCCCCGACGGCTTCGAGCGTGGACACGGCCGCGAGCGCGTGCTGCTGCTCTTGCTGTAAAACAAACTCGCCTTCAGCCTCTCTTCTTGACGTGCTTTCCGCCTCTTGGCGGGTCTTCTGTCGTTTTACTTACAGCCAAAACTGTTGAGAATATCTTGACCAACTCCGTCTTGTTCCCGGACTGGTACCCGGACGCGTCGGAGGTGATGTTGTGGAGCAGGGAGCTAAAGTAGGCCGTCTCGAATAGTTCGTTGAACGCGATGAGCTGGAAGGCCGTTATGCTGTCGGGGCCGAGCGACTTGGGCGCCGGGCCGCCAGGGAGCAGCCCTCCCGCCTGCTGCGCTATCTGGAGCTTCTGCTGGTCGTTGGGCATGGGAAACCCGTTGTTGTTCGGGACCGCGGCTCCCAGAGCGAGACCCAGCAGCGCCGTTTTCGACAACAGCTTAAAGGCCATGGTGGTCGTGTAGGCCACGCGCGGTGCCACGGGGCGGAAGTGATCAAGTAGAGAGTACAGCGGGGAGTGCGACGAGTAGCGATGTGAGCTGTTGGGTCGGCGTTGACTTTGGCGCCGGGCTCTCGTGGGACGGATGCCGTCGAACCATGCGAAGCCATGGTGGACGTATTTATTCGTGATGCGATGCCCCCGACGAGCGCGCATCGGCTGGTGGCTGACTCTGGCGTCTCCTGCGGCAAATCCGGAAGGAAACTCGTTCCGCCGGGCTGGCGCTCTCGGAACTGCTTCTCGATGACGATTGTTGCAAACGTCCGTCATTGACTCGCGGCGGACTTGTGGGATCCGCGACCCGGCGCGAAATAGAACGGAACTTGATCGATCCGCAGGCCTCGGGAGAATAGATTCCCGTCGATTCTCCCGCTCCGTCCCCAGTGGCTGCTCGCTAGTCCCAGCACGCGGCCAAATGCGCCTTCGATTACGAGGAATGGTTGGACCAGTGGCCGTCGTGATGATGAGTCGGTGGCTGAACAAGGCCGCGGAGACCAGGCCAGAAGCAGCACCGGGTCCAGGCGACTCCGCCACCCAAGGCCCAGTCGAAACCGGATCGAGGCATCAGTAGTCGGAAGCTGCCGAGTGTTTCTCAATCTGGAGTTTCTTCCTTGAGCAAGCTCGGGAGGATGCTCGGCGACCGAGTTGCCCGGCATCACCCCAGCTGTTTGGCATCGCTACACGTCGCGAGCAACTCCATGCATTCATGCTCCTTGGTTCGGCCTCGGTAGCAGTTCACTTCTGACCGGACTCTATCGCAATGCAAACCTGTCTGGTCAAATACCTCGAGATGTACATTTCTCATCGTCCAGGACCCGGTTGACCCAGATGCTGTCGCCCAAGAGCATAGGACCAGAAATGAGTTGTAATTGGTAATTTTGCTCCTGGCATGTACAAACGCATCTTGTGCTTTACATTTGCCACGCTTTCCATGCTAGCCTTCTCCCGGCGAGATAGCGCTCTACGGCGTCTGGGCTACAAGACTTGCAGGAAATAGACTTGGACAGCGCAGTGTATATCTGCATCTCAAGCCGGCATCAAGTTGCAAACTCCACTCGTCGGTTCCTGGCCCGGCCACTTCAGTCACGGCAAGCGATTCACTTGGGACTTTACTTCCTGTGTGCTGTTGGACACCACACCTGTCCGGAAGACGGACAAGGAGAAGGAGAACAACCCTCGGCGGTTGGCAGTGCGGCGACCGTTTCCCCTTACATCTCAGGAAAACACTGCGCCGGGTAGCAGGCAAGTTGCGATAGCAAAGCCATCAACACGGCTGTTGACCTGTCGAGGTGTGGACTTGCCACGCATATCGCGAGCCTGCTCTTGCAAAACTGCGCCAGTCCACTTCACTTACACTCTCCGTGATTGTGTAACACGTAAACCGCTGGTCTGACCGACCAACCAGAAGTGTCGAGCGTGTCTAATCGGAACATGACGTGTCTCGCGACATATGGAGCACGGACTTCATCCTGACAATAAGAGCGCGTCGGTTGTCGACGCTGTCAACGTCCAACACGGCAAATTTCGTGTCCCTGGTCCACTGGGGATCAAATCAAATTTCAGGCTATTGTCATGGTATACATGCGTGCGTGACAATGGAAGCTTTGACGGAATCACGGCTTGTGCTGAACAAAAGCAATGCAAACCAACGTTGGCTCGACGACAAGCAATGCAAAGGGCACGATGGCAGTGAAGCCGAAACGCGGGCTGAATCAGGAGGGTGTGTATTTGATCATATACGTCTTCCCAGTCTCGGGAAAAACACAAAATAGATGGCTCTGGTCCATCTGGCATCCGGTTCTGTGCATATACGCAAGCAGCGTAGACGTGCTTCAGAGCGGCCATGGCAGCCTCAAAGCAACAAGAGCCCATTGCCATCATCGGCAGCGCCTGTCGCTTCCCGGGAGGCTCGAACACGCCGTCCAAGTTTTGGGAGCTTCTTCAATCTCCGCGAGACCTCCTTGATCGCGTGCCTCGACGCCGGTTCGACTCGGCCGCCTACTTCCATCCGGACGGCGACCACCATGGCACCACCAACGCGCAGCACTCGTACTTCCTTGACGAGGATCCTACGCTGTTTGACCACGGCTTCTTCAATATCCACCCGTCTGAAAGCGAGGCCATTGATCCCCAGCAGAGGCTGCTGATGGAAACCGTCTACGACTCGCTGTGAGCAATCTGGCCCCCCCACCCCTGTGATTCATGATAAAGTTGCGCAATGCAGCACGCGCCTCTTCTTTGCTCCTTTGTCGTCATTTTCCTGAAACTCTGCCTAGGTGCGCCGTCGGTCGAACGACGGAGGAGCTCCGCGGGTCGCCAACCGCCGTGTACGTCGGCATGATGTGCGACGACTGGGCTCAGATGGCAAATCGCGATTGGGATCTCATGCACAAGTACTCGGCCACGGGTACCAGCCGCGCAGTCATCTCCAACCGCGTCTCGTACTTCTTCGACTGGCACGGGCCCTCCATGACGATAGACACTGCCTGCTCGTCGTCCCTCGTCGCCCTTCACCTGGCGGTGCGGGCTCTTCGCACCGGCGAGACCCAGATGGCGATTGCAGCCGGAGTCAACTTGATACTGGCCCCTGGTGAGAAAACGTCCCATTGCTCTCTCTACTGTGACGAGTCACACGCCCCTGCCCGTCAGGAATGCTCACGCGGCCTGGACCTGCAGGCATGTACATTGCTGAAAGCAAGCTGCATATGCTTTCTTCGTCGGGACGGAGTCGAATGTGGGACGCGGCCGCGGATGGCTACGCCAGGGGAGAAGGCGTCGCATCCATTGTCCTGAAGCCCCTGAGCGCCGCCATCGCGGACGGTGACCACGTCGAGTGCGTCATCCGAGAGACGGGCGTGAATCAGGACGGTAGGACGCCTGGTTTGACGATGCCGAGCAGCACTGCCCAAGCGCAACTCATCCGGGACACGTACACCCGCAGCCAACTAGATGTCAACGACCCCCGTGACCGTCCGCAATACTTCCATGCCCACGGAACGGGAACCCCTGCCGGGGATCCCCAAGAGGCACAAGCCATCTCGCGTGCCCTGTTCGCAGACGGAGCACCTGACGACACTCTCTACGTAGGGTCTGTGAAGACGGTTATTGGGTGCGTAATGCTGTGGCAAGGGCCCGAGACGCGCACACATGCTGACACGGGAGTCTGTTCAGACATACCGAGGGAACTGCTGGCCTTGCCAGCCTGATAAGCACCTCCCTCGCCTTGCAGCACGCCGTCATTCCGCCCAACATGCACTTCAACAACCTGAGCCCAGCCGTGGCTCCGTACTACACCAATCTGAAAATCACAACCGAGGCCATTCCGTGGCCAGCACCGCCTGCCGGCCAGCCTCGACGAGCAAGCATCAACAGCTTCGGTACAGTCCGGGGGGGCCGTCATGCCGTCATGTCCAGGCATCATGTGCTGACTTGAAGTAGGATTCGGCGGCACCAATGCACATGTCATCGTGGAGTCTTTCGAGCCCGCCCTTGTTGAGAAGTTCAAGACGGCGTCTTTCATTCCCATTACGCTTTCGGCAGCCTCTGGCAAGAGCCTTGCGGCCATGCTGGCAGATCTGGCAGACTATGCCAGAAGCAACCCGGACACGAATATTCGGGACCTTGCCTATACCCTGACTTGCCGTCGTTCGACCCTGCCGCATCGACAGGTCATTACGAGCAGCACCACGCACGAGCTGGTGGCCAAGATTGACGCCATTCTTGCAGAGAAGCCGCCCCGGGGTCTTGACACGTCGTACGTCGGCGTTTCGAAGCCGACTGTACTCGGCGTCTTCACTGGGCAAGGGGCTCAGTGGCCACGTATGGGCGCGCAGCTTGTTGAATCGTCCCCTCTCGCCGCTCAGCGGCTGCAACAGCTAGACGATGATTTATCCCGTCTACCAGCGGCTGATCGTCCCTCGTGGTCCCTGAGCGAGCAGCTAAGCGCCGGCGTCTCTGAATCCCGCGTCCTCGAAGCGGCCATATCGCAGCCTCTCTGCACAGCCGTCCAGATTATACTGGTAGATGTGCTGTCGCTGGCCGGGATCAAGCTCCATGCCGTCGTCGGCCACTCATCCGGAGAGATAGGCGCTGCATACGCGTCCGGGTTCTTGTCGGCCGCGGATGCGATCCGCGTCGCATACTATCGTGGCTTACACGCCAAGCTGGCCAAGTCGCCGAACCGCGGCCAAAGGGGGGCGATGATGGCAGTCGGCACGTCCCTGGCTGATGCTGCCGCCTTTTGCGAGTGCGCGGGTTTCAAGGGCCGGATCCAGGTCGCGGCCTGCAACTCTCCTTGCAGCGCCACGCTGTCCGGGGACGAGGATGCCGTTGCCGAGGCCGTCGAGCTCTACAGGCGCCGGGGCAAGTTTGCACGGCAACTCAAAGTCGACACTGCATATCACTCCCGGCACATGATGGACTGTGCTGGGCCGTATCTCGACGCTCTGGAAGCATGTGCAATCACGACTCTGGGCGGAGGTGGCCCGGCTTGGTTTTCCAGCGTTGTGGAAGGGCGCCTCATGTCGCAAGAGTCCCTCCAATCCCGCTACTGGGTCGACAACATGAGAAGCACGGTTCTGTTTTCTTCCGCCGTCAGTGCCGCCTGCTCCGCCGCCGGTCCATTTGAGCTGGTTCTGGAGGTTGGGCCTCATCCGGCACTCAAGGGCCCGTGCCTGGACGTGATCAAAGAATTCGGCGGCACACAGCCGCCATATGTAGGGCTTCTGTCACGGGGCAAGCCCGACCTTGACGAAATCGCTACTGCCCTTGGGCACGTCTGGATGCACCTGGGGGCTGGGTCGGTCGACTTTGACAGAGTCGAGACGGGCCTCTCGGGCCTCTCGACCCCGAAAAGACTCGTGCCCGGCGTCCCGGCGTATCCGTTCGATCATTCCCGCTCGTTCTACTCTCTGACCCGCGTGTCCGGCATGCATCTCCATCTTCACCAGCCGCCGCACCCTATTCTCGGCCGACGCTGCGTCGAGCTCGAGACGGCCACAGAAGTTCGCTGGCGCAACATCCTGCGGCCAAGCGAGGTGAGCTGGTTGAGCGGCCATAAGATACACGGCCAGACACTCTTCCCTGCTGCGGGCTACGTTGCCATGGCCGTCGAGGCCATGTCTCTCATCGCCGGTGGCAAGCCGGTTAACATGTTCACGCTGCAGCATCTGGTCATAGGCCGCGCCATGACGTTCAACGACGACAATGTCGGCCTGGAGACGTCGGTAAGTCTTCGCGTATCCGAGTCCTCCGATGCCCGCATGCGAGCCGAGTTTCTCTGCCACTCCGGGCTGCCGTTTGACAATGCTTCCACGCCGGGGCTCAATGCCAGCGCGACCGTCAGTGTGTCTTTCGGCCAGCCAGACTCGGACATTTTGCCGTGTATGCAGGCAGATGATGTCAATCTTGTAGACACGCGTGTTGACCGCTTCTACACGCACCTCGCCCGGCTGGGCTACAACTACAGCCACCCTTTTACCGGCGTCAGGTCCATCGTCCGCAAGGCAGGGTTTGCTACGGGCGTCCTTGAGGACGAGTCCGGCCAGGGATGGGAAGACGACCTCATCGTCCATCCCTCCTGGCTCGATGCCGCCTTGCAAACTGGGCTCGCTGCACACAGCTGCCCGCAGGACATGAGGCTGTGGACGTTGCACGTTCCCACCTCTGTCCGGTCGATCAAAATCAACCCTCACTTCACCAAGCTGGGACGCGGCAAGACGACAAGGCTGTCGTACAGGGCCTTCATGGACGACTCCCCAACCCGCATGACGGCCGACGTCGACGTCGTGGCCGAGGGCAGCAAGTCGTTCGTGCAGTTCGAATCCATCGGCCTGAAGCCCTTGGTGGCCGCAACGCCGGACTCCGACGCCGTCGTCTTCTCGCAATTCGAGTACAGGCTTGCGGAGCCCAGCGGCGAGGATGCCGTGTCGGCGGACGGCCACTTTCCCGCACACCAGGAGGAGGTTATCTTGGCAAAGGAGCGCATGGGTCTTTACTACATCCGCCGACTGCTGGAAGCCATCACGGCCGAGGAGGAAGCAACAGTGCTGCCTCACTATCGCCGTCTACTAGCCTGGGGCCGGCACATGCTGGACAAGGTCCGCTCCGGAAAGCATCCTACGCTGCCCCCGGAGGCAGCCAGCGATACCCACGACCTGGCGGAGGCTCTGGTTGCGAAGCACAGTTCCGCTGTCGACGTCCGCATCACGGCAGCCGTGGGGGAGAAGCTCGTACACGCGGTTCGTTCCGGCCAGAGCACTCTCGAATACATGTTACAAGACGGCAACCTAGATCGCTTCTACGCGGAGGCAGCCGGGCTCGGCGCCTCGAACGCGTGGATGGGCAGGATGGCTTCTCAAATTGCACATCGCTACCCTCACATGCACATCCTTGAGATTGGCGCAGGGACTGGCGGCGCTACGGGGTCGGTCTTGCCGCAGCTCGGAACCTCGTTTTGCTCCTACACCTACACGGACATCTCTGCCAGCTTCTTCGAGCGAGCCCGGGCAAAGTTTGGACGGTACAGCTCTCGGATGATATATAAGACGTTGGACATGGAGAAGTGTCCGGCCGAGCAGGGCTTCGACGAGGGGTCCTACGACCTTGTCATAGCGTCAAACGTCCTGCACGCCACAGGAAGGCTGCGGGAGGTCATGACCAATGTGAGGAGGCTGCTGAAACCCGGCGGTCGTCTACTCGCCCTGGAGATCCTCAGCAACGAGTTCCTCGGGCTCGGCCTGATCATGGGCTGTCTGCCGGGCTGGTGGGCTGGCGCAGAGCAAGACGCGAGCCGCAGTCTGGGACCGGCGCTCGCGAGGCAGACATGGCACAGTTTGCTTGCCGAGACGGGGTTTTCCGGTGTTGACACGGCCACCCCCGAGATACACAGGCTTCATGCCTACACCGTGTTCTGCGCCCAAGCAGTTGACGAGCGAGTAAAGATGCTGCGGGATCCCCTTGTCCCTGCGGCGCGTGGAACGACGGCGAGCCTCGCCATTGTCGGCGGCGAGACGACCGAGGTCCATCAGCTTGTTCAGCAGCTGTCTGGCATTCTCGGGCCCCGTTACAGGAGCATCAGCTGCTTCCGTTCCGTGCAGGCGCTTCATGAGGCGGGCGTTCCGGATTCGAGTTCTGTTCTGTGTCTGACGGAGCTGGATCAACCGTTCCTGGAGACGAGGACGCGGCAAAAGCTGGAGGGTCTAAAAACGCTCTGGCGAAGTGGTGGAACCATCTTGTGGGTTACTCGTGGTGCCCTCGACGACAATCCTTATTCCTCCCTGCTTGTTGGGCTGTCGCGAACCGTGCGTTTTGAGTACTCGATCATCAATCTGCAAATGCTCGACTTGGATGCCATTGCGCCGCAGACCGCGCAGCTGCTGGCCGAGTCCCTTGTTCGCATCGAGCTCCTGGGGTCTTGGAAACGGGACTCGAACCCCAGCCGCGACTTGTTGTATTCTTTCGAGCCAGAAGTCGTCTGCCGGGCCGGGCAGCTCCTCATTCCTCGAGCATATCCGCACGAAAGGGCCAACAGCCGCTACAACACATACAGACGGACAGTCTATGAAACCGTTTGCATGCACAAGTCGTCCGTCTCACTCGGATCAAATGGCTCCTCATACTCGCTGCGTGGCGAGTCACCTTTGTCACGTCCAGAAGAGCGCCAGCACGGTCGACCGGTCAAGGTGCTCAAGGTGTCGCAGTCGCTCTTGCAAATGATCATGATTCCCGGGGCAGGCTTCTTGAGTCTGGTAGCAGGCGTGGACGAAGCCACCGGAGAGCACGGAGTCGCCTTGTGCGAAGCGACTCGATCGTCAGTTGCCACGTTGGCAGAATGGACAATAACCACGCCTGGCGCAGTGGCCGCAGAAAGCCTCGCGCAATTCGCAGCCCATCTCCTTGCTCGAGGCGTCTTTTCCATGGCACCGAGCGGCGGCACTGTGCTCGTGCTTGACGTCGACCAAGGGCTCGCTCTCACGCTCGTCAAGGAGGCCGGCAGGCTCGGTGCTCGCATTCAACTCGCCACGTCCACAAAGGACTCGGCAGTCAGGGGCGTCGCCCACGTTCATCCCGACCTGCCCGGACGGTATGTAAAACGCGTGATTCCTGCCGATGTTACGCTTTTTGTGAACCTTTCGCATACACCAGCCGGCGCAAAGTCTGGCGGTCTCATTTCCGAGCACCTCCCACAGCACGTCCCAGTTGTTTCGGCATCGCAACTCTTCAGTACGAAGAGCACAGTGGTCCCAGGCGTCTCGACCGAGACGGTTGGAAGAGTCTTCAGGGACGCCTGGGAGGAGTTCCGGCCGAGTTCTGACGCCGTTGTCCAAGCCACCATAATACCGCTTCGATCCGTAGACGGCCATCGCGTAGGCGGCGAGCCTCTGGCTGTCGTGGACTGGAACGCGGAATCTGTCAGGGTGGCAATCCAGCCTATCGACTCGGCCCAAATCTTCCGCGGCGACGGAACATACTTCCTGGTCGGGCTCTCCGGTCAACTTGGCCAGTCGCTATGCCACTGGATGGTCAAGCACGGCGCTCGAAACGTGGTGCTTACGAGCCGGAACCCAAAGGTAGACCCCAAATACGTAAAGTCGATCCAGAGGCTCGGTGCCACAATCAAAATCATGCCCATGTAAGAGCAACAACGGCCCTGGCTGCGTTGTCCCCCCCGTTGTCCCAGATACCCCAAGCAAGTCTTGATCACAAAGCCGGAAGAAGCTAACTGGCGTGCGCCAAAGGGACGTTGCGGACCGCAACTCACTCCACGCGACCTGCGAGGAACTCCGCGACACGATGCCGCCCATTATCGGGGTCGCCAATGGCGCCATGGTACTGGAGGACGAGCTGTTTGACAAGCTTTCATTCGAGTCGTTCGACCGCTCACTCGCCCCCAAGGTCGACGGGAGCCGCCACCTCGACGAGCTCTTCCGCAACACACGCCTCGACTTCTTCATCCTCTTCTCCTCGCTCGCCAGCGTCATCGGAAACGCCGGCCAGTCCAGCTACGTCGCCGCCAACCAGTACATGGTCGCGCTCGCCGCGCAGCGCAGGAAGCGCCGTGTCCCGGGCTCAGCCGTGGCCATCAGCTCGCTGCAAGGCATCGGCTACTTCTCGCGCTCGGCCATGGACCAAGACCACTTCACCAGGCTCGGGTACAGAAACATCTCCGAGCAGGACTACTTCCAGCTCTTCGCCGAGGCCATCGCCGCCGGCAGGCCAGGCAACCCCGACAGTCACGAGGTCATATCCGGCCTCAGCCCCATCCACGAGGACGCAATCAAGACCCAGACGCTAAAGGACCCCAAGTTCGGCCACTTCGTCATGAAACACCGCGACAAGCAGGTCCCGTCCCACGGCGCCTCACACGTCCCAGTAGCACGGCAACTGGTGCAAGCAACGTCCCGTGAGGAAGCCCAGGCTCTGGTCCAAGGTACGTGTGTTTGTCGCTGCCAGGCACCGCGCCCTACCCCCCCCACTGACCAGATGAGCAACTTGAACAGACGCCCTTGCGGATCGACTGCGGCGCATTCTCATGCTTTCTCCCGACGAGGCGGTTCGTGACAAGCTTCCCCTTGTGGAGCAGGGGGTCGATTCCCTCGTCGCCGTCGAGATCCGCACGTGGTTCATGAAGGAGTTGCACGTCGACGTTTCCGTGGTCAGGATTCTGAGTGCCTCCGTGACAGTCGCGGACCTTGTTGCGGATGCCGTAGGGAGCCTTGCCCCATCTCTTGTGCGCGGCGCCGCGCAAGAGTCTGGGACCTTGGCTCCCGCTGCGGGGGCTGTGTTTGCAGAATCCTTGATTCGAGACGGCTCTTCACAGCTCACGAACGGCCCGTCATCTTGGAGTAGTCAAGGAGGCGTGTCTACACCGGATACCCAGCCCTCGTCCCCCAAACCAGCGTAGAAGAATACCCTTGGTGGCAACGGAGACCTCACCAGGCCGCTGAATCGTATACATCCGGGGAAGTGTTGCCGTGCCCTTGTCAAAGGCGGTAGGCAGGTGCTGCGGTTTGCAGTGACCGTCCCCGAGGCTCCGGAGGGAGGTCCCCATCGTCAGGGAGGCTGCCGACTTGCTGCAACTCATCATGTCTGGTCGTGACATTCTCTTCATGTCCTGCTTACCGGTCACGAGACGACGGCCGAACTCGTCGACGGCGAGGAATGGCAAAGAGGAGCGGGCCGATGACCACTTCCTGTTGATGTCGTATTCAGGATGTACGCTGCTGTTTGCGCACCTCGACGTCGGATTGTACATGTTGCTCCAGGTTAGAAATACTCCATTCGCCATGCCCACTATCCATTTCCAAAATCCCCGAATCAATCCTTGCATGTTGTCTTGCCCCAAACATAACCTGATATCGCTGTCCATTTCCATGAGATGCCCACTACAAAGTGTCCCGTTTTACGCCCGGCCTGCCCTGTACTGCCACATCCAGCCTTGCTTTGCATAAATCCTTGGCCCAATTCTAAAGCTTACCGCTACGGATCTCCTTTTCAAATATCTTGACCCCCCACACATCATAGAATTGTAGAGGGCCAAGCGTTTTGTACCTCAGCCGAGATCCGCCGTCCTCGGCCTCGTCGTCACTCTCGCTTTCGGAATCCAGACCCTCCAGAGGGAACACGGGATATGCCTGCGACGAGCTGCCACTGGAGGACGGAACGTGAGCTTTGTCTTTTCCCTTGTTCTTTGTCCTGTTCGATGACTCTTGACAAGGGGAATTTCCAGAACACTCAGAAGGCCGTATTACTCGGTCGACTCGGTCATCCTCCATGGCGATCCATTCCAACTTCAGTTGGGGGTGATGAGAAAGATTGTCAACAATGAATCGTAGTATTTCCCGCATGACCCAGATGCAAGTATCATTGTTCTTGAAGTGAAGAATGTTGATTGCCCGGAGATTGATGAGGCCAGAAAAGTACTGTACAAAAGCATGCTAAGGAGTCGTCAGCTACTCTGGTATTCGCCTACACCAAGCAGGCCTCAAAACGAGGTACTGGAACTCACCACCGTATGAATGTTCATGCTCAGTGCAAGTTCTTCTAGCTTCACACCTCGCGTGCATATCAACATCATCGTCTTCACGTTGGTGTCCCAGTTTGGCCCGTTGGATTCATCTTTGATCATGAGCCTTTTGAGAGTTGGCATGTGCTTCTTCAGCACCAACCTCCTAATCTGATCCATCGACGTAGCGGTACGTGGTGCAAAGCTTTCTGGTTTGTGCTTCACGCTTCGCTCCAGCATAAACAGATCGTCCAGTTGTGGAAGCTGTGCCACGCATGCCAAGAATGAAACAGAAACATGGTCAGTGAAAACACTCCGCAAAGCAATCGGGCGGAACTTCTGCTCCTTCGTGAGCATAGACCAAATGGGCGCTTGGTTTCCAACGTTAATGAGGCTCAACTCTTTAATGCACGCCACGTCGATAGCTTGCGATAAAACAGAGGCCTTGACGGGTATGAGGCAGATTTTCAGAGTTTCAATCGACATTCCCCTCGTCTTGCGTGCATACGCGTCCATATTCTGCTTCATGCACTTGTCTTTCTGAACGTTGGGCGCATCCAAGAGGTCTTCGATTTCGGACTCGAGGATCCTAATCTCGTTGGAAACTTCTATCGCGCCTCGATTCAGAAGCGCAAGTTCTGAGTCCAGAGCATTAGCAACGCTGGAGCTGCTCTCATTAACCCTCTCGTCGCGTATTTCCAAGACTCTCTGCCCTGCTTCGAAAACCAATCGGCGCAGTTGAGCCAGTTTTTCAACGATGGCTGCGCGGTCTGCTTTTCCAGGCCTGGATTCTACATGGATAGAATCTCGGTCGGTTCGCAGCAGTTGAGAACACTGTTTTGACGTAGCGCCCAAAATACCGCCGGACTCGCCAGCTTGCCCATTCGTAATTTTTCGTGGCATACAAGTCTTGGAGTTGGAGGATTCTGTCAGCGGCTGATCGTCAAAGTCGTCAATGTGTTCATCTAACGTTTCCAAATGTTCAATATCGATGTCATCGGGGGAGAGTTCCCCTTCGCTCCGAGATCTCCGAGCCCCCTCGGACGCCTTATCAGTCAGCGGCCGTGGACAAATCTCTTCGCTGACAGCAAATGCATCATATTGCGGAGTTTCGGTTTCGGTTTGACTGGCACCGGTCGCTGCACCTGCCCTCGATATGTTTACTGCAGACTGTGATGCCTGGGAGGTCGATTCCTCGGCGTCGTTGGCCGTGCCGCTCCCATTGCATGTTGAACTCTCACCAGCCATATCAGATTGCACGTACTTTCGTGAAGCCTTCTCGATCGTATCGAGAATTTCTTGTTGAGAGATGGAAAAGTCTCTAGAGCCATGCATAACTGCCATGAGCCTAGTAGATACTGCTCGAATCGACGAGATATATTCTTCGCGAGGGTCTCCCGTCGTGGCCTTTGATTCTCCGGTTTTTGTTGCGGACTTGGGGGGATTTAACGAGTTTCCAAGTTGAATCGGCGACTTCTTTAGGAGATGAGGTTCCTCAATGTTGAAAACTTTGTTGAGAATTGATTCTTGCAGCTTTCTCTCCTCTTGAGCTCGAAAGACCTTTGCTGGGCCGGTGCTGTCGTAGCTGGTGGCATTTTCTGACGTCGGAACAACCTGGTATTCATCATCGACGTCTGAGTCGTCAGCGTCCGAATCGGCCTGTGGTCTTCGTGCCTGCTGCGCCAAGGAATCAGACAAGGAGAGCTGGAGTTCCTTGATGGTAGAGAAGCAGTTTCTGACGCATGTTCTCAGCTCAGACACAATATCAAGATTGTCAATGTCCAGCACAGACAGGGACTTGAGTGATTTGAAACCTGACAGGGTCGGTGGTTCCTTGTTATCTGAGCCCCTCTTGCCTAGTTTGCTTTTTGGGGTCGGTCTGGACGAAGGTGGTAGTAGAGCGGGTGGCAGGCCAGGAGGCGGGCTCCCAGCTGGTTGAAGGGAAGAGACCATATCAGGCCAGTGGCCATTCGGCTGATGATGGGATTGACTGTCGATAGATACAGGTAGCGGAGGTGGCGTCGTATAATACGAGTCTCCCGCCTGCATCCGAAGATGTAGTCTTTTGAGTGATATGATACGGTGGAGTTGTGCATACACAGGCCTACTAAGCTCAACACGAATATTCCATCTGTTTGTTCGTGGTGTGATGAGTTAGCACATCTAAAACACGTCCACTGTACCAGATGGACGATTGCAACACCAGCCGACTCACCGAAAGGACTCCAAAGAATGTGCTCGCTTCAACGTCAGGTACAGCAATGTGTTGAGGAATTTGCCGCAGCTCGCACTGTATAGGTAAGGTTGATATGAATGCTCCCCTTTGACGCCAGCGCTCAAAGTGTCCATAGAAAGGTCCTGCAGGTGCTGAGCATAGTTGTATTCGCTAGTGGTGAAGGTATCCAGGCCGCCGGCCAATCCGTCAATAGGAGATTCAATGTTGACATCGTCGTCATCCGGGAAAATGATGTGGAAGCTACGATAAAGTTGGGCTGCTGCCAGCTCGTGGAACCGTCTAGACACCAGGGCCAGACAAATGAGATCACCTTGAGAGCACTATTCCAATGATCAAGCTGTTAGAAACGTGACTCGGCCAACAAATGATAGTCCAACATGACAAACAAAAAAAGAGTGTGTCTTTGCGAATGTATTTGGCCAAGGAAATCATGTGCCAAGGTAACAAGGTGCTTCAACGCTGCGTTACCAGGGGAGGCCACTCACATGGGAAACAATATCCTGTTGGGTTTCGGCTGGCAAATCGAGAATTGTAATGGGTGTCTTGTTCGATGGTTGAGAAGTTGCGGCCGCTGCAGCCTCGCCACCGGTTGTTTTCGTCGCCATGATGCTCGAGGTTGGGGCACGAGTAAAGTGGCGAGACCGGCGTTTGAGGGGCAGCTGCGCGAGGCTGACGACCGAGCAACAATCTATGGATATGACCAGACGTCAGTCGTGGGCCGATGACCAAGTAGGCAGGCTGACGACGCAGGTGGATGCGACGGAACAAGCCGTACTTGCGACGCCAGCGGAGAGCACGGGATGTATGCTCGGGAGCGGTTGTGTCGAGAGAAGGATCCTGGAGTTGTGGAAGTAAGCTGAGAACAGTCTGCTCGAAAGGCATTTGAGGAGAACAAAGAGGGCCGGTCCATCGACCCACCCCCGGCCTCGAGTTCAAGCAGCGTCCGTCAATGCATGCACTTTACCGTTTACCGGGCTTGCGCCTGGGTACTCCGTACATCCTCCGCACAATGTGAAGTCGCATGCATGCCTGTTGGTCCATGGCACTCGACTGTCTCCGCTCACGCTTCGGGCTCAAGTCTGGCGCAGCAACAACAGATGCTGGAGGGGTTCCGGCTGCTAGTGGCGGGGCGCCATGTCGCAAAGGCGTCGGGGCCGCGACACCTGGGTGTCCGGTGGAGATGTCTGGACCAACGGACAGCGCGCGGCGTTCACGTCTTGCTAGTCACCTCTTGTCGTGTTAGTCTGATATTAGCATGTCAACGTGTTGAGTTGAAATTAAGCCTCTCGAGCGAGCGGCCTGCGGACAGAGCCACGTCGTCGGCAGCATAAAAACGACGAACCGAAGGCATGGGCACTGCATGCCACAAGCCCGCAAATGCCTGGTCTGGTTTCTGTTGCAGGTATTGGTGGGGCTATCCGCGAAGCTTCGGCGAATCGGCATGATAGTTACTTTGATGGGAACTAAAAGACACTGTGTTTATAATCGAATGTCTGAGGGAAATGAGAGAGCCAACGTCTGCACAAGTTGCAGTGTCGGTTTACGCCTGAGCAGAGTCTACTTTCTAAAGTTGTTATTACGGCGCACGTCTGCCTGTATCGCGGTTGCACTTTCCTCGACTGAAACGGATTCTTCTGTAGGGTAGCTGAAAAAGTATCCTCTGATCTTGTCAAGGTGTCGTGAACAAGGATGATTTCACGACAATGTGAATGATTCCTTGAAGACTTGAGAACAGAGATGATGCATTGCTCTTGGATTTCCTTTGCGAACTAACCTTTGTGTGCTGGCCCAAGTCCCCCCCACGTTTTTGGACAGTCGCCTCAGGATGCCTCCACCATGGTGCTTCGTTCTTCGCCCGCCGTCATTCTTGTCAGTGTGTTGTTCAGACCCATCGTTTTCCTTTTCCCTGCCCCCAACAAGTTCACTGACAGTATCGTTTCTAGGAGGGTAACAATAGCATCACAGCCGCAGTCGCAAGCCACACGGTAACAAGGAGCCACACCTCCACCGCGACGATCCAACTCGACGGGGCTGTGCAGACGACAAGCCATCAGGTCAACTTGAAACTACTCCGGAAGCTTCCTGACTTGCGTGGAGAGTTGGACAAGGGCCGACGACACCCTTGGGACTCGGGAGTGCGCGGGTCTCCCTCTTTTCTTCGTGTATCTACGGAGCACGGTCCGCTGAATGACAGCGTGAGTCGCTCAGAGCTGGTTAGTCATGCACGTAGCCGCGTTTCAACATCACCCATGAATACTTCCCACCATAGAGTCTCTCTACTCGTCCAGCGCTCTAATACATGCACATCATTCAGGCACCCCGACGTCTCCACCTCACACTCCAAGATTCCATGTCAGTCTTACTGCTACGATCTCAATCTAGACCCACGCCGTTCCAGCCTCCCTTCAGTCCGGCAATTTACTTTCCCCTCCGATAGCCGTGGGCTTGCTCAGCCATTGATCTACCCTCCGCAACAATGGCCGACGCAGAGGAACCTCAGTTCAGTACAATCGCCGAGAGGATCGCCGCCCTCAACAAGCAGAGGAACTTCAATGGCAATGGCAATGGCAATGGCAATGGCACAGCTGAGCCAACGCGCAAGCGACCTCCTCCAGCACCTCCTGTCCGACCAACAAGTCCGAAAAGAAGTGAAACTTCTCCAGCTGCGTTATCTACTGCTGCCAGTGCACACTCTTATCCGTCAATTCCTAGTAGACCTGTGAAGGGGAATGCGCCGCCCCCCTTGCCTCGAAGAGATACTCAATCTCCTGTCGCAAGCAATGACTCCTTGGCAACAAAGGCTGTGAAAGGCCCTCCACCATTGCCAAGTCGGCCAACAAGCTCTCAGACTCCTCCAAAACTACCCTGGAGAGCATCAGCTCAGCCGACCGCATACCTTTCTCCCCGTCGCAATTCAGCTTCCTCGGAGATATCTCAGCACTCTACGGTATCTACGTCATCACTGGGACGAACCACCTCGTCCAATACCAGTTACGCGCCCAGTGGAAACGCTCCTCGAAAAATGATGGCTCCGGCTACATGCAATCCGGCAGATCTACCCCCTCTCCCCCCATCGAAACGAGAACTCGAAGCCCAAGCCAAAGAGGCCACTACTCAAGAAATCGCTGTAAAGGACATGGCCGCTCGGGAATATAGAGCCAAGCAGGCTCTCAAAGCACAGGAAGGTCGACCCGTCAGCAACACTCCGTCCCCGACCCCTCCCACTCGACCCGGGTTGCCACCACAACTACCGTCGAGGCCAGCGCCAGCACAGACAAATTCGGTGGTTGTAGTCGAAGAAACAGAACAAGCCCCCCGCAAACTTCCCATTGGTACCATTAGAGGCTTTTCTAGTGGGAAAACAGTCAAGGCGCCGCTTCCTCCGACGCGACGACCACAGCTTCCTCCAAGGTCATCTGCCGATGCTGAGACCATCAGGGACGAGCCGCCGCCGCCGGTACCTCTGTCTTCGAGACCTTCAGCGGCGCAGATTCGAGAAGCATCATCCGAGGTCGCAATGAGGGCATCAAATGGAGAAACCAAAGGGAGAAGTACCACAGAGTGCTGGGTATGTCGAGATTGGAGTGGGCCAGACACCGTGGCAGCCCAATTCCCGAGACAATCACTGCCTCGCAATGATCCTGTCGGTCATCTTGCCCATGGCTTGTGTGACCCTTTCCCTTCATACGATGATAAAGCAAGAGCAATTTTTACATGGTGTCATCACAACATATCCTACGACACAGCGTCTTTCTTTGGCAATAACGTCAAACCCATGTCCGTCGAAGATACAATATTCAGTGGTTTGGCGGTATGTCAAGGCTACGCAGATACTTTCAAGGCTGTGGCCAATAGGGCGGGGTTAGAGTGCGTAGTTGTTGGGGGCCATGGCAAGGGCTTCGGCCATAAGCCCCTGAAGCAAGGTGAGCGGCCGCCTCCAGCGAAACCCGACGGACACGCCTGGAACGCCGTCCGAGTTGACGGTGGCTCCTGGAAGCTTATTGATGCTTGCTGGGGGGCCGGGCACATCTGCTCAGCGACGAATCTATACAAGAAGGAGTTCTCTCCCCGTGAGTTCACCTTGACGAATGAAAAGTTCGGCCTTCGCCATTTCCCTCGGGATTTTCTGCTCCAACACAGGAGTGACGGTCGCACGGTTTCCTGGGAAGAGTACTACACTGGAGGCATGGACGGAGAGCCGCACCAATGGTATGGTACGGGGAATAATGAGGGGATTGCTGAGGATTCTGTGGAGCCAAAATGCCGTGATATCTCAGTTTACAGCGGGCAAGTCGTCCGGTTCCAATTTTCTAGAGTTTGCGAGCACTGGACTTCGGAGAAGGCTGGGCTGGGGAGTCCTGCCTTGTTCCTGCTCAGTATCCACGGTCTTGACGGACGTAAAGAAGAGATTATCCCAACCGAAACCAACGGATACTGGAACTGGGTAGACGTCGACGCTCGAGATCTTGGAGCTCCGGGACAGTCAGTCGAGATCCTCAAGCTCGAGACGATGGATAACAGGGACGCTCGCGGAGTCACGCCGGAAGAGTTTAAATCCAAGAGGGGGAGGGTCGGGATGTCATGGTCATATATTGCCAGGTGGAACTTGGTATAAGAGGCTACGAACAGCTTTCATTCTGTGACCACAATCCAGGTCTTAATTGGGGTCTACGTACAGCATGCACATATCTTGCCAAGTCTAATGTCATAACTAACATTAATACACGTCGGCCTGCATTTTCTCAACTTGCTGACATGGAAAGATTTCGCTTGACCGTGACGGCGATGGTCGTTGCCGGGATGAAGTTGATCCGAGTTGCCTTGTTGCATGGAATCCCTCACGTAGTACTTCAAAAGTTACAAAGGACCCGTACTTCCTCAAAGGATTCGAGCCCCTATCTTTGGTATCGGCCTTGGAGACCTCTAGTTCCGTGTTCTTATATTGTAGGTGGGAATATGACGGAGACCTCGAGTGAAGTCGAGGTCGTTTAGTCCCAACTTAAATTAACACGTGCATTGGTGCTAGTCGCGTTAAGTAGCCCCACGTACCCGCCAGCTGCCAAAGCCACCGTGGCAGCTGCACGTCATCAACTCGCAGCTGCGCGCATCTGTGTTGATCATCTTTGTTCTTTTCTTTTCCCGAGCCTCGATGCTGATTCAACACTCGATGTTGTTCTCCGTACTTGGCATTGTTTCTCCCCCGTGATATTCCTTATCCATGCTTCCTGCCGCCGGTGATTGACGAATACCGCCCGAGACAAGTCACACGGCGCCGATTGGCAACGATGCCATAATCTCAACACCACGACGAACCCACGAACCCAACCCTCTCCAAGATGCGCCCCTCGTCGCCTCCCACCTCGCCGACGTCTCTCTCCCGCTCCGAGACCATCACTCTCCTCGTCCTCAGCGGCGTCTCGCTCTCCATCCTTCTCAACACCTTCCAAGGCGATGGCGAACCCCTTTTCGCCTCGCTGGCCCTCTCCATTCTCGCCTTCAGCCTCTGCTATGCCATGATCCGGTGGCTCGGCCCTACCTTCATGCGCGCTGGCTTCCGTGGCCGTGACCTCAGCAAGACGACACGCATCGAGATTCCCGAGTGCATGGGCGCCATCTGCGCCGCCGTCTACCTCCTCACCGTCATCGTATTCATTCCCTTCCCCTTCTACAAGGACATCGTGGCCGCCACGTCTGGCGGCGGAAATCGCGACGTCGTCCTGGAGCAGGAACACGTCGACCATGGACGTTTCCTCCACCGCTTCCCACACAACAAGCTTGCCTCCTACCTCGGCGCCATCATATCCCTCCAGACCATTGCGCTGCTCGGAATCGGCGACGATCTCTTCGACATTCGGTGGCGGCACAAGTGGTGGATTCCGGGGCTCGCCAGCATCCCCCTGCTCGTCGTCTACTTTGTCGACTTCAACGTCACCTCCGTCGTCATCCCCGTCCAACTCCAACCATACATCGGGGAACTGTTCGACCTCGGCCCCTTGTACTACGTCTACATGGCCTGCATAGCCATGTTCTGCCCGCAAAGCATCAACATGCTCGCCGGCATAAACGGCATCGAGGTGTCCCAGTGCCTCGTCATCGCCGCCCTCGTCGCCTTCAACGACTGCCTATACCTCTTCACACCCTACCCGCACCCAGCCACCGACTCGCACCTGTTCTCGCTCTACTTCCTCCTCCCGTGGATAGGCGTGTCCGCAGCCCTCCTCCGCCACAACTGGTATCCCGCCAAGGTCTTTGTTGGCGACACATACTGCTACTTCTCGGGCATGGTCTTCGCCGTCGTCGGCATCCAGGGCCACTTCTCTAAAACGCTGGGCCTCCTCCTCATCCCCCAATTCTTCAACTTTGCCTACTCGGCGCCCCAAATCTTCGGGCTCGTCCCCTGCCCGCGCCACCGCCTCCCCAAATTCAGCCCCCGAACAGGTCTCATGGAACCGTCCGTCACGCCGTGGAGCCCTGACCGCCAGCCGCGCCCGCTCGTAGCACAGAGCCTCCGTCTTCTCGGGAAACTGCACTTGCTCAAGGTAACCGTTGACGAAAAGGGCAACTTTGTGGAAACGAGCAACTTCACCATTTTGAATCTGTGGCTGGTGTGGAGGGGCCCCCTGCGGGAAGATCGACTGGCGACGGAAATCACCTTGCTGCAGCTGCTCGTCGGCCTGTTTGGTCTGTTTGTAAGACACAGGCTGGCCTTGTTGGTCTTTAAGGAAGACAACTGGGGCACCACCGCGTATTAGATGGAGCACCATACCTGGTGGAGCGGGTGTCTCTGCCAGGTGCATGAGAAATAGAGCTTATGGCCATGGTCTGGTCAACATCAATGCATCGATACACGCGAAACATGTGCGAACGCAAAGAGCTAGAGAACTCTGCCCACATCGATTGTTGTGCCAGCTACAATGCATGACAAGACACTACGACCGTCACTTTGCATCATGGAACTCAACAGGTGGGAGTGGTTAGATGTCGTCATCCGTAGATCGATCCTTTCATCTCAGCTAGTATCGGGCATACCACATCTTCCTTTACTCGCGGGTAAAGCTTGCCAGTCCAAAAATCAAGACATACAAATACAAGTAGTAGAAGAGGGATATTATAAGAACAAGATGAAAAGCCAGTCATGTGTCAGTCCCCCAAATGAACGCCCCTTCTCTTGAAAACGAATATGACCTTTTCCCACGTTTCGAAGAAGAAAAAAAAAAGAAAAAAAAGGAAGAAGCAGGCATGTTCAGACACACAGGTCCATCTGTAATGACGGCACAAAGTGCCTTAATCGCTGCATTTCTCGGGTCATCCAAATAACCGCCACCGTGAACCTTTTCACCTCTGGTCCAAATCAACGCCGATTCATCCTATTTCTCCCTCTCTGTTAACGCCATGTTCGATAATAAAATTCCTGACAGCAAGCCTCCACTCCGCCCAAACCGAAAAGTCCAAAATGAAAAGCGGCTTTTGTCATCGCCAAAATACTCCGGTGCTTTGGCTGGCGTAAGTGTTCCCCCTACCAGTTTAAGCTGGGTTTGCCTCCAGCGACGGGGCATGACCGTCTGGCAGTTCAAACAGCAGAATCCACATTCGCAGCACTAAACGAATATACATATCCTATACAGACTCAAGCCCCGTTTACCGTCGGTGTTGAGTCGTCGGGTTTGTCCAGATGATGAGGCTCCATCGTCGTTTCCACTTTGACATCCTCGGGACCAGCTAGGCCTGGCTTCAACACAGTAGATCCTCCTGCGGCTTTACCCGCTGCCTTGTTTAGTCGACTCTTGTAGTCACTGAGGCTCAGTTTCTTCTTAACGGGACTTGGGGTAGCAACGACGCCATAAATTGAGCTCACAGCAAAAGGATTCGATGCGCTTGAAGTTCCAAACGGGGACAGCGCTGCTGAGCTTGCTGCTGATAGAGGAGTGGCCGTGGTTGACGTGACCAGTCCGGTGCTATCAAACGCCGGTACTGGAGGTAATTGTACACGAAGATCCGGGGCCTTCATCTTGCCAGTCTCCATCGTCGTGTCATTCAATACTGAACTCTGAGATAGTTCGGCCGTGTTGGTATCTGTCGAATGCGATTTCGGTGATGTCACATCGGAACCAGTGCTGGCGATTGAGGGTCGGTGCTCGCTGCTGGTGGGCGAGTCCAAATCTATAGCCGAGGCATTGGATATTTGATTTGCCAAACTTTTTCTTTTCCGTTCCTCCTCAGTAAGTAGGCTTCGGCGCCGGCTATTCATCAATCTCTTCGAAAGTGAGATGATTCTCTTTCTAATTGGAGTTGGGTTGCAGGACTCGCTTATCCAATGGCCCTCAACTGGGTCGGTTTGCACGGTCGCATCGCGATACATACCGCGAGGCCCTGCTGAAGTCTGCCGTGAGTCCGATGTAGATGAACATTGCTTGCTCGGTGCCTTTGGATAGCCAATACTTGGTGATCTCCCGCTAGCTGGTGAGCCAGACTTGCTGCGAGACGTGCCTGCGTCAACATACTGTCCAGGTGGGCCCGTTGAACCATTCCTTGACTTTGATTTTGATGAAGGAGTTGTCCCATCGGAAACACGCTTCTTTTTCCTCGGGGGTTGCTGTTGTTCCATTCGGCGAAATGAATCTTCCACCATCGCTACTTTCCTCTTGTCTCGGTCCGTCGGCTCAGTTAGTATTCCAAGTTGATCAAAAGACCCAACTGGAGTGCGGTCGCGACTCGGAGGTTTGCTACGTGATGTTCCTTCGAGTTTGACATCATCGGCTCCCTCGTCGATATTTCCCTCACTAGCGGCTCTGCTATTGGTAGCCTGACCAGTGCTAGTGGGCGAGATGGTGTGATTACGGGCTTTTCGCGGCTTCTTCTTTCCACCTTTCATTTGATTTCTGCCAAAAAGATATTGCCGGTGAAACCGGGCAAAAGCACAGTTGTTCTCCAGATCGCAGGCACAGCCACCGTATTCAGACAAGATTCGGTCGATCCAGTTAGAGATGGCTGTATATTCAGCCGAGTCCAGCTCTGGCTCATCCTGCGCCGCAGAGTCATCATCACTCAATCCTAATAGATGAAGCCACCTGTCCCGCACACTCTTCTCCAGTCGGAAATCCCAAGGTAACGTGATTTGTTCATTCGCAGGAATATATCGGTCGCTGACAAGCCAAAAGTGGTATTCTGACCCCCCAGACAAATAGGTATCCAGCTGAGCATTTGGCTTACAGCTCCTCCGTACATATCTCGCCAGAGAGCCTTCTTTTCTCGTGTCAATGTACAGTGGTAAACTGGGATGGAAGAAGACAAAAGGGAGCGGACAAGAAAGATCGGCCCAGACGTTGGCAGGGTCGGCACAATAATCTTTTTGGAAGCCGATTTCGCCATTCAGCTCAATCAAGGCGACGTCCTTTTCGACTGCTGTTGTCGATTCAATACAACGCCATCGCAGAGTCGTTCCAGGTTCCACCAGTCGGGTGGTGTCATTCACCTCCAGCTTTGGCTTCATCTGATCCACGTTGGGCGGCTCGTCTTGAAAGACTTCTGCACGGGTCCTGCCGACCTCTTGCTTCATCGTATCGGGATCTCGCAGCCATCGTGACAGTGCTGTGGGGATGGCCAGGCTCGCAAACGCATTGTTGTGTGTATCGGGGACCTCTTGTTCATTGTAAAGAGAGTAAAATCCAGCAGAGTAGTGATGAATCTGAAAATCATTGGGAAGATCAGGAGGTGTTGTGGCAGGACTGGGGGGTTGGGCAGGATTCGACCGCGAGTTCTGACCATATGAAGGACTTCGCTTCGATGGCTGGGAACTAACAGAGTGTGAAGGGCGGTGTGAGGATTTGGTTTTCTTTGAGGAGGAGGGAGGGCCGTTTTCAGGGTGGCCATTTAATTGTAGGTCGTTGGGCTTCGGTTTCTTTCTGGCAGTCTTGGTCGGCGGGCGCTTCGTCTTCTTATCCAAGGGCTCTTTTTGTATTTCCAGTATACTGTTGACATTTCGGAGTCGAAGCGTTCGCTCGATAGCCTTTTGTCGATCCAGGGGCCGCGGTTTGCATTCTGCACAGGAGTGGGCAAAGTCTTCTCGGATGGCCTCCTCTCTATTGTTGGGATAGAAGCAGTCAATGTGCTGCCAGGTATCGCACGTCTCGCAGTAAATTGTGTTTCCGTCATCGTCAGAGAAGTTGCAGATACACTTTATGGTGTAAGGCTCTTCTTCCGTCTGCTCTACGGTCGGGGCAATGGCTGGGTCATCCTTGACAACCGTGTCCACCGGCGCAGGTAGAACAGTCTGACTGGGAAGTGATGCCTGCGTTGACGGCGGCGCGGGCGTGTCTGTCATAATCTGAACGAAACCTGGCAGGGGGGGTTTGGCGGCGTAAGACGTGAGTAGGAAACAGAAAATTAAGGTCGCAGTCTTGAGGGCATGACGCCGCCGTGCAAAGAGGCGCGCCCGTGGTGTTGTCGAGGGACGGGAGCGCAAAGGCAAGCTCTACCCAGACTGGCACCTGGGAAGTGGTGAGATTATATGTTTGCGATCAGTCTGTCAAAGATCGGAGGAGTTGTAGAGCATGCACAGCGAATTGGTCGTGGGAGACGAGTCGAGCGAAGAGCCGCTGCCGAAGGGTAGCGACGCAACGGCTGATCGGTAGGAAAAATCAATCGAGCCGACCAAGTGATTCGTCGTCTAGAGCCAGAAAACAACCTCTATTCAACGCGTCGAAGGGTGTGGTGGACTTGGAGAGTCGTGAAAGTCTTTTCCTACCGCAGTGGAGGAATCTTTACGGCGGAGTTGGAGGAGCCGACGGAGCGCGGCGGATTGTGGCGCGAAGGGGCAAAGAGTTGCGCGGTTGCAGAGAGAACAAAAGAAAAGCAAGAAGCAGGGCAGGAGGCGGCCTCCAAGTAAATGGAGCTGGTGTGGTGAGGTGAATCGCGTTGTGCGGCCGAAGAAACGAAGGGACGATGAAGGATGTGCGGGTGCGTGAGTGCGAAAAGAAGAAGAGGGAGAGACAAATCTTGGACTGCACAGGGACTTCGGGGGGAGGAGCCAAGATTGGACGAGTAGCAAATGGCAGCAGCAGCAGGATGGGGAAAGAGCGACGCAGCAGACCCAAAACACCAGTGGGGGCGCGAGGCAGCCCTGGGATGGGACTGAAGGACCGGCGGACGGGAGCTGCTGGCCTGCAGGACGGAGTACGGACAACTGCTGTGCATGCGCTGGGGTGGGAGGGGGCTGACCACTTGAGCATTCGCGCAGCTCACAGAGGAGAGGAGAGGGGACGAGCCAGGCGGCCAGAGCGACCAAAGCCACCGAGGCCTAGCGCTCACGACGACGCACGGAGAGCGCACAGAGAGCGGGCTACAGACGTCCGGTTGCGCTGGTGGTTTGGAGTTCGAGAGCAGCCGTCATCTTTGCTCAAACAGTCAAGCGCGTCCCTCATGTCGGTAAGCAGCACGGGAGCTGGAGAACCCGTAGTCGCACAAGGATTCCAATCTCTGCTGCCCCCAGTCTTGAAAGGTCGAGGATCGTGGATGTCGCAGCCATTTGACTCGACGGCAAACACATGGCTCCAAGTTGCCACCACGCAACGCTGAGCATCAGACGATCAAAGCAGTGGCAGATGGCAGATGGCAGATGGCAGATGGCGCGAGGCCACGGTCCGATGTGATGGTTTCCCTGGTGCTGATGCTGATGCCGGCGACGAAAAGTTTGCATTGTAGAACGGGCCCGTTGAGTTTCCCGTGCCAGTTACAAACAGCAGGCAATCTACACCTCCCACCTCGGCTTGCATCAGAGAATGGTATCAAACACTGCCAGCCGTGAATCATCATATTGTTGTTGCTGCAGTCAGGTCAACATCCGTCTGTTTTTCCGCCCTGGTTGAGTCGCTCTGCACGGCAAATCGCAAGCCACAAACTGCTCTTGCAGGCGTCTCAAGGTTTCTGTCTAAAGCGCCGAGTTGGCTGCAACCATTTCTCCTCCGTCCTCTTGTCAGGTCATGTCACGCTGTCCATATAATTCCACTTGTCCTTATAATCTGCTCGATTCTGTCGGGTTTTCTTGCTCCTCATATGACACAATAGATAGGTATCCCGCCAGGGTTGCTCGGTACTTACTTAGTTACGGGGTGCATGACGGTGAACAAGAGAGCTGGCCCCAGGAAGCAGAGGCGGGGAGGAGAGGAGGCGGGTGTGAGAGGCGGCGGCGGCGGAAAGGCTAGCTGGCAGGGCACTGCACTTTGGTTGGCGCCGGACCACATTGGAAATGGTGGGGACTCAATGACTCGCTCTGAATGGCTGTTGGCCAGGATAGGTATGGGTCTCCTCTTATCGCATTAATGCCTGAGGCTTTGAATCTCGCCTCAGCCCACGCGTCTCACAATTCCGTACCGGGAACGGGCGTCATGTCCGACAACAGGTGCTGCTAACACGCGCAGACGCAGACGCAGACGGGATGCAGATTCCTAACTCCCTCGTTTTGTCCACCGACCCAGGCAATCAGGTACGGAGATCTATTAGCGCTCGAGACAGGATGACGAAAAGCAAAAAGTCCGGACAGCACTGCATTGAAAGTGGAGTCCAAACGCAAGAGCACCAACCACTAGGTCTAGCGAGTAGTGGACAAGGGTTCGTGCTGCTAGCTGTACTCCGTACTCCGTACTAGTACGAAGTATTACTCAGTACTACTAGTACTGGTGGGTGGGTGGTTGCGGATTGGGCGTCGTGTCCAGCTTGCCGGCTGCTCCTCAACCGATGGTTTGCATCTTCCTCTTCTTCTTATTCTCGCTCTAGACACCAGTTTGTTTCTGTCCACGCATTCTACGGAGTTGCACTTGCTGACGTTGCTCGACCACGATGACTTGTGACGGCTCACAAGTCCGCTTTCAAATTATTGCCAACCTGCTGCCGAAGCGCACTTGCTGAAATGCGAAAATTGAGGTGGTCGGTCCTCCACGACAGGCGAGCGCAACCAGCGCTCAACCACTTGAGGCTCTTGGCGAGCCCTCCCATCGACATTCCATTGTTCGAAACGAACTTCGAGCCCCAACGAAATTGATAGAAGACACGTACCTGGAGTGACATGCCTTGATTAGGTACAACAAAGTCTCGCTTTCCAGACTGAAGCCAAGGCGAAGAAGCGACGTAACCATCAATATCGTGCTCAGTCTACCATGGCCACCGCATAGCCAAAATCCATCGATTCTGTAATTCGTACGCAGGCAAACTGCACTAGACCTGCCCTCAAGCGACCCCCTACACCAGGCGAAATTGTTCCAGCCCTTCCGGTAAATGTAACAATATAAGCGAGGGTTGACAACCGCACTTGTCCGCCACCATCATCCCGAACCCAGATATGTACGTGCACACGGCTACGACCCTTTTTTGGCTACTCGCCCAATTTGAATTTTCAGGACTGGGACCTTGTTTGTCCAGCTCTTGACTGGTCACATCTCTTTGTTAACACGTCGATGAATCGGATCTGTCGGTACGTGTTTGTCGGCCAAGTTGATCGGTTTCTCCTTCATGCCGCAGTGTAAACTGCCGTCACAATGGAAAAAAATCAAAAATTACGCCCCCAATGGCCCCGAAGGACAATTGAGCACAGGACGACTCCGCGTTGTGCAATGCAGGCCTCCTCTGCTAGTATCCCGTGTTCATGATCTCGGGATACTGGAACAAGGTAAGTATGAAGAAGAAAGAGGAGAAAAATTCGAAAAGAGGACGGCGGGAGGCAGTATTTATATAGTGCCTGACAGGTGGTCTGTGCGCACTCTAGATTTCTGCCCAAGGCACGAACCGCTTGAGTTGGTGCCTGCGGGGGTGCCTTGGGCGGAAATTGCGGTCTCAGCGCTTCTAGTAGTACTAGTAGTACGTACCACTAAATACTACATACACGATTTGTTCTTTTGTTTCTCCATACCTCGGTCGTTGTGCTTTCTTCTTATCCATTTCCATTTTCCCCTTCGGTGTGCGGAAGAATGGTTGTTTTCATGACAGCTTGCGTCACGTCATGAAGATGCAGCGAAGTGCTCTTCTCTTCTCCTGTTGAATGTTTCCCTGCAAAAGCGCTTTTGAGCAATCAACTTGTCCGAATTAGATGTAGAACGAGGACTTGGTAAAGAGCGAGATGAGCAAATTACAAGTGTCTACCCCGTACTCTATGCGGACTGCGGAGTGGTACAGAATACAATGGTCTTCATGGAGCCTTTGCACTCCATAAATTCGCCCAACGGAGTACCTGGCCAAAGAACATTTTCGTAACTGACGTCAGTCCTCTGGCGGTAGCGGTGGCCCTTGATGTACGTTTCACTGTTTTGCTGTTGGTGTTTCAAAGCTCATTCCGAGTGCTGTGGGTGTTTGCCAGCGCAAGGACAATATCCCTGGAGATGCCAAGGACCGAAGTGAATCAACGACACTCACCTCTCCCTTGGCAATTTGATCGCTGATTCTGCACGTCAAATTAGCGAATTACTCTGAGGTTCATGTCCCTGAATCCACGCGGGTTCCATAAATAGCCTGACCGTTGAACCCAAGAAATGCTACATCATGGAAGTGATCTGTTCCCATTCCTCCAGCCGTATCGTGTTGCAAAACAGTGCCCCGTTGGCAGGACACTCTCCACTGTCGTCATGCTTAACATCTGGACTTGTAGGAGGAGATTGACAGAGTTTGTCGGTGACAGAGGTTCATTCCAACAAAGGTACATTGAGGAAGCACACTAAAGCTATACATGCAAAATGGCACTGTTCGGCGCTGATGTGAGGACCGCGAATGATGTGAAGCTTAGGGGTTGACTGACCCAGAGACATATAACTAGTAACGTTAGTATATTTAAACAGGTGCTGTGGATTTACTATTGAGTACAGGGTGGGTCGGTTGTGTTGAAGAAGGGCTTCTCCGTACACAGGCTGGGGGATACTCTCAGCCCTTGCACTCTCCATACGTGACTAGTCGCCTATTCCAACAGGTTGCGTGTTGCACATCAGCGTTCGTTCGGGACATGATGAGGAATACACGAGGATACAGTACATGCATGAATGGATGCTGTACTGCTGGTCGATTTGAACTTTGTCCGCTAATGATTGTATATACATGCAGTAGCTAAGTTGATGGCCATGTGGTTTGTTATTCCAGTCCACCCAAACACCTCGTTTTCGCACCAGCACCAATGAGGCACTTTAGGTGGGGCTTGCACCTGAGGCCAGAACTGCTAGCACGTACTCCGTACTCCTGTACTCCTGTACGTACCTACTCCGTACGGAGTACGGAGAACGGAAATAATGGTGGTCCCATGACGCATTGCCCCAGCCACAGCGGTCCATCCGCCTGTGGATCTCATTGTAGTCGGTTAGCCAGTCGACTGCCGCCTGCTCACTCCAGTCGTCTCGGGTCTCAAGACTTGCTACTGTCACCTTTCGCCTCAAACAGCGACATTCTTTCTACGACCGAACCGACGAGCCACGCCGTTCGTAGGGACCTGTCCTGCTCCTCATCCAGCATAGCACAGAGCCGACCGTGTCCGTCGCCGTCGACTGCTGAGCCCAAAATGAGATTCTCCGTCACTGCCTTGTCTGCCCTCTTGGTGCCTTCGGCGGCACTGAGCTTTTTCAATGGCGAATCCCAGAGGGGCATCACCTCTAATGACGACTTGAAGATTCCCGGAGAGTCTCCGCTGGAACACTGCCCTGGCAGAGAGGGCAATGGCTACGTTGAGATAAAGAGAGTGGATCTGCTTCCCAACCCGCCAGCTGCGTATGTGCTTTCCCCTCACGACCTGGCGCAAGGTCGATGGTTGGACATTGTATCGAGAATGACTATGCTGACCGGTTGCACTTTTCTTTCGACGCTAGTGGTCGGGACCTTATCATCAAGGCAACCGGAAACGTCAATAAGACCATAGAAGACGGCGCATACATCGACCTGGTTGTCAAGTACGGGCTGATCAGACTCCTCAAGACCAGGATTGACTTGTGTGAGCAAATGGGTGAAGTCCAGCTGAAATGCCCCCTCGAGCGCGGCGAGAGAGTCATTACCAAGACCGTTAAATTACCCAAGGAAATTCCTCCCGTGCGTATCTTGCGATGCTCCAACGTGTAAACGTTTCGGATCTAGTCTGACTAATGTGCATGCAGGGCACCTACAATGTCGAAGCTGACGTCTTCACTGCTGGGCAGGATAGAATTACCTGCTTGACCGCTACTGTCAAGTTTAATGTGCCTGGAACGGACCTCTTCGGGGCCGAGTTGTAGGGGGAGATGAGGGGGGATGAATCATAGTACTTAGTCGATAGTTTGTTACGAGACACTACGTAGAGCACCTTTTGCTGACACTGACATGTTTCTTTCTTGCCATTTATGTTATCGTTCGTCATTTTACCTGCTTAAGACTAATCTTCCTCATATTTGGAGGGTCATAAAATTCGATGACTCCTGTACTAGCATATCTCCGTGGACTTTTCCCATTGGACTTGCGTACCCTCTCCGGACTGTGATAATCGAGTTGGGTCGCAACAAAAAGGTGGAACTGTTATCTATTGAGAGAAGTCGATAACGCGGCTAACGTCTGCCCTGCCTTTTTTTTTGTTCCGCTTCGTCTTCTTCTAGCATGCAAGCCTTGCATTTCTACAAACGATATACCTCAGCTAGTTGTCTAATTCGCGAGTGCAACGTATCCCGTACCATCATGACCAAATAGTTCTTTCACCACTTCCAAGACATCCGTGATCGAGTCTTACTCTCCGAACAAACGACGAACTCGCCTTAAAACGCTGTCCTTCTCGGGATCGTATGGATGGTCCTTGCTGGGAATCTCGAGAACGGTAGGAAAAGCTGCAGTGTATGTGTCAATTCGATGCCGTATTCTGTCCGCAATCTACCCCAATTGGTCAGTTGATTCACGTCGAAACTGTGACAAGCGCACGTATCCACACTGACGTGTTGGTTGATCAAGACGATGCCGATGTCTTTTCGGTCCTGGGTAAATCGATCAAAGGCCGATTCAATGGCCGCCGTGTCCGTCTTGCCGTCTACAACGAGGAAGTTCTTTTGAGCGTCGGCGCCAGCTGTGACATGCTGTGACTGGCTGCTTAGTAGTTGACATGAAAACGTTACCGCCATCCGATGGATTGTGCACTCACGCCGATGCCTGCGAGAAGCAAGCCCGTCACCGAGTCCTGGCTGCGTTAGCCAAGAGTCCCGTCTCTATTGGCGAGGAGAATGTTGCCTCATGGACCGACCTACCTCGTCGCCAATGACGGCGAGAAACTCTCGGTTCTTGTAATCTGCTTGATTGGCCATGTTGACTTTCGAGGCGACGAGCTGGCTGCGGCAAGTCCGCCGTTTTACTCCGTATGGCTTGATGCGATGCTGAGGGTTGGAGTTGGCCTCCACTGTGACGGCGGCGCAAGCCCAGGCTGGCAGGCGGTGAGAAGCGGTCTCTCTCAAGGGCCCCAGTGAGTTGCTGCATCCGCCTGGCAACGACCTGCTTGGTCCCCCCACCGCCCGCAAAGTGCTGAAGCTGGCGCCTGCAACATTGAGTGGAGCCCGAGGAGGCCATGTAAACACACTCCGACCATCCCTCCTTTCACTCGCTCGACAAAGGGACCTCGCGGCGCCTTTCGCCTGTGAATTTTCCTCCGTGTGGCGCGGGATACGGCTGTGCGTCTTCGTGAGTTGGTAGTCAGCACGAATTTTCTTGTCGCCCTCGTTGCTGCCTTGATTATCTTGCCGCACAACCTGACAGTACACGGAAATATGCCTCGACTTGTGCGACGACGGCCCCTTTGGGACCGCATGACGTCGATGCTGAACCCCATGGATTTCTTGCTTTGGCTTTCAGAGGAGATAGAAACGAGGGACTGGGACTCGGGTCTTGTGGGAACGCAGCTTGGTCTGGGGTTGAACTTTCTGTTTCTCCTTGCTCGGGCGAACTCGGGCTCCAAGCAGGCAAGTGATGAGATTTTTGGCGACGAGAGTCCGTCGCGCTGGCTGTCGGTACTTGTGAGTACTTCAAATCTGTTGGAAGCTTGGAATTCCCTCGATGTAATGGACTAACGTGACCAATCCATAGGTTTATCCGCTGTCCTGGGGGCTGATGGTGTTTTCCATCGTCAATGCCGTTTATACTGTCACGCGGACTAGAAAGTATAGGCTGTTTGAGGCGAGGATTGATGTGAAACCGAGCACATCCTCTGTTAGACGCGTCAAAATCCAGTCTTCGCCGGTGGCTTCGTCGCCGCTGCGCTACATCGCCGACATGATTGCTTCAGATTCTGCCGAATCGAGAGCCCATCCTGACAAGAGCCGGGATGTGTGGGAGCTTTCCATCTGGGACCCTCTCCCTGTTTGTATTAGGTTGGCCTGCCTGTTCAGTCCGGGCCATGTGCTCGTCTACCTCATCTTCCTGCCTCTGGCGCCTCTAGATCCTCGCCCCAGCGTCACAGTGTTTAACTCGCTGATTATGCAAGTGGTCCTGTCTACCCAGATGCTTTTGCTATCATCAAGATATTCTCAGCAGTCCAAAGATAGCGCCATCGTTCAGAAGGAAGTTTTCCATGAATACGACACCAAATTTGTGCAGCCACGAATCCACCCGATTGTCAGAGACGCTGGGACTCAAATGTCGGAAGATCAACCCGCAATTTCGAGAGAGTTTGTCCAGGTAGGAACACCGACGACGCTCATCAGGCGGTCGTTCATCTCACATGGAAACCCGCACGTCGACTCAGAGGAAGCCACACCCATCAGAGGGTTTTACAATTCCAATGTCAGCAGTGGGAACGTCATGAGACCACAGATGTTTACGCCTTCCACTGTCGGCCGGCGAACGGAGTTATTCACCCCTGCAGTGAGCAGTCATCGATATCCTGGTATCCGACACAGCTTGCCGGCTGGCCATACCCCGAGTAGTACTACTCCTCCATCATACACACCTGCTCCGCCGTCAACCTCCACAATGGGCACGTCAACGGGCGTGAATGCCAATTTTGGAGGCAGCCTCTGCTTGTCCTCGCACCAAAAATCACCGTTAAAGAAGGCCATGAGTATGGGCGACATGAACAGCGACAACATTCTGCCTGGGAGTCCTACAGAAGTGGCATATGATCAGCGCGGCCAGGAGCCCCCGAGCAGTCCGACGAAATACTCGGAAAACAGGCGGTTCACGGGCATGAATATAAACAGCTCACCGCATCCGTTTGCTAACATGGGTAAGCATTCAGCATCTGAAAGGTTCCCTAAGCGGTGGCGAGGATAGTCGGTCATCATTATGGAGCGAGAACAATTTCCTTGAGACTGGCTGGATGGCATTATATGGCGTTTGTACATTTAGGTTATGCCGGGAGCTGGGACCGTCTTTTCACCAAGTGCTACATTCTAATACACAAAGTTCACGAATCTAGGGACCTCCCTAGATCCCGATGCTTGGCCGCAAGTAAATCATGTCTGTAGGCTGCCAAGGCCGGCGGTCGCTCAGAATCAATCGGAGGAACAGTTGATCAGTTCCAGATTGTCGCGACGCGGGCAAACAGACGGGCCGCGCCTGCTTCTGCAAATACACCAGCATATTGCCTTCCGTCTGGCTTGGTACAATGAACAAGCACGAGGGGAAAAGGCAAACCCAAGACTCCTTAATTCCCAAGGTACTTGACTCTGGGACCTCGATTTTGGTCCTTGAGCCGCCGAGTTGTCCCATCCATTTATTCTTATTTTGCACTGGCTCGGCCCGAGCTCTAGACGCCCAGCTGGAAGCACCTGACGAACCGGACGAGATTCGCTGCCAGCTGCCAGCTGGCCATGCGCTGTTCGGCGAGTAGTAAGGGCTTCGCGTCAACTGGTAACACTGGGTGCCCCTTAACTGGAACCTGCTGACATGCCGTCGTCTCTCCCCCCCAAGGCGTCTGGCCAGACTTCGACAAAACCTGGACAGTCCTCAAAACAGCCCAAGCCAGCAGCTGGAAGAAACTCATCCGTCTGCGCCCATGGGTCGTCCTCCATCAGCTCCTGGGTCAAGAGCATATTACCTAGCCACCGACCAGAGCGTAGGGGCACACTCCGTCGTCGAGGCTACTGGGAACAGCAGGAGATGACGCATTCGAACTCGGACGATTCACATCGTGCAGCATTGGACAGACGGACTAGGAGGGGCGCAACAGGTGGGTCAAGTCATATTACTGAATGGAACATGGCAAGAGATCTACCTGACGGCGCGAGCATCTCCCATGGGGATGGAGGAGCCTTGGGTCTTGATGCAGATCGGAGATGGAGCTGGGCTCCTTGCGACGATACTGTTCGTGGTACCACAGACATGCCAGACAAGATACAGGAACAAAGGTCTCCAGAGGTAGATCAAAGTCAGGTCAATACTGCAGCTATTAGCAGTTCGGCGTCACAGTCGGAATCCATAACTGAGCTTCAGTTGGTTCAGAAGAAGAAAGAGGCACGTCGCCTTCGACGTAATCTGAAACAGAGCGGCGATTACCTTGGCGTTCAAGGTTTTAACCCAGAGACTGGTCAGCTCGATGTCATGACTTCGACGGATAGCGACAGAAGCAGCAGCCTTAGCCAAGAGACTCAGAAGAAACTCCTTATCCTTCGGAACACCTTGAGGGATGCTCGACATTCATACACCAGTGCAAAAGAGAAGAGAGAGAATGAAGGAAAAAAGATTCTGTGGAAGAATGAAAAAGAAAAGCTGCGCCGATTGGAGAAAGACAAGGAAGAGGTGAAGGACATCAACAAAACAGTGAAGTGGAAACGCCATGCACGGCAATGGTCATCAGCTCAGGAACCGGATTTGAGTCCTATCGCCCAGTCAGTTATTGGAACAGCAGGATCATCTCGTGGGTGAGCCACAGTGATGGATTCCCAAATGCCTTGACTGACATTTCCATATTATGGAGGGAATCACGGACCCAAAACTCCAAATTTGAGAAATGTGGTTCGATGTCAAGTCTCATTGATCTTGATCCATCTTGCAATCATTCTTTTCGTACTTCAGCCTTACACGGGGACCAGCCGCTTGCACGGAGTCCTGATTCAACAGCTACAGTCGTCAAGACGCCACATGGTCAAAGCCTTGCAGACCCTGCTGAATTCGGTTCATCGGCCTGGGAGCTATTCGTGAATGGTATAAGTTTCGAAAGTTCCGAAGAGCCCGTGCCCGCCAATGACCTGGACTCCGGCTTGGAAAGTAGGGAGATGTTGCACCCAAAGCATCATGAGAATGTTGAGAAGCCAGCGTCAGGTAGAAAATCAAATAACTGCGACCCAACTCCTTCCACTGCCATGAGAGAGCAAGGGAACCGTTCCGATGAGAATATTGAGCACCATGACCACCATGGGTCTTTTTTAGGCATGCGCCGCCAGAGAGGAGAGGAACCTAGAGGGGAAACACAGATAATTTCTTTGGCAGCACTGACAAGCAAACTTGCCAACCCGAGCATACTGTCACCGAAGCAGGAATTGAATCACAACGTTGTCAACCACTCAATACAATACAAGCAGGACAGAAGAGGCATGGCATTGAACCACGGCGAGAGGGAAGAGGAAGCCCAATCATCTTCCACAGTGACCACAGAACAGGTGCTACGAAGGCGCCAGTCCAAAGGCATTCAGCCTCCTCAGGGGGAACCCGTAACATTGACAGGTGCACGAGGAAAGCTCATACAAAATTGGGGTCACTGGATATCGAGAAGGAGAGGAACCCGACGTTCTGGAACCAACCAAGACGACACAGCACACATGCAAAACCTGCAACCATCGCAAGCGGGCCATCCTTCCACTGCTCTCGAAGTAGTACCACAAATCCCAGACAGTTGGGCGACAGATCTGACCTCCAAGCGCGGCCTCCAGATTTTCGCCCACAAGCCGGAGACGAACCCGGGGATGAAGACCCAGGCCACGACACACTGGCAGACAGGGGAGGAAGTCGAGGAACAACACCGACCTTTTCCGACTGCAGGAACAGACAAAGACATAAACAAGGATATCTTGAACCGAGAGAAGTGCGAAAGTGTTGCGTGGAAAGATGCCAGAACCAAGCAGCCAGTACCAGTAGGCTATGCATGCACACCCATCACCATCACTACTGGCTGCGGCCAACAACATTTCCAAGCGAAGCCCCGGAGAAATACCCAACCGAATACGGAGAGTCATTCAAGTCTACGGCTGGAGAGGCATCTCAGTGGCGTAGCATCCGACCTGCCTCTGGCCGCCAGGTCCGGACTCAACTCGGGGGCCGGTGCAACGAAACCCTTACAGAATCAATTGCTGAGAGTGGGCCATGCAAATCGCGGTATCGAAACAGATACTACATCGAAGGCCAGGCGGATGGCAAAGGACAAGAGCATTCAGAAGAGCACCGGGGCTGTCGCAAAGATCGGAACGACAGCGAGAACGGATGTGGTTGGGTCCAAGCCGGAAGACGTAGTCAGCGCGTCAGAGGCAGAAATTGGTCTCAAGAAATTAGTGGTCCACGACTTGGAGAAGAGGTCCAAAGTGGTATCCGAGACGTCGAACAAGTGCGAGGCAAACGATACCAACAGGGGAACCGAACACAAGGGCGTCATCCAAGAACAGGTCGGGCCCGTGGTACAAAGAGACGAGCCGGACGAGCTGAGCGACATGGGCCACGCACCGGGAAGCTTTCCCGGTACCAAAGTTGGAGACACTGGCGGCGACGGTTGCGAAGGCTCTTCCGACGGCAACGGAAAAGGCGCCGGTATTCCTCTTATGGCTGTTAAAGAGCACCTGGAGATGGTGAGATGCCATTTACTTGCATTCTTTCTTCTGTACTGGGACATTGTCGGCCCAGTTTTTGATTCCGGATCAGAGTACTGGGAAAGAAACAGGAGACATGAGTCAACGCTGGCCGATTGTTTTGCCTTGGTGGTTGCGCTACCGGGAGCAATCCTCGCTGTCATGGGCCTTGTTTAGGTGATGAGGCTGGCAACTCTATGTGGAGAGAATTCCGAATACGTGATGGACTTGCTATGCGACATTTTGCATGCGTGGGGATTCCCATAGCATGCAACATGGCTCCCGGTTCCCGAACTGAGCCTGAAATAGATATTCAACGCGGTACCGAGTAACCTAGTACCACTGGCGACGGTCACAAGCTTTGCCCGAGCGGGCCTATGTGTGGCGTCCGATGGGGGCCGGTTCGCCGAAAGCGCAGACCAGCAGAGGTCAGTCAGCCAGCGACCGGGTCAAGGCCAATGCCGCGGAAGGAGTTGGTGATTAGGAATGGCGTTTGTTACGGAGTAGACGAGTTGATTATACGGGAAGGATGAGCATGGCTGGCTTGCAGGGTACATGGGCCGTCGGGTCAGCTCATGAACGTGTGGATGCCGATCGCCGCAAGGGGGCTTTCGAAGTTTAGGCTGAAGGGAAACGGGCGCCGCTGTTGGCTGCACAGTCGACGATGAACGAGGCTTTACAAAACAACAGTGTTAGTTGACGGGGCTAGTATTCCTAGGTAGTTATTTGTGTAGGTAGTCGTGAAGAAGTGAGTTACGGCCGGGTAACCAGGCATCTGGGCAACGCCACATACTGAAGTACCAGGCATCTTGCGTGACATTGCCACCAGCCTACGGCAAAGCTGCAGAATTCAGAACCGTACTTCACAAAAGCCGTTGGCGATAGGAACAAATCACGAGTTCAGGGCAGGGCTGCGGAGTCGTAGTCCCTTTTTGCTCAGTCAATCCGCCACCATGATCTCGCAATCAAGCGACACTCCCTAGGTACGTCAGCTTAATCGCAATTTCCCTACCCGGACAATTTTTAGTTTTTCCATGACATACATACCTACTTGAGTAGCATCTTGACCTGAGTACACGGACCGATGGGGCTGCTCCAGCGGGTTCGGAATCGCCAACTCGGCTGGTGGCTCCGAACATCGGAGGTCCCAATGCCGGTTCTGCGAAAACAGCTGCTCTGGCGTCTCCTGCGCCTCGCCGACAAATGCAGAATTATAAAATGAGCTCTGGGGCCCGTGATGTCTTTTCCATCATTTGCTGGCCGAGCTCCTTTTTTTTTTCATTCACATATTCAAGGCCAACGCCGCCGTGGTGGTTCAACGCACACGACGGCATCAGTACTGCACTTAAGGCCGCTCGGCACTGTTTGCCGTCTGACCAATAGGCGACAGATAAAAACAAATCCCACGCGGAAGTTCGGCACCTTTCGTTGGTCTCGCGCGTCAGCGGCGCTCAAGTGCTTCTCGCGGAATCGGTCTGATTTAAACAGAGTTTCTCTCCTCCTTTCATCATCTTCCTCTTCTCCTCCCCCCCCGGGCTCACCCTCATATTTACGTGTTGCTTGGCCAATCATTCGTCACAATGCCTGGTCCTGAGAGGAATCCACAGACCCTATACGACAAGGTTCTTTCGAGTCACATCGTTGATGAGAAGCTCGATGGCACAATCTTGCTGTACATCGGTATGATATGCATGTTGCTTCCAGCTCCTACGACTAACGACTGACTTTTGCTGCGTCTAGACAGACACTTGGTCCATGAGGTGACTTCGCCGGTATGTTTGTGCCACTGCCGCGACGATGCGCAATGATACATGAAGGAGGCGCTGACGAGTTGCAGCAAGCATTCGAGGGGCTGAAAAATGCTGGTCGGAGAGTTCGTCGACCAGACTGCACCCTGGCTACGACTGATCACGTAGGTTCTGCCATGGCCACCGCGCGACAGTGCCTTTCATACGAGGCGCCGCGAATGTTTGCTGACGAGATCAAAGAACGTCCCTACCACATCAAGAAAAGGCATGAAAGACATTGCGAGCTTCATCGAGGAAGACGACTCCAGGACCCAATGCGTCACCCTTGAAGAAAACGTCAAGGATTTCGGCCTGACCTACTTTGGTCTCGGCGACAAGCGTCAGGGCATCGTTCACGTCATCGGCCCGGAGCAGGGCTTCACTCTTCCTGGAACCACCGTCGTCTGCGGAGACAGCCACACCTCTACCCATGGCGCTTTTGGTTCTCTCGCTTTCGGCATTGGTACCAGTGAGGTCGAGCACGTCCTGGCTACCCAATGTCTGATTACCAAGCGTAGCAAAAACATGCGAATTCAGGTGGATGGCGAGCTGGCTCCAGGCGTGAGCTCCAAGGACATCATCCTCCATGCCATCGGCAGGATTGGTACAGCTGGTGGCACCGGTGCTGTCATTGAGTTTTGTGGCTCCGTCATTCGCGGCCTGAGCATGGAAGCTCGCATGTCCATCTGCAACATGTCCATCGAGGGCGGTGCTCGTGCCGGCATGGTCGCTCCCGATGAGACCACCTTTGAGTACCTCAAAGGCCGCCCGTTGGCGCCCAAGTTCGGTACCGACGAGTGGAACAGGGCCACGGCTTACTGGAGGGCCCTGCAATCCGATCCCGGCGCCAAGTACGACATCGATGTCTTTATTGACGGCAAAGACATTGTCCCCACCGTTACTTGGGGAACCTCTCCCGAGGATGTCGTTGCCATTACCGGCGTCGTGCCTGACCCCGAGACGTTCTCCACCGAGGCCAAGAAGTCTGCTGGGCGTAGAATGCTCGAGTACATGGGCCTGACCGCTGGCACGCCCATGGAGGAGATTGTGGTTGACAAGGTGTTTATTGGATCTTGCACCAACTCTCGTATTGAGGACCTGCGTGCTGCCGCTTACGTCGTCAAGGGCAAGAAGGTCGCTCCCAATATTAAGCGAGCCATGGTTGTCCCTGGCTCTGGTCTCGTCAAGACGCAGGCTGAGGAGGAGGGCCTCGACCAGGTGTTCCTTGACGCTGGATTCGAGTGGCGCGAGGCCGGCTGCAGCATGTGCCTGGGCATGAACCCGGACATCCTCTCTCCCCAGGAGCGATGTGCCAGCACGTCCAACCGAAACTTTGAGGGCCGCCAGGGAGCCGGCGGCCGAACACATCTGATGTCTCCTGTCATGGCTGCGGCTGCCGCCATCGTCGGCAAGCTTGCTGATGTGCGCAAGTTGGCCAGCTACGAAGTCAGCCCACATGTCGTGGCCAGCATCACCCCGTCCACCTCACAAAAGGCCCATGTGGATGAGAGGGTCGCCACCGATGCTCACGAGCGAGAGGTCATTGGCGACCAGCCCGAAGATTCGGAGCCTCACACCAACACTTTGGTTCCTTCATCCAATGGCAGCTCCGCGTCCGCCGGGCTCCCCAAGTTCCTCAGTCACAAGGGCATCGCGGCGCCCCTGGACATGGCCAACGTCGACACTGACGCCATCATACCGAAGCAGTTTTTGAAGACCATCAAGCGAACGGGGCTGGGCACCGCGCTCTTCCACGCGTTGCGGTACGGCCAGGACGGCTCGGACAATCCCGACTTTGTCCTCAACAAGGAGCCTTACCGCAACGCCAAGATCCTTGTCTGCACCGGGCCCAACTTTGGCTGTGGCTCATCCCGAGAGCACGCCCCCTGGGCCCTCCTAGACTTTGGCATCAAGTGTGTCATTGCCCCCTCCTTTGCCGACATCTTCTTCAACAACACCTTCAAGAACGGCATGCTGCCCATCAAGATGGAGAACAAATCCGACCTCGACGCCATCGCCGACGAGGCCCGTGCCGGCCGCGAAATCGAGATCGACCTGCCCGGCCAGCGAATCAAGAATTCCGTCGGCGACACAATCTGCGCCTTTGACGTGGAAGAGTTCCGCAAACACTGCCTGGTCAACGGCCTGGATGACATCGGGCTCACCATGCAGATGGAGGATAAGATTGGCGAGTTCGAGAAGAAAATGACGGAGAAGACGCCATGGCTGGATGGCACCGCGTACCTGAAGAGACCCGGCCAGGGAGGCAGATTGGCCGCCAAGGCGGTGCCTGTGCCCAGGACGAATAGAAACGAGGAGAAGAAGGAGCCGCTGGAGTGGTGAGGAACGTTTTGCAAAGAGCATGGGATCAAGGTATTCAAAACAAGGGTAAGCGGGTTTAAGGGTTTAATGCGACTAGTTGTGGCATCGGGATGAATCATTACAACGAATGGATCTACGAGCACATGATGGGTTCTTCACCCATGGACTCTTGAAGGGGGAAAAAAAAAGAAGCCCCTTGCTTTTTACCGGGTTCACCAAAGGCAGGGATCGAAAAAAAAAGAATTAATAAATAGTTCAATGGCAGCTCCCCTGGATACAATGTTTCGCTTGTATAACCAATCGTAAAGGGACTCTGATACCTAACAGCAACTTGCAATAATAGCAAATTCTGAAAAAGCGTTGCAAGTGATGATGATGACGAAACTCACGGTGAATAAACACATTGGCTACAAGTAGACTTTGCAAGGACTTTGGAGGAAGAATATGGCCGTGGCATTGTGCAGAGATGAAATGGATCTTGAAATCGAGGCTTTTGGGGAACTTGTCCACTTGACCGCTTCAGCGCCACGACGCGCAGTGCGCTCCAGAAGATCCCACGTTCCTGGACAACTGCCGAAAGGCAGCCGGAGTGCGCACCGCACGCCAGACTCGAAAATGGGTGCAGGAATCCGTCAAACCAGGCCAGACGCCCACCGAGATTGCTGCCGGAGTCGAAGACAGCGGCCGAGCCCTCCTGGACAAGACCGGGCTGGAGCCCGGACGAGGCCTACAATCCGGCCCTGCGTTTTCCACGGGACTGTCGCTCAACCACTGCGTGGCGCATCACACGACGAAGCCGGGGCACAAGGACGTGGTGCCTCGGCACCGGGACGTCATGAAGGTCGACTTTGGGGTCCGCGTAAACGGCTGGATTGTCGACGGCGCGTTTACCATGTCGTTTGACCCGACGTACGACAAGCTCCTGGCCGAGAGGGGCAAGACGTACCCCGTGAAGCCGGTGCGGAACCTCTGCGGACGTGACATCAAACGCTATCGCATTCACGGCGAGAGACGGTCCCGTCTGCCAGGAACTCGGACCAGACCAAGATGGACGAGGGCGACGTCTTTGCCATCGAGACGTTTGGTAGCCCGGGACGTGGCTTCATCCGCGACGGCGCAAGTCTGGCCCGGGCCATGTCATGTATGCCAAGTGTGCTCATGTCTCGACAGCCAGGTAAGTTATCTACGGCTACGGCCTGAAACACAGCGCCCCGGAGCGCGTCTCTGTCCCCCCCTGAGCTGGGCGACTAAGCTGTACAGGACGATCAAGGAGAATTTCGGGACGCTCGTCCTTTGTCGTCGGTACCTGCATCATATCGGGCTGGACCGGTATCTGGCCGCGGTAGGTTTTGCGACCGCGTACGAGGGGGCGAAGCCTGCTGACTGATGCAAGGTGGATTGCCTCGTGTCGAATGGAATCCTCGATGATTACGCGCCTCTGATGGACGTTCCCGCGAGTCAAAGAAGGAGGTGATTAGTCGCGGCAAGGACCGTTGAACGACGGCCGACGCTTCGCTTAGTGATGCCGGGCAATGGGAGACTTGGCCCTACGCTACTTTGGCATTGTAAAGGCCGATTCAACACGGCGCCCAGAAGACGGTCCAGTTAGCTCGGGGAGGGACGGTGCTCAAAGTTGTCCATCACGGCGGCTAGTTCAACGCTTTCGCGGCAACGGGTTTCAACACCGATGAGAACAAGGCTGCTTCAACGCCAGGTCTTGGGAGAAGAGGGACTGTGTTATTGCGCCCGCTAGACTACACTCGTCGATGTGAAACCATTTCTTGTCAAGACTTGAGCTCAACGGCTGTTCTTCATCCCCCAACTCGCCGCCCTTGGATCCTCGCCGCCCCCCAGGCCAGGCCAGGCCAGGCCCGGGCGAGAGGGAGTTACTCACTCGGACACTTGTCTTCGCGAAAGGTGACGACGACAAAACTGTCCTTGGAAGCAGTCGACTTGAGGTAGGGGCCCTGGACGACCAGCCCCTTGTCATACCACAGGTTGTCGATGCGCAGCTTGACGGCACACTGGCCCAGGAGGCGGTTGTCCGGGTCGGCGCAGTCGTTTTCGCCCCAGAAGTTGACGTAGTACTGGTACTCGCCGGCGGCAGCGTACAGGTTGCCGCCGTAGCCGAACTTGGGCGAGTTGGCGGCGACGAGGGCCCCCTTGGGCGTGTACGCGTTGCCCTCGACATCGAAGAGCCAGAAGCGGGCGCGGTTCATGAGCTTCTGGTAGTACGTGTTTGGGGCCAGGCACTGTCCCACGCTCTGGCACACCCTGAAGTGCACCGGCTTGGTGCTGGGCCCGAAGGCCAGGTAGTTCCAGTCGGAGGGCTGGTGGCCCAGCGTTTCGCCCTTGCTGTTCTGGATCGTGTAGCAGCCGCCGTACTGGATCCCAGACGGGACCTCGCGTGTGTCTGGGCGCGAGCCGGCCGCGTCTTGCTTGTACATGCCGGCCGGGGAGGCGAGGGAGGAGTGAGCCGCCATGGCCATGGCCAGAATCGCTGTGAGAACGCATTTGATGGAGGCTGGCATTGTAGCTTTGCTGGATGAACCGATGTGTAGTTTGCTCGGTATGGTCTGGCTGAGAAGGATGTCATGACAGGACAGCAAGTCGGGAACAGCGCCCTAGTTATATGTCCCGTCTGGCCGTGGGAAACATTGCGATATTGGAGACCCGCGACGTATGCCATGTCGTATCGGGGGACTGATGGAGGACTCGGGAGCGCTTGGATCACAACACATGCAAGGCGCTGACGGCGTGCGATGCTGGCCGAGTCAGACCTTGGTTGTCGACGTTGAGGGTCGCATTGCCGACGGCCATGGACGGCACCACATGGCACACGGAGGGAGTCAGGAACGTACGGTTTATTGCTTTCGGGAACGGCTCCGCAGCCTACGCGCTTGGGACACGATTCCGGTCTGCGTCGAGTTGAGCGCTCTGCCCACTGGCGTCCAGCATGACTGACAGTTTGTGCTACCACGGGTGACCGCGATGGCAGGAAGGTGTCGCGTCTATGGACTGCGATGAAGTGGCTCTGTGCATCGTATGCTCGCTTCGCTCATGTTGGAATGTTACATCTTCTTACGGTACTACCGCGGAAAGCCGGCCCAAACGTTGACGGACATGTCTGAACAGAGGTCAGACGCAGGTCGGGGACATGTCTGAAAAGAGGCCAGAGGCAGACTGTGGAAAGAGGATGAGTCTTTTCGTGTTGGAGGTGCAACGGGTCGATGACCAAAGATGTGCTGATAAGTCGTTCAAACAGAAACCGAACTGACTGCCAGAGAAGCCTGTCCTCTGGACCCGGAAACAAGCCCATCTGCCTCTGCGCCGTCCTATGCTCTCGCACCCCGCGTCTTCTACCTCCAATCGGACCTGCTTCCTGGCCCAGTGGCCAGAGAGTTGTCGTTATCGTGGTAGGACATGAGTGGCGGGTTGCGAGTCAGCCGCCCCAACAAGGATACCAGCACATCACGATCCCTCGATGATGTCTCGAGAGGCGGGTGGTGTTCTGTCATGTAACGAGCAGGATTTCTCGTCGTGCTCCACGACTCACAGCAGACATGCATCAATGTAGCCATGCAACGACGAATCACGAATGTGTCGTCAACTCTTGACATTGGGCCCCAGTGGTGTGCAAGGACATTACCCTCTCTCAAGAAGAAGGTCCTGTAATCGACTCGAGCATCAACTAGTGCCCTTGGTATTCACTTGTCAGACTCGAACTGGAAGCAACTTGTAGAGACGAGATGGTATAGGAAAGGCGAGCTGTGCCATGACAGTGTTTGTCTCGAATATGATGGCGACGCCGCAATGCAATGGACACAAGGCTGGGTCCGAGTCACCGATCTGCGAGACTTTTGCCCATGTTTCTTCAGAACAGCTGTATCTCGAGAGTCAGCGTAGTCGTCTCAGACAATTTCATCACTCGCACCGACGTTGATACGGTCAAGGATGGACGATTCGTCACACAGGGCAATTTGAAGAAACGAGACCGTTGGCTGTGACAATAGTAGCGCTTGATCAGGACAACATGCAGACGACCATGAGGTTGCCCGTTTGCTCAACTTTGATCGGGCCCATTGGCGGTGTGGCCTCGCGCCGTCTGGCTCCAAGTCCGTCGGGAGGCACCGTGAGTGGTGGAATGAACGCCTGTATCCGAGCGGGCATGATGTGGTTGTCTCCAAATGATGTGAGCTTGTCTCTGTGCAAGTTGCTGGCTCTCCCCACGCGTGACAGCACGCTGATTTGAATTCTAGCCAAGCCCACAGCTTCGAGAAATCTCACCGGAGAAAGAGCAAGACGAAGCCGTCGCTCCAGGCCGTTTCAATCCTGTCTAGTCACCGCTTCAAAGGACGTATCGTACATGGCAAGGGCTAGGCTCACTCTTGAAGTTGCCGCCGAGGGGGGAGGGCACCCAAGCTTCCAAGGTAATCTTCAAGTCAAGACGGACACAGAGCCTAGATACTGCCACTATGCAGCCAACAAATTCGCAGGTTGATGGTTCGTGATACTCCGGGTTATCAACAGCAGAGGGACAGAAAGTCGCGCTGCTTCCGCGAAGGTGACGGGCTCGAAACCATGATCCAGTCGATGGAAGGGCAATGATGGCGGGAAAGAATCGCCAACATGGCAGAAAGGTGCCTCTGGGGGCGCAGCTGGGTCTAGCTACTCACCAAGCTCGTCGTGGCGTGCCCGCACCGTTTTGTGTGACCGTGAAACTGCGACAAGAGACGTCTGCCTGAGGACGAGAGGCGAGGGGATGCTCGAGAATTTCTAAGAATAGCCACGCCTGCGGTCTCGGATGCCTCTCAGGCATTCACTCATCGTTACATCCTTGCTGTCCGACTCGACTCTCGACTTGTAACGTGGTATGGAGGTGCGGCTGTCTTCCCATAAAACGGTGGCGCCGAGTCTGGACGAACTTGTGGGGGCGACTCGGAGTCGACTGGAAACAAGGTCGATACACGAACGTCGAGGCTGGGAAGCTGATGAGAATAGGGCTGCAATGCGTATTGGACCCGCTATGGGAATCGTCGAGGTGTCGAGGCAAGAAAGTTTTGGATGCCTCCGAGCAATCAGTCATCCCATTGGTGTTGTTGTTCCACGTAGAACACGGACTATTGACTATTGACACAGACAAGCTCGGTAGGCAGCGAGACTTGGACTGGTCTTGAAGAGGCAAAGGCCGGCCGCGATGCCAAAATTTGGGTTATACAACAGGCGCTGCAGCACCGTCGTTTGCTGCCGGAACTCTCACCGAAGCCAGACAACAACGCAGTCCACATGCAGAACGGACAACGCAGTGGAAGGTGCTCGAGGGTAAAAGCCGTTTGACGTTTTCTGCGTAGACGTGGCGCAGACCGAAAAGTATGGAGGGAGAGTGGGCGACCAAGTGCCCAGGCCAACCATTTCTTGTACATGAATTTCCGGCCACGAAGCGCTCCGATGCATCGTGGCATGCATCATACATCGAGAAGAAAGAATGAATGGGTCAAGGAGGCAAGACGTTCGCATCCTAGGCTGACGAGCGAATACCTGGGATGGGCGCTAACTTGCCGTCACAACTAGCAGATACTGAATGCTTGGGTCAGGGCTCGCGAGGCTTTCTACAACCGTTGTAAGTAGACTGTCAGACGCAGCGGGATACATCGGGTTGGGCTTCTGAGCTGGGAGGGGTATATTTGGTCGTAACGATGATATTGAATCGTTCAGGCTCGTAGTAATCCAACCACTTTGGCCGACCTGGATGCGCTCCAGTAGAGGCAGCCGCCCGAGAATGTTCTTTGACGTGTATTCCTGATCGATTGTGAACGGAGAATAAACAATGTGGCCAAGACAGCCCAATTACTGTCGACTTGCGAGCTGCTGGGCAGACCTGCATGTCCATCCATGTTGACCGAGTACCGCCCGCTCAGCTCTCTGAGCAGGGGTCTTTGTCCAGGGCCGAACGGGCCTTTGACTGCGTCCTTGTGTCTGGAGTAACAATACTCGGAAGTATCCGAAAAGCCAAAACGACACGCACGATCATCTTGTACGGATAAGCCAACGCTAGATGAGCCGCATTTGAAGGTATGCAGCCACATGGGTCCAAGTTGAACTATCACCTAGACTTCAACCCGTGCTGATCACCTTAGCACCGAGACTTAACAAGGAGGCCGACAGGCTCTGTTGTGTCCACACAGCCGTTCAAGTGTTTCCCCTGATGCCCATGGTCTGAGGCTTGTCAGGCAACAGTGAGTGAAAATTATCAGTCTCGAAGTTCACATCTGCCGACAACACTTGCAGTGCTGTGCATTCCGTTGACGCCTTGGCAGCATGTGGCGTTGAGTTTGGGCCGTGTGTGTAAGTGTGTGGGAGGAACTTTGCAAGATGTGTTTGGCATAATTGGGAGGGTGCATTTCTTGATATCGTCCAAGTGACTGGCTCATGTTGTTTTCATACCCGGAAGCTTCTCAAGATCTCCCTGCATCACTGCAATGCTTCCTCCAGAGTAGGTCGGCCATGTGAGATGGGAGAAGCCTTCCGATACTGGAGATACTGGTGAGTAAGATGATGTACAATCGAGACGTATCAGCGCTTCTGACAAGGCCGGACGAATGCTCGACCCCGACCAGAGAGGTTTGGCAGCTTACACTGCCTGATGCGTGCATGAGAGTCTGCTTGTTTTCATGCGTCATGCGTGGAAAACTAGAGCTTTTGGAATTGAAGAACACGGACGCTTTGTGCTGGAACCCCTGTGCTTGTTGCTTCGCTGCTCGACTTTGTCGATACATCCGCCGGCTTACTCACTTCAGAACACAATAAACGCTCTCTTGTGAGGTGCCTGATTGACACCATGCATGTATGAGCCCCATACCGTGTTCCGTTTTGCGTGTGAAGTCGTCTTCCCCTGGTCGCTTCGATGCAACCCTCAGCAACGAGATGGCTGCGCGGACACACAACCCAGGGGGTATGCATGTAACCTTGTTGCATGCGGGATGCCAAATTAAAAATCTGCCTATTCAAAAGCGGAAATCGAAGTCTGCAGCTAGGATATGGTAACCATCGTGCTGGGATACCGCAGCGATGCTGGACACAAATGGAAGGATTTCTGCCACGGAATGCTGGGCGGCATACAGCAGGGGAACCAGACGATTCCATCCCAGTAATCGTTTTTGTCGTCTCTCTTCCCGTCTATCGACCGGCCCTGCTGACAAGGGCGCTTGGACATGTGCTTCTTTCGTTGGTTGTTATTCGTCGCCGTTGTTTGTGCAAAGTCTCTTCTCACTTTGCATCCTCCGAGGAAGGCGTTCTTTCCAGGGGAGAGCTAGGGAAGCCCTGGACCTATTGACAAGGCGGAACTGTGTCAAAGTCCTCCGCGAACTGGGCATTTTGTCTGGGTTGCCAGTCCTTAAGTATTCCGCCTCCTCGTATCTCCGGCATTTTCTCGCAGCGCTCTCGAGTGCCGAGACTGTCTCGCTTCATTTCAATCTGCAACAGCAGCATGTCAGATTGGTAACGCACCTATTTCTGGAACACGGCTGCACTCATTTGCTGAATCAGTTGACCAAATATGCCGAGGCCCTCGACTTCCTCAACCCTGTTTTCTGCATTGGATGATGCTGAGGTCATGGGAGCCTCGCAGCCTCTCCATGATTGGACGCCCCGAGTGTTGGGGCCGTTACGTAATACCGGATATGACGGAGCTGACACAATTCCAGGCTCAAACCTCGTTGCTCATGGTGGCGGACCTGATCATTCTTTCAGTGAGCTTCGAATTGTCAGTGGCCCCGGCTATGGCGGTCCAACGGCCAGTGACCACAGAGTTGGTGGTCATACATCAGAGTATGTCATGTCTTTTTTGGCAATTCGCCATGGCCCTTCAGTTTCACTTTGTTCCTTGACGTGGATACAAACTGTTCAAAGCCATGGGATAGACCAAGTTTCGTTGATATCGGATGGCTGACGTATTGAGATAGCACTCTTCGTCCACAAACCGTCGAACAAGGTGTCTCCGTTCCGCCGCGAGGATACACAGGCGGAGCAGGTTACCCGTCTCAACTCCAAAACACACAGAACCATGTTAATCTGGAATACCCAAACCAAGAAAATCCGACTTTTCATAGTGGCCACTTGACGGGCCAGGGTCTGCCGCCAACGACAGCATCATCGGCAACCTACCAAGGCTATCCATACCCCCTGATCTTGGATGGGGTAAGATCCCACGGAGACAGTCGTCGGGCAGACAATCTCGGTGCCCCGGTAGGTTGGAGAGAATATGGCCCTGTTGTGTCGAATGATCAATCGCAAGCGCATATGCTGCCAGGCAGTCTGGCCACGGGGTCAACAAGCACAACCACAAGCATTAACTCTGGGTCAGGAACATATCACGCGTATAGCGAAGTCGTTAGTGCCAGCGCATCTTGTGCGTTTCCACACGAGCCCTCTATCACAACCGGGGACCCACGTCTGGCCTTGAGGCAACATAAGCCCTACCACCAACCCCCCTCGAAGCATAAAGCTTCCTGGCCACATGAAGATGAGCGTCCCCAACGTCCAAGGTATTCAGCGGAATTACGCCACGGTATGCTTCTGGAGAACATACCGGACCACCAGACCGGGGACAGCTCATTGTCTAATACTCGACCAACCACAAAGCAAACTGGACTTCAAGGGAATCATTATAAATGGGCTTGCCCTCATGCCAAGGCGTCCAACGACTGCAAGCACCCCTGCTACAAGAAAGGATTTCCAGATTTATCCCGTGTCAAGCAACACCTGAATCGCTGTCATGTGATTGAAAACGACAAAGGTACTCAAAATCGTCGGCAAGTGACGGGGAACCATAGGATGAAGACTATCACGGAAGACCAACGGCAGAAATTGAGTGGGAAGATGTCGATCCACGATGAAAAGACTTGGTATCACATCTTTGAAATTGTGTTCACGGATCATCCTAAGCCCAGCAGTCCGTATGTTGATTGCAATATTCCCGAGGATTTCCGAGGAATCAAGGATTGTTTCGAATCCAATATGCGGGCTCAGATACACCATTACATGACCGAACACCAGGCTCAGACACCGCAAAGCTCCGCCGAGTGGACGGATTTTTTGATCGAGATTCCTATTATGGTGTTGGGCGACATACTTCAATGCAGGAGCACCGGATCTTCTCCAGGTTGCCAGCCCAGGAACTCCCGAATTATAAACTGTTCTCATGGCCAACACAGGCCGCAGCCTGAACAGCAATGTGAGCACGCAAGTGATGCTGTTGCAGTTCGTGAGCATTCAACAGTGTCCAATTCCTTGAACTGGACATCGGATCATGGCGTGAGGCAAAGCATGCATGACCAAATTCATCATGTCAACCGAGGTGAAGTGCCTATGGTTGAAATGCCTGCGCAGCAGCCAAGCAACCCACACACGATACAAGACGCCCCGAGCTTCATTGTTCCCGAATCCTCGCCGTCGGCTGAGGCTGGTTTCCATGCCACAACTCCAAATCTTGCCAGCCGCGATGTTCCCGATGCACTGGATGACTTTGGCAGTCGCGGGCAGGAAAATCGCGGAAGCATTGGTTGCCCTTCAACTGCCTTGGATATGGGACAGTCGGCATCAACTGGCTCTTGTGAGTTTGATATGGAGCGACGGGAGCTCTGTCAAAGCACAATGCAGCACCAGCAGCGGTACAATTGGGAGCAGGGTCAGTATCAACAGCAAGTACAAGTTGAGGAGACAGGACCGCCGCTGCAGCTACAACTTTCTCCGGGCCGGAATGAGTACTCGAGTTTTCTATATTCCAATTATGAAACTATAGACAGCCATAACGGAACATCACCGTTCAGCTTCGAATCAAGGCGACCTACGAGATCTCGCGGGCCTGCCGCGGAGTAGCCGACCGACGGACGGTAAACCTGCGCGTGGAGTGCAAGTCGAATTCTGCCTCGGATGACGTAACAACAAAAAACTCGGGATAATTTCTGCGCTGTTACGTTTCGACAAAAGCATCCATCACGTTTACCATTGAAGACATGCATACATGCACCGTATCCATGTCTAGCCGGCGGATATGATTTTGGCTGCATTTGGGCGAGTGATGCTATCGAGGGAGGGCTTTGATGCAAAGGGTCTGCGGACATGACGTCAGATATCGCGTCCAAATCGTCTACCTAGCATTGAGGCAATACTACTTGTAGTGCCTGTGTTCATCCATACGTTGTTTTTGGTAACTTGGCTGGAATGGAAGGACTGGTCAATGCCAACTCCTAGGAGTACATATGGAGCCTGTGAGCGGGAAAGACGTTTCTTTAGTCGGACCCATCAACAAGGAATGGACGAATGAACCACCACCCAAGTTGAGACCCACGGCACAAGGAAGGAGAAAAAATTGGTGAGGCGACTCTGTCCTCGTCCACGAATGACTTTTGAACAAGACATGGAGCCCTTCAAGTTGACGTGTCCCTTTGCAGCTTCAGTTTTGGCGCCTGTGCCAGCGGACTTGGGCAGCGGAGACCCTGGCGTACTCAACATTGGCTTTACTAGTCACTGCAATGCAACAATGAACTAGAAAGCCCAGAATTGACAGGACTTGGAAGCTGGCTTGTTGATCTTGGGTGGGGGGGGGGGTGGCCCATGGATGGCATGATACCAAGCTTCGAGTAAGAACAATGCTTTGCTGGCTCATCAAAATGCGACGTGGGTTTTCTGCTTGCGGGAAGACAACTTTTTTTTTTTTTGGATTGACCTCTTGCGATACAGCATAGGTGGAACATTTGCTCGGCAAGTTGTGTTTGGGTCAGGGGTCTGTGACAAGCCTTGCTGTTATTCAGATTGAAGCGCTTAATCGATAGTTTGACACTATCAAAACCATGGCAATAAATTTACTTACTCGCGCCTGTTAATACACTGAGCTCAGGTAATACTTCCGAAATGCAGCAAAGATCATGCACCGCTCTATGCTGGCGTTGCCCCAAAAATAGATGTCTCTACCTGACCTCGTCTTGTCGGTGCACTTGACTTGTCTAACGTTTTACTGTCGTCACCGTACTGCCAATGGCCTCGCTCATTGCAAGTTGAGTCGTGAGACGTGCTCTATACGTGCAGTTAGTGATTGCAACCTGCGGCCTGCGCTTTTTCTGCCACCACCATCAGATTTCTGGGAGAAACCTTGAAGTCGAAGATTGGCACAACATCGACCCCCTCTGCCCCTTGCTCCTGCAGATAGCAGTAGCGATCCATGGCGATCAAGCTCTCGACAACCTTGCTGCAAAGCACACCGAGCGTCCACAGGATGGCGATCTGGCCCTCGCAATCGCTATACCGCTCCTCGTAGGCCATCAACTCAGCGTCTGTGATGGTTTCGTGAGCCACATCCGTGCAGTCCATTGATCTACGTGCGTACTTGATGAAAGTAGCCATGTCCTGCTTCCGAATGCCCCACCTCGGCCGCTTTTCGTCCCCGACATTATTCACCTTTATCCCCTTGTCGTGCAACAGTTTCTCCAGGATTGAACGGTACAAACGACGCTTGGAAAACATCGAGTCTCCCGCCGCGACGCATTCCGGGCTCGGCCTCGTCCAGTTATTCGGCGCTTGACAAGCCGTCATGAGAGCGGTAGCACTCAGCGACACATTGCGTTCTCTCAACGCCGAGCTGATGGGGAAGCCGGCCGGCGAGGCGGGCGACCGGGGAACGATGTGATTGTAGCAGCAGCCCACGACGGCCAAGGCGTCAATACAGGACACTGTGGCAAAGTATCTGGCCATGTGCTCCGACAGACTCCCACACGCGTGGAGACCGACGAGCATGCAGCGCTCGCCCTCGGCCCAGTCTTCGACCAGGAACGCCAAATCTCGGGAGCCGTCAACCCAGTGCACGACTTGTTTCAGTCTGGTCTCTGGGATGCCCAGGGCGGCGGCTGCCGACCGTGACGCCGCGACCTGCGTCTCGCTGCCGTCCATGGCGAGACACCGCAGGTACGGGAACAAGTAGGCCAGGCTGATGGACAGGTAGCCTTGGCCGGAGCCCATGTCGACGATGCGGGTGATGCCTCTTCTTTGGCAGACGTTGTGGATATACGCGGCTGCTGCAGATACCTCGGAAACCTTCTTGGGCTTCATATGGGCCGTCAAAGCTTCTGGCAGAGCGAGCGTCGGACCTGGGCGACGGCTGCGAGGAAGCGCGAGCGACTTTAGTCTCGCCAACCAGTCGGTCAGCGAAGCCGGCCGGCTTTCGGCAGGCTGGGCTTGCTTTGAAAAACGACAGGATGCTGGGTCGAGTCCCTCATCGATGCCGTCGATGAGGTCTTGTTGTGCGAGACGGTGGCGCGGCCACGAAGACCACCAGTCTGTCCATTCTTGGGGCAGGGCTTGCCAGCCGTTGCGGAGCAGGGCGTCGTTGACGTGGATGCCGCCGGTGATTTGACGGACTAGCGGAGTATCAAGGAAGTGGCACAGATGAGCAGTGTAGTCTTCTATGCTGTCGTATGAGCTGGGCAGGGTTGGCGATACCATGGCCGTCAAGCTGAGGACTCGGGAGCAAGCTTTCAAAAATATCTGTGAAACCTGATGAGGCATGTGGGGTCACCCTGAGTTTCGGCAAGTCGGCCAGGGTTGCACTAGGCCTAGTTGGGACTTGACTACATGCGACTTGTATTATTCGCTCAGACACTTTTTACCCTTCGCCAGTATGTGTCAACATCTTGCGACTGTCGTCTGGAAATAATTGCCCATTAAGGAGTGCCCTCTTGGCACGCCTCGACATGGTCTGGGCTACAGACTCGCCGTCTTGGGGTGTGAATCCACCACCACCGCTGGATGCCATCTCGTAGCCTGCAGGTTTACTCCTACAATTACGGCCTACACCATCAAGCACGCCATGTCTCATAACTATCAACAACTCATGGCCAGACTCTCGTCCAAGACTGCGGTCAGCAGTTGCAGTCACGTCCAGGTCTGTCCTTGCAATGTTTGTGGTGGAAGAGTTGGCAGGGCTTTCGGACCAGCAGCCTCACCAGATCTGCTCTCAACCTCAACTTCTTTTCATTGTATGCCTGGTGAGAACCCCAACCCAAATCCAGTCACATGCAGTCAGCCACCTCTGTGTCACTATTTCATCAGGTTGACTTCCCTCGAGGTCAGCTCGGTAATCCTCTGCTCAGATAGGACGATAAATCTGCATCCCGTTCGTGTGGCTGGCTGCCTGGAGCTTCTCCAAGGGCAGCTGACGCGTGTGACAGCTCTTCTTGCAGATGAGATGTCTTTTGCAGTACGGACTAATGTGGAGAAATGCAAGCCTCGAAATTGCTCGTAAACATCGATTGATGCCCAACTGCTGTCGCCTCTCGAGCCCAGCGGCTAGCTTGGCTGCTAGTACGTCGTCGAGAAGGGGGCGTGTTATTTTTCTCCAGAAATTGATGGTCTTTTGACGGTAGGCTATGTCCTGATGTAGTCACTAGAAGCCAGTATTTTTTCCTCCGTCCATTCGCTCGCGGTGCCATGGCATCACAAAAGGAAACAGTACGTCTGACGTCTGCCGGGTAGCCATCAATGCGAGAGCGCTTGGGAGCCTGAAGGAAACATTCTCAGCCCTATTTATACAGGCTTGTTTAGACTAAAAGACATTGAATCTTTGTCTTACGATATACTCGGGGATTTTGCAAAATTCATCCCGGCATCCCGCCGGTGAAAGATGAATGTCGTACTCAGGGGCCAGCAACATCTTGCCGTGGACGTTATCGAACGCCCTGTGGTGGACTTCGAATTTTTGAAAAAGGAGCTGAGTGCCCCAAGTTTCAACGACGTCCATGAGCTTCCATGGCTGGCTGGAAGTCCCATGCCTCCTTGACTGCTTACCTACTAATTCACGGCCTCACGAAATATCAGTCGTGACAGAAACCATAAATCTCCGTTTTGTGTAGGAGTCTGGGCGCATATTCTTGGAACCTACTCTACGATATTTGGACGCAGCCTTTTGGACTAGATACCTCTTTGTGTGAGGTCTCGGGACAATTGCGTTATCCGCAGCAAGACAGCTCTGGCGTCCAGTCCAAAGTTTCCTGCATACGACGAGAGCTCGACAAGTGTGCATATGGCTTCATTATTTCGTATACAGCCTTGAACCAGCGCAAGAGCGACTACCACATGGCTGCAAGTAACCAGATGCTGCCATCAGGCATGAATTGGGAATCGTGGAGTCAGATCTCTGGGAGCTTCCGGAAGGCAGCCCTCACAACAACTGCGGACAAGCGGAATCATTATGGGGAGCTTCGACTATCGCGGCTCAGAAAAATCTCCAGCTAGTGCAGCCTGTGCGGTTCTCGAGATGGGCTAGTAGCGGTGATGAGCGGATACGAGTCCAGATTCGCCACATACAGCCAGCAACGCGAAGCATATATGGTCCCCGTCGTCACGGCTTTAATCCTATCGTTCTTGACTGCCATCAAGTCGGACTTTAAGCAGATGGCCTGAAAGGCAATCCTGCGTTCCAGCAAGCGTCATGGGAATTTACATTGTTTTCCATTATGGCGCCGCTCGTCTTGGCCATGAGAGGATTTGTGCTGGTGCTTTTGAATGTATTTTCCAACTACCTCAGTACCAAGACGTTTCAAAGAAGCAGAATGCCAGTCTGGACCAGACTAGAGGTTGAGACTGATATTCAGGTTTGATCAGGCTTCTCGGTGGCTAACGGTCAGCTTGCTCAAGATGCGTCACAAATCGAATTCGTACCGTTTACTCCATAGCTCTAAAGCCTTCTCTGTTTGTGAGGTGACTTGACATTATTTTGTACAAGATCGTCACGCCCTGGAAAATCCCGTATTCGCAATGTATCCCGCTTGTTGTGGCCGCCTACAATGGCTGTAAAAGGTAGTGATGGCAGGTCAGCTTTCAGCGGATTTCACTGCTCTTTTTTGCTCAACGCTATCCGCTTTTTTTCAGCTGAATATTGGGCTCTGAGAAGCAGCTAGACGGTACAAGGGAAAATCTACGTACGCCTAGATACGCTTTCTCTTACAGCCACGGCCCACGGCTTGGAGTTAGGAGTGACGGAGCGTCTTGGGTACATATTTTCCCTAGGCCAAAATATGCTTGGGCATGCTTGCGTGTTTCATGCCGACGTCTCCCTGCTCCGTTGGTAACCAGGAATCATACGCTTTTGGTGGCCTTGATCGACGTGCCTGTGCGAGTCGGTTATCGCGACTCGCTACACATGCAAAATCTCGTGGCTCAGATGACTTGCTTCTGGATATTGGGACCACGATGGCGTCGCTAAGTGTCGGGTTGGCCTTCACCTTCACCTTCACCTTGACAACTATTCCTGGCGGCTTCACTGACCACCCTGCTTCGCCAACGACGTCTGGAATATCCCTTCGTTCGACCGCCTTCAAGTCTCAACATCAAAATCGAGGCCGGCGTGCACAGGTGGTGTCACACTTGCTCAAACTCATCCTTCACCTGGCATCGACGCCGAAACCACATCGGCGTCATTGCTACTCGTGGCCTCGACACAAAGCTACCGGGCACATGGAGTCGGAAGTCTGAGCGTCCCGGCCATGATGTGAACTGGCTGGCCGACAAAGACATGCTGCCCAGCAGAGTCAGCAAAGCTCACATCTTGACGCGCAACTGGCCTTCTGACCTGTTTGAGTGGTCCGATCTCAACCACAAGAGGATTGGAGAGCTATCAAAGACCGGCCCCTAGCAACGGATGCCTAGCCAGGGAGAGGAGACCGGCTCATCGTCCTCATCGCGTAACGTCTGGGTGGCATCATCTTAACAAGGGCTCTTTCAATGGCCCGTGCCGAGTACCAGTCACCCAGAAGAGCCACTCGTGCGGAATTCCCCTCTCGACACCCTTCAGAGGCACCTCATTTCAGGATGTTGCCAGCTGTGGTTGTGTTGGTGGTGCTGCGCTGCTGGAAGGTGCCGCAGAGTCCATTGGAAATTGTTCCAAGGCAAGGCCTCGGCGACAACCTTCCACGGGCAGCCCGACTTTCGAGACTTTCGCTTCCGAAGACCAGCGCCCCTTTCCGGTCGCAGAGTACCAAATCGATCACATTGGAAGATGTATCGACTTTGGTGTGCAGGAGGAACTATGCAGTTGGCCTTGACAAGCCCAAAACTATCTTTTGCAAAATAGTTCACGTGATTGAAAAGGGAATCAACACCGGGAATTGGCGGTTTTGGAATTGCTTCGTCAGTTTTAGATCCGGAACTAGCATCGAATAAGTCACGCTGTTCTGAAAGTACGTCAGGCTGGGTAGAGACGCTTGGTGAAGAATGTCTTAGATCAGGGCTGGTGGCTAGTTTTTATGCCCTCGCTCTTGCTTGCATTTGATGTCTTTCATCAGCCCATGTACGTTCCTTTTTCGTGAGCGAACACAAGAGCAGAGGCGAGGTGTCGGTCGGTTCCTGCAGGCCCGCGAGCCAAACCCAACGCAGTCGGAATGACCGCCAGCTTTGTCATAGCCTGCGCTATCTGCTCGTCTGGGTTCTGAAGACTGGTACACGGCTCCTCTCGTATGGTCTTGGCTGGGTCTGGTATCAGTGTAAGATGAATGAACTGTGCTTGGAGCAGGAAACGACGCGACGAGAACCGGCTGTTGTTGGTGGTGTGGAGAGTTGGGGTCGGAGGGGGCAGAATTCTGGCATTGGTTACTATTGGTGGGCACCAGATGGTTTGGGTTTGGCCAATGAGAGTGCTAGAAGTGCGGCGACCATGAACTAATGGAAACACAACACAGCCTTGGGCTGAATCATCGTCCGGCAATAAAATCGTAAATTTTCCTAGTCATCAGACGGTCCCCCTACTGTTTATGCCTGTCACTGACTACATGTGTACAGACTGTAACAGGCTTTTAACATTGCCGCAGCGATCGCCGCCTTTGCTGGGAAGCACCACTGGGTCGGGAACGTATGGGCGAATCGAAAATGGCAAAAGTCAGGCCAGTGTAGCGATTCCTATCTCTAGAGCCACGTACTGGGTATCAGTGCGTGAGACGGAAAGAAAGTCAGGGGTTGGACTTGTTTCTGACACTACGCTAATCGAAGAGGTTAGAGTCAACTGGCGGGTCGATAAACTCCTCGCCCAGCACGCCAGAGATACCCCGCGCGAAGTCTTTGATATATTCCGCGATACTTGAATCTGGATGCCCCAATCAGTCTCTAGTTACGGGAAGGAACTATCGCATAAGATAAGACATACACACGGCAATGCCTTCGTTGATGTAATCATCGAGATACTCTGGTATCTGAGGCGGAAAGAAGTCCTCAATACCAGTGGTCGCTATTGAAAAAACAGCTGGACAACAAGGTTCTGTAACTCACCTCTATGTCCTCGGCCCCGCTCAAGTACTCGAGGAGACGCTGAGCATCGCCAATAATCCTTTGCCAATATGAATGAAGTATATCGATGCTATCGTTGATGGTCGGCAAATACTCATCTCTAAGGGCCGTGATTCCAGCTCGGGCGTCCTGAATCTTTTGAATTTCCTTCCGAATCTCCTCGATTTCATTCTCTTTTGCCAAAATCTGGCGTTGAACATCTGGAACGAGTCAGCCTTGCTGTCCAGATAGAAGAACGCCCCTGAGCGAATGCGTACCTGAACGTTTGCGGTAATAGGATACTAGGATAGCTGCCGACGCAGTTACTCCTATGAATCCGAATATCTTGTGTTTGATCAGCCGATCTCGTCGTTCAGATTATGGCGATTCAATGCGTACGCCTAGTATGAGTCCTACGGGGCCGCCAGCCAGCGCCCCCAGCATGAGGGCACCGGACAAACCCATAATGCCTTGAACCACTCGAATTTTCTCTTCAATCTTGAGAAGCTCCCCTTGAAGAAATTCCAACATTCTTTGAATAGCCCTTATCGACTCGTGCAGATCGCCTTCTTTTCTTTGGGCCCAACTGTCAAACCGCGGAACAAATGATATAAACCGAGTTTGCAGCGACAGCAGTTTGGTCTGAACATTTTTCGCAGACTTCTCATGACCTTTTGCTCCCTGCAGAATGGTCAGTGCAAAGCCACAACACCCAACCGACTTCGAGTGTCGTGGACGGGGTTTTTGATGGCCTCACATCAATGAATTGACGAACTACCCGCTTTTTGTCCTCGAGTCCAAGTTCTTCATCCATGACAAATGGGATAATCAACTTGTCGAGACCTGCTGAGGGTTAGTCGAGCCGCCTAAATCCACGACTTCATCGGAGAGGGAGGAACACGTACGTGTCCCGAAACTGCTAATCTGCGTCGCAACCGCGCGACTGCCACTCAGAATGCTCTCAAACTCCTTCCCGGTCTAGTCAGCAACTGTATTCGTGGTCTGCGGAGAGGAAGGTATACTTCCTGAAACTTTCTCATGTCCGGCTCAAAACCAGACACCTCAATCTGATCTATTTCAATGACTTTATCGTGGAGCTCTCGAAACATCCGTCGCAACCGCTGAGCAGCATTTGTGGCTTCTTCGGCACCTTGCTTGAGCGCATCCAAGGTGATTTTACTAGACAGTCCCTTTCCAGCTGAGACTCTAAACTTCTTGGCATCCTCGGGGCAAGTAAAGGGAGGTTCGCAAGGACCGTTGTTGACGAGGATCTCGATTTCCTGGAGACTAAAGGTATCTCCAACTTCGAGGTACTTTTCCGGTGTAGGATTCGCGCCAACACGGTCATTGAAACGCTTCATGAGTTCATCGTAAGATGGAAGAGCTGTGCCAGCGGTATACGCCGGTGGTGGACATGTTGAAGCCATGATAACACCCTGTCGGTGCTATAGCCTTGGAGTCGAGGACCAGAAGCAAGGAGAAGAAAGCCAGAGCGATGTGGCTCTTGGAAGAATATTCGAGAGCGAATTGTTGGCGACGCTGTAGAGCTGTCTGAGTCTGTTTGGCGGCTTCGACATGTTGTTCACACGCAGCCCGTAATCCGAGTTTATATATACGAGAACCTTGTTCCTCCGGCATACATTCTGTCAGTACATTCAGCAGCCCATCCATTCGTCTACTCCACCTGATTGCCCAAACCAGGAGGCAACTATCTGCTTAGTTACATGGCTCTTTCCAAGCGCGGATTTTGCAGCTCGGAGTACAATAGAGTCTGGTATTGGCGTCACAAGATTGGTCACGAAATCGTTTCACGTCGAACATGAAGAATGCAACACCAAAAAATCTTGTGCAGTCACAGCATATGGACACGTAGTAATGTCCTATGTAGCTTTGACCACCCCACAGTTGCACTTGCTCTACGTGCCGTCTATTCACGGGACAACTCGACCCTGCCAACTCCAATGCTGCCTGTTACCCAAGTCACTACTACCCAGTCATGCATCCGTACCCAATCTCGGCTTGTATACAACGTTGCTCTGTTCTGGTAAGAGAGGCGGTGAAGCGGCATGAAGCATCCTTAAGACATGGATCATTATGATAAGCAGCGTTTCTGTTCAGTCTTATTCCTTTTGTGCGCAACCAGCAGGCGAGTCACCGTCAACAAAAGTTCCATGAATGACGATGGAAGAGGAGATGGGGGTAAGAGAACTGATTCATGTGCAATGACAGGTGTTCTGGAACGGGCGGTATCAGACACACGGGGTTGCTTTGACGAACAAATGCCAATAAGCGTCAGCGTTGTAAAGTTGCGTCACTGTATCTATACTACTGGCCAACCGATGCGACTCACAGCATTTTCACTGTCGTGCCGATCAAGAGTAACAAGTTCATGATAGAAAAATATCACGCGAAGGATCAAGCTAGATGCCTCATGCCTCGTGTATCAATTTGTTTCGAGGAGGGCTTCGTTCATGACAAGATACATTTGGCATCGGTCATTTAGCGAGGGACCCCAAACTCTTCAAGAGCCCGGAAGACCGAGCCTCCTCTAGTTCAGTGTATAAAGACGACTCTTTTTTCAAGTGGGCCAGAACGTCGGGATGCTCAGTGCTAGTCCTGTCGATATAGGCATAGAACCAAAATGCCATTATAACATCTAACGGGCCAGACCTTGCATTAGAGTTTGGATACTCTTTGGTTGTTCCTGGGCAAGCATAACAATGACTTACACAACTTTCGCCCCTCCTTAAGTGCAATGCACATGTATTTTGGCCAGTCCTTGTTGGATCCACGGTCAGCGATGGGGGTCTCTATGAACACTCCATGGGTATCTTACCGCCATGTCGGCCCCGTCTTTAAGCCAGTTCATGATTTCCTTCCCGTCGTCTGCAGTGAAGTGCCAGTACTTTCGGTGAGTTGTGCTGTATCTCTCCACATCTGCGATACGTGCCGGGATATCGATCGGTCGTCCCCTCGTCGAGCCCCCCTTCTTCGACTGCGGCTGCGTGGCCGCACTGAGAAGCAGGCCTACAATCTTGCATTCTCGTGTCCCAACGGCGAGGAGACCCCCAATCTGCCATATTGCAAGTCGTGTTATTCTTGTATAAACTGCAGTGTAGAATCTTATATACCTTTATAAACGCCGACATGGGCCCGTGCAAGCTGGCAGCATAGGACAGCGGCCATGACTGAAAGTCTATCTCCGGTAATAGCTGCTCCATTGCGGTCTCTGGCGAGTGGTATTGGCTTGGCGTGGTCGCTGTTGCAGCGGGCTTTCCCAGAAGTGTATTCTCATAAGTTTTATGGATTTCGGCAAACTGCCAGTTTTTGAGGATACTTGCTGCTTGCAGTAGTGATGACTCCTAGCAAAGTTTATTAATAATAAAAACGCCCTAATTGATAATTCAGACTGATGTCTCACATTTATGAGCTGTTCTACTGCAGCTAGTCGTTCTTCGGGGGGCATACTGTCGTCGGCGCACAAGGGGACGATTTTGTTGTCGAAATCTATGACATATGTCAGTTTTACATTAAATGAACCAAGTAGAGGTGCTGTGGTGTTGTACCTGCACAGTACTGCATCAATCTATTTGCTAGAATAAGACTGTCTAGCAGGTAACTATGGTTTCGCTATTTGTTATTAGGGAGAGGTCAAAAATGTAAGGGATAGAGACTTGATATACAGTAAGCATGGAGCGTAGAATCTGATCCTGTGGCTGGATGCCATCAAAGTGTTCGAAACCATTCACAATTGCCCAGTTGGCATCCCAGGCCAGCTGTTCAAGCGTCTTACTGGTACTCTGCAGGATGTCCTGGGTATCGCTACACATGGCATCGGTGGCCCCCTTGATGTATTTCCTTTCTTCGTCAGCAGTGAGCTGGAGCCTGTTGAGGCCCTGAAGATTCTGGCTTATAAGCCCCCAAGAGAGCTTCCTCCCAGCATCCAAGTAGTTTCTGGGCGAGGGGTGACTGAGTAGGTCATTGTAAGTATCTGCTCCTAGCAGTTCTTCAAACAGCGACGAGAGAAAAGCTTGGGAGTCTGTAGAAGCTGGGGGCATTTTAAGACGATTGGTCCGTAGAGGTTTTATGAGGCACAAGATGTAGGCAAAGGCAGAAAGATAGAGAGATCCCCAACTCTACCCAAATACGTTCATGAAGTGGTACTATTATACTCCTCTTATCACCCGAGGTGCTAGGACAGAAAAGGAATGTAGCAATGTAGCTCTTACACCATGATTGTGGTGGAGTCGGCGGGAGAGAGGGTTGCATAGGCATGAGACTTTACTGACATGCTTCATGCCGTCGGGACAAGGGGGGAAGTGATCGAGCAGTCATACGTACGCCTGTGAGACACCAGCTGAAAGAATTCTAGACCGATACTCTGGCCAGAAAAGACTATTACTTGTAATTATATGCAAGTTGGCAGCCTGGTACCGCAACTTATATAGCGTGGCTTTCTTCCCGATCGTTTCCAGGTCACTTAAACCAGTCCTCCAGGTTCCATTGACAGACGCAATCGCAAAAATGGATGGCGCAACGACCACTGAAGCACCACCCTCATATGAAGAAGTGGTTGGGAAGTTCAATGGCCTCATTGGAGGCAACCCCAACGCCACGCGTGTCCTTGAAGCAGCCGATGGCCTATCCCGGACAGATCTGGATGTTCTCATTGCAAATCACGACCAACACTTCCCTATCAAGACAGATGAAGACAAAGTCAAGTTTGCCACTGGAGCTGCCGAGGGCTCCTGCTCAGTGGAACTCCAAAGCGCCATCGGCCTCTCGGCAACGGCTGCTGCCACGACTGCTGTCCAGATCAGCAGGACTTTCAACCGAGTACAAACCCATCTCGCAACGGTTGATCGGATGGCGCGGACATCGTTCGAATCCACCTTTATCCCGATAAAGGGGGTGAGTACCACACTAAGGCATTTTGATATTTGATACAAACCGCAGCTTTGTGCTAAGCTTTTGTTTGCGCCCGGGCTTAGAACTTTCAGAGAGCCTTGGATGATAGTCGGCAAGTCGCCAGTCGGATGGCAGCAAATGTTTCGCGTCAGTATCTGGTCTTTCCCTGCTTTTCTCCTCCCTCATCCTTAGATTCAAACCGGAGAGCTCCGTCTCACAGTTTGAAACCAGTATTGGACAGGACGGAAATTCGGTATGCACACGACGATCGTGCATCCGTAGCAAATCGTGTGAGGAAGCTGGAGGGCTACATTACGGTAAGGGGAATGATTCGAACCACGAAGTACTAAATACTGAATGCTATATATATAAGGGAATTGCTACACGGGCATGACACTTTGGCTACACGGGCATGACTCTTACACGGGCATGACTTTTACCACTTCTGATTGGTCGCATTGTCTCTGTTAACGACGCTGGATTCTGCCACCTCAGCCGCAAGTACCTGGGCCATTTTAACCTTGCTTCTGTGTAAATTACTTCATTTCGGCTAAGCTACTACGCAGCAACCCAGTGGTCGCGCAGTCGGGGCGACCCCCTCGAGCTTGCTTTCTTCATTTTCGTAGCTTTTAATAAACCATAATACGGCACCCTATGCTGTAGAGATAGCGACCAATTCTTTCACTACAATCTTGTTCTCTTCTCAAGACGTCAATGTCTTTGCCTCGCACACCTCCTCGCAGGTCGCGGAGCCCTAGTCCCAGTGATCAATCACAAAGAGGAAAGCGACACAAATCCAGTCGGCGACGCAGATCTAGTCCTTCCACAGTTGAAGACCGACCACAATCCGCGAGTAGCTCTGCTACGAGTATCGGTCAGTTCTACGGCCTCGGGGACGAAAATGCACTCGATAACCTGTTCGCCTCTTTCCCGCAAACACTTTCAAGTCTCCCACACCCCCATGGTTCACAGGGCCGCCATGAGCCTGCATGGGGCCTTCGATCTGACTATGAGATATATCTTCAAAATGACTTCTTCCGTGGAAAAAGATGGAGCCAGCGAGTCAGAGCGCTTATACCAGGCCCAGAATTTGATCCATTCGCCTCTGAACCTCCCGAATCACCCCCATCCGCCCAGCATCTCCCAACAAGGACAAGAGCCGAGTTCGAGTCCGCAATGCGCATAGTACGAGAGGTTACCGGCGAAGGTCGAAGGCTAACTGTAGACCTTGCTCGATCATACGAACGTGTACAAGCTTGGCGAGAGAGATGGGGATGGTCACCATTAAGTTTCGAAGCATATGACTCTCCTCCACCGTACTCTCCACCTCGTAGGTCACCCACACAACCTCCTCGAATATCACCGACGCCCGAAAATATTAGTTCCTCGCCTATGCGACAGTCTCTATCTCCCGCCCCGGAGCCAATTCCGAACCCAATAATCCCTGGCGACCCAGCGCCCTCGGCCGAAGTTCTTTTTAAAACAACCAACGCATTTGCAAAGGAGAACGGATTTGGTATTATTCGGCGGAATAAATATTCCTATAAGGGACGGTTGATTAGGTACTCCATTCAATGCGACCGGTTTGGACAATCTCGGGCCTCGGGGGGTTCTGGTCTTCGAACCCGAAGGTCTCGGAAGTGTGATTGCAAATGGATGATAATTGCTGAAGCCCTAGAGGAAGGCAAGTGGCTTCTTCGACAACATAGAGACCCGAAACATCACCAGCATAACCATGAACGGAGTATTACGCCATCTGCGCATGTTTCCCACCGCCGCCTTACTACACCAGTTAAAGCAACCATCGAGTCAGCAAGCCGTCGCGCGGGTATTCGAGCCAGTGATGTAGCTGCTATGGTTGAGGAGCAATTCCCCGATACAACACTCCTGCGGAAGGATATCTATAATGCCCGTTCGTTCATTAACCGAGAGAAGCTAAATGGCTATACACCTACTGCGGCATTGATCAAACTCTTTGATGAGAAGAAGATCCCATACATCGCGAAATGGGCCGATGATGATCCAGATAGACTGCTTGGTCTTGTCTGGACCTTTCCGTACTGTCTACAGATGTGGAAGCGCTTCCCCGAGGTTATTAGCTTTGATAACACATATAACACTAATCGCTTCAAGCTTCCTTTATTCCAGGCTACTGGCCAAACCTGTCTTGGAACTGTGTTCAATGCTGCATTTGGCTTAATAGATAACGAGAGGAGGGAGGGGTTCCAATTCCTTGCAGAGAGTGTTCGCAAGCTCATTACAAAACACTCACTCAGGGAACCAGATGTCATCATCACAGACTTCGACAAGGCTATGAAAGCTGCCGTTAATGATCAGTTTCCAAATGCACAGCAACAGCTTTGTATTCATCATATCCTTTCAAACGTTTTGCTTAAATCGAAGACTAGGTGGACGGGCCAACGTGAGGACAGTACTACTAGCCCTAGCGCTAGTGACAGTGAAGACATTCCCTCACAGGCGGATGGCGGGTTGAGCACTACAGATAAGCATCTGATCGAAGATCGGTCGAGTAGTGATAAGATTCCTCATACTTACCAAGGCGTTGTTTTAATGTGGAAAAAGGTTCTCTATGCCGAGACTGAGGAAGCGTTTGAGCAGGCATGGAGAGATCTTTGTAAAGAGTTCGACGACCAACGAGCGATCTTACAATACCTCTACTCGACTTATATGCCTGTTAGTGCTCAATGGGCACGTTGCTTTATCCGTCGTTATCGTAACTTCGGAATCCGAGTTACGTCCGGCACAGAAGCAAGCAACAATAATATCAAAAGCTATCTATTAAATGGCATGAGCCACCTCTACCGACTCGTCGAGGCAATGCAGGATATGATACATGACCAAGAACGTGCCTTTAAGGATGCCTGTGGACAGGATGATGTCCTGACTGCTCCACAATACCTAGGTTCGATGGGAAACTATCTTGGTGAACTACGAACAACCATGTCATCGAAAGGACTTGGGTTAATCAACAAGCAATACTGTATTGCTCGCAAATTTCTGCCGACGGGGAAGAATCCCTTCCCCGACTCTATTGGACTTTGCGACGACGACTGTACGGTCTCTATTGAGCTGGGAATCCCATGCTATCATAAAGTCTACGCAAAGCTAGATTCTGACACACGTTTCACTAAATGGGAGGTCCACCCACGCTGGCGACTACGGGAATCGGCATCTCAAGATCCATACCGACGAATTCTTGACCCGAAAGTTGCCACTGCACTACGTGGAAGGCCAAAGAATACAGCGCAGGTTATCCCAGAAAGCCTAGCTATTACATCAAGTAGCCGATCTGATAATCAACCAAGTGGGCGACGAGGTCGACCGCCAGGAAGTCTCAATAAGCCAACTCTTGCTAGGAGAGTGCATAAAGCTACTCGAGAAACCATCACACAAACTGGTGGCCAAATTGGCATCTCAGCCCAGCAAGGGCCAGGTAGACCTTCTAAAGTCCTAAATGCTGGGAATACGACAGGCGTGCGGTACAGTGGACGGAGGACGCAACGAAACATTCGCAGGACAAGGAGTCAATGGGAACTGGCTAAGAGTGATGACGAAGATCCAGATTGTATCGTTGTGAGGCAATAAATTAAGTAGACCACATCACGTCTTTTGCCAGTATTTGACAGTTACTGGCTAACAGTACAAGGACGGTAGTTTAATCCGAAATGCAGGCTTGCAAGATAGCAGAAGACCAATCGCGCCCACAACGATAAGTGACTGCAATTCATGGTGATGTAGGAGCTTGTTAGTGAAGTTGGCTACACCGCCTTTCCGAGGAAGTATCTGTGGGGCCAAGAAAGTATGCGACCAATCAGAAGTGGTAAAAGTCATGCCCGTGTAAGAGTCATGCCCGTGTAGCCAAAGTGTCATGCCCGTGTAGCAATTCCCATATATAAACGTTAGGCGGCCGAGAGGATCCAGACCGACAGTAATGGCGTTCAGTCGCGAATCTCTGCCGTTAAAACCTCTCTAGATGACTTCATTACCACGTTCGCGAACTGGGCCAAAGGCAGGGAGGGGGAACTCACCGACCTTATCAAGCAGATCAAGCAGGACTTGATTCGCCTTGAGAGGCAGCTGGCAGACAGGCAGACGCAGTTGGAGGCCCTCACGCATTTTACCCAGGGTCTTGCCCCCATTACAGCTGCGCTCGCGGCGGCTTTCCCTCCCTACAGCTCGCTCATTGCGGTAGGTTTGCCATCGACTCCTCGTCGGTTTCTCTGAGCCTCGTATGGGAGTCTAATGGTTCTCTGATTGCATAGATTGCCGGTCTGCTTTTTTCTGGCTTGTCTCTTGCCACCACCACTGCCCTCATAAAGGAGATTGGCAGTAAGTCTGCTTGACGTTCTCACTTCCACGTCACTTGCTGACACACTCAAGTGCTCAAACATGAGGTCGCCCAGAAGACTAAACAGAAAGAGGAGCTTGGTGCGGAACTGGAAGCCATCAGACAAGCCCGAGAAGAACTAGAGGAGACTGGAACAGCATCCATATCCTTGTTCGGGGACAGCATTAGCGCCATGCCTGCGGTTTCCACCGCGGCGGTGGTGGAGGCTAAAAGCATACTGGGCTGGCTCAAGGCTGGGGCACCGCAGCAAGTAAGTTCTACTATTGCCGTGATCTAGTCTCTGCGTCCCCAGACTATTAATCCTGCGCCCCTCTAGGATCGAACTCTGTACGCGCAGCTAAATATTGACAAGGAAGTCAGAAGCTGTAAGTGACTGCCTGGCGTTCCCCTAATTCACACCGAGAAGTGGCTAACGACGGTGTTCTGTTAGATGAGTCAATGGCATCTTATTTGAGCGCCTTTGGTCAAGGCATATCTTCTGTTTGTACTCCGGAGAACTAAATGGAGAAGAAAAGGAAATCTCTCAACTATATGCCTAGAATTTGAATGCCAAGTGTCCTTTTCTTTGCCGTAGAATGTAAAGATGAAGAAAAAACCTCAGATTTAGCCTCTCGGTATAGCTTTAAATTATTTGCTCCCAAGACTAAGCCGTATTCCGTCTTGTGAGTGTGTTTGAGGGACTCGGCGAAATTCGAGGACGGGATTACTAACGGCGTCAAATTTGTCAGGGGCTCAGGGCAGATTAGCATGCGCAAAATGGGGATGCGCGGAATGGAAGAACATGCACGTATCTGCAAAGCGCTCTTGGGTCTTTTCTCAACTTGAGCTATGCATTACCTGTGCAAGACGACGCGTTAGTCGGGCTCTTATTGACTTATTTAAAGCCTGACAGAGCGCAATAAATGTCACGAGTCACGACACAGCACATAAACCTCACGAGTGACGGTGGACCAGGTCACTCTGGCGGCCGTAACGTCAAGTCCAATCAACCTGCTCGTGTCTACTTCTATCCGCACACCGAGTTGTACAGCTCGGATATTGACATCCTTCTGATGTCTCAACCAGGAGAATAAGGATTTACTGGTGTGGAAGTGATACGCAGGACCCTCGACGCAAAATACAGGGTACAAGGCCTAGGTTACGTAGAGTAAGACTAGCTGCAGAATCCAAACATTGCAACCCATACGGCGTGGCAATTCGAGTGGGTCCACGTCTTTGTTGTCGTGTTTGATGCCTGGGTAAACGAAGTCAATGGGTCTTCTGTTTATGCAAAAATGGTGTTTCCACCGTCGACGCGGTTGAGGTACGGGGAGATGTGCTAAGCATCAAGAAGAGGCATGGGCACGCTCCAGTTGGACGGATCCGTCACTTCATCTGCGTAACAGGATATGTAAAAGACCTCCGAGTCGGCATTTCTCCCCCAGAGCGTCACTACACCCTCAAACTGCACGGCGAAAAGCATGTTTGTGCCTTCAAAGATGACCTCCTCAAGAAGCTTATATATATAGAGAAGGGAATTTCTCTCTTTAGATAGAAGAGAGTTTAGAGATTAATATAGTTATTACTACTAACCTAACTAGCTATAAAGTCATTACAAGTCTCTTATGTAACCTACTATCTACTCTGCCTAGAACACTCTCTATAATAAGCCTATAATATATACTATTATAACTTGTACTTTATATCCCACATAACACATTAATACACACAGTTCCAACAGGAGACATAGCCTGTGCTAGGACCTATATAGTGCTAGATTAAGCAAGCTAGGGCAGCTTGTTTATGACGTACCCTTTTAGCCTAATAGTTAAGGGGTCCGGCAAACCACCGGGATGACTGCGGCTGGCATCCGCTATGGCTAAATAGGTCTAGTCCATTACAGCCCGCCTTGGTGTCTAGCACTACCTAATTACCCCATTTGTTGTTAACTAGTGTAAACTTGGTTTACAGTCTGGTGACTCGTTGTTTGCACTGTGCCTGCTCTGTCCTTCGCACATGCTTCTTTTTTTTCTTACTTCGATCTAATTGTGCCTGCCCCACTTTATAGTTCAGCTATTAAAAGCTCTCACTACTAAAGGTAGTGTTGGCGGAAAATCGCCAGGTCAACTGCACCACGCAAAAGTAGAACGCGCTCCAGCAATTGGAGACGCAAATTGACCTTATATTACTGCGCAATTACACACACAGCGCATGCACCCCTATTTTTCGGCTGACAGGTAGTGCTAAATACTAAGGTAGGCTGGACACTAAGATAAGCTAGTAAAGTATTTTATAACAAATAATATTAAATAAAATTATAATAATTATAAAATAAATTATATTAAAATTATAATTATATAATTATTATAATTTAAGTTTTTTCTATTATA